TTTTGGACACTGCTCTGAATGAAATCGACTTTAGGACACTGTCCAAAATTTTGTAGACTTTTGGAATGCTGCCCTGACACAGAACAAGTGGTTGTGATCGGCAACAATACTCCATCCGTAACACAATGGCTTGTAAATAATCAAATTTTGACCAGGCAAACCACTGGTTGAGAGCATGAGCAAAATCCACATCACATATTGTAACCACCTGCCGGTAATTGTCATTGGTCAGTTGTAATGACAAGCACTGGGTACCGTGGAGCTATTCTTCCTTGAAATCCTCGCATTGTTGTGCATAATCTGTGATGCCATGTTCAACAGCCTGTGTAAGGATGCTTGATAAAGCGTGTGTTATTCTTGTTTCTTGATATTCAATGAAAGAATATGCTTATTTCAGCACTATTCCACAAACATCATGGCAGGGAACACCAGAACTGGGCTTCATACATGGTATCCATGTGGTGAATCAAACCTGCAAACGCCTGGACCACTGGGCTATCACACCTCCATAATTAACTGAACAAAATCTAGTGAGACTGAATTTCAACACCTAATTTTATGCTAATTTTAAAAGATCAGTCTTTCCATTGCAGAACAGGTCCCCAGTAACTAATTTTCGCTGCATGTCAACCAGAGTGAGAGAGTTGGGTTTAACGCGGCTTTGAACACTATTGCAGTTATATCACGGAGTGTCAGCTTAATGTGGGAGGAAAGCCCGAAGTGATGCAGGTCTTAGACGTTTACCACTTCGGTGAAAACCACGAGCACGGGTATGGTACTGACAAACCTAGAAACATAATCAGGGCGAACCGGGATTCGAACCCACAACCATAGGTTTCTGGCGTGCCAAGGGACGCAACTCTGTACAGCGAATCGCGGTGTCTTGGACGACTGGGCCACCCGTGCCCCCGCATGTCAACCAGAATCATGATGGAGTCGAAACAATGTTATTCATGCCACAAAACAGCTACTTGTTCCAGACTCAATTATTAACATAAATATAACCTTCATCCCTCACTCTTTGTGTCTGCGGCCCAGTATACATCTATACTGCCAATTTTAGCTGACAAACTATTTTTAATCTAGGCTTCTTATCTAAGACACTGTAAAATATTTTACTGAACCCTTTGACCATATGTGTTTTCAAATAAAGTTGTCTACAAATGTCTATGGACTTCAGTTGCGATGCTTTGTAGAAAGAAAAGCTGACAAAATTTCAGTTGAATCAATCAACAAGGAAGGCAGTAAAATTTGGAAAAGATGACTACCGGTATGTAGTTATTAAATTCTCATTAAATTTTTTTTTTTACTCTGATATGATACCTCTTGCATGAAGATGTGACAACAACTTCATAGAAGCTGGTGTCAGGTGAACAGGGAGTAAACAATGACAGACCAATCGAAATGAAGGACGGGTAAAAGATGTCAGCTTACTTAAACAATTTCCACCCTGATTCGGACATTTTGATATTAAAAGACGTACAAATTTCCTTTGATGGAACTCCTCCTTAATCCGCATTTAGAAAACAGTGTGTACAAAACATTAACAAGGAGATAATTGCATGGCCCCACAGAGCCCGATTTAGCTGTATAATACACGCATCAACGCAAACTATTATTAAAAAATGAAACCTACTATTTATGTCTACATGCAACTGAGTGCATGCCTATTTTTTTTAATTTGTGTGTGACTAACCCTTTCTTGTCCCCACAACATTGATCTTTGAAAACACACACTCCACCTGTAAGCTTTATTTACCTTACTGCATTACTAAGCCCTGTGTTGCGTAAATTGTCATGCTGTCTTGTTCTTGATGGGTCACCAGACTGGCGTATTTCAAGATAATGTGCATATGTTCCGATTGTTTCATACAAGGTCACTATTGTTCATCAACCATCATTTTGGCACCTGATTTTTCGTAATTAATTTTCAGTAAACACACAAACAAAAGTGAGTAATTATCAAATAATATTTACTGACCTAGCTAGAAATGCAAGTTCTGTGATATTTCATGTCCGAATAAAAAAATAAATTCATTGTTATAACGTAATTTGGTGATCGTGGACATGGTTGGGGGTAAGAACAGACGCTTTAGCGTCTCACAACAATGACCTAATGTGTGTCATACAGCTTGCTGCATGCATGACCCGAGGTTATCATGATATCCAGCTCGATAATGAGGGAAAGTTTTAGAGACATGTAAATGAATTAATTGAAATAAAATGTTATGAGTTGACATCTGATGTCATCGCTTCTTTCAGGATTTTCTTGAGGCGTCTGGAAGAAATAGGTTCATGTTTCCTTTGAAATCTACGAATGTCATCTCTTAATGTCGGCTTGTCAAAACTGTCTAGCTTTTCCTTTTTCATGTTTTAGGATGGGCCCCTTTCCCGCCAATACAGTTACTGTTGGTACAACCAGAGGTGTAGGTGACCTCGGGTCATATCCCCCACAACAAGACCATGTCCACGATCACCAAATTACATGATAACAACGAAGAAAATAATATTTTCGAACATGAAATATCACAGAATTGGTATTTCTAGTTAGGTCAATTATTATTTTTCCATAATAAATGACTTTCACCTCGCAATTTTGTGTTTAATGGAAAACAATTATCAAAACACGGGTGCCAAAATGATGGTTGACGGACTATAGTATATATGACACTGGCAACACACAGGCCCATGTTTCATCGCTGATAAAGTTATGGGACCAGGGTGCTACTAGTGCAACTAGGTATTCATGTGAACATGCACCTTGTGCAAGTTAAATAAAGATCCTTAAATCAAGCGCTGTCCCATTTATTGGGATTCATTGTCAAGATACAGAAACCAGATATACTCGTCTAAATCCTTTACTCACTCATACTGAGAACTGAGAAGCCTCTTTGTGAATTGGACATGACACATCTACCATGCAGGTGACGTCCCACCATCTTCTCGAGGCAAGGGAGTTAACTGACTGTAAAAGTCCAGTTTCCACCCTTGCCAGACAAGGCTGCAATTGGCTTGATAGTTGGTCTCAAAGTTGCTATTACAAGTTATGTCCCTTTGATGTTCATCCTATCAACCAATCAGATTACAGATATAATATTACTTGCATTTGCTTCAAAACAAAATGGCTGGGCCAATTCAAGGTGGTCTAATTAATAATAAAGATTTATATTGTTACAAAACAGGTCTCACCTCGAGAAATGCATCAAATTACTTGAGCACCTTGACTTAAAACATAAATAGATTTGGAAAATATCTGTAGACGCCCAGTTGACTGTACAAATGCTTTTCAAATCCTGCAATTGACCTAAATCTGCACGGCAGTTTATGAACCGGATGTCGATTACGCGATTTCTATAGTCAGTTAATGACTTGGAAAGATGATTTCCCACAGTATGTACTCAAACAGCCCTCAGGGCCAGGTGAGCTTAAAACACCACACAACACCACACTCTTGATTCATATACATTTTACATCTGCTAAAACATACTATGATACAAATGCAGAGAAGTTTGCAAGTCCATAGTCCCTGATAGTTGAATCAGCTATCAACACTGTGTGAAACATGATGTGATATCATACACAATGAGCCATGAGGAGAATTTCTTTCAATAAAAGCTATCCACCACTGCGATCTCATAATATACATAAACACTTGGTATATAAATCATCCAATGGTGGGTACAAGTACAGGACCGTTTGTTCCTTGTAACCATGGTTACAAACCGATGCTGTAAAAGGAAATGGGTGAATCTCAGCACTCTCAGAAACAGATTTAATCTAACAAACAAAACATCACTGAACAAAATGAAGATGAGACCAGTCGTAAAAAATGCAGTGAACAGTGATGGCTTGAGGGGTGAAGAGCAGAGACGAGTCTTTCTGTTAATCCATCACTTTATGGGCAGCTGGAATTGACAGGTTAACAGAGCTGGTTTGACACAGTAGGATAAACAGGAACCTTTCTGTCAGTGCAACCTTCTCTGATTGATATTCCAGTTGAACACAATACTGCCTTCTCTTGATCTACTCCGCACTGCAGGTCAGAGATAATACAGGTCAATCTTGTTCAGAGAAACAAAGGTTCTGTTGATATGGGTCCAGCATCCTCACTGGCTCAGTAAATAGGAAACTGAAGTCATGATGGGGTACAAATGTATCAGAATATGGACAATGATGGATGAAAAAATATACATGAGGATGGATGTGACCCATCTTGCATTCAAATCAAAAGAGTTCTGAGGAATTTCAACAATCCCGCCACTGTAATCCAAAGGCTGTAAAGGGGAGATAATCCAAAGTAAGGGAGACAATCCAAAGACTGTAAGGCAAGACAATCCAAAGGAAGCAAGGGGAGATAATCCAAAGGCCGTAAGTTGGAGTTATCTACTACTGCATGGTAAAGACAATCTAAAGGTTGTATGCATGGCATAAAAGTATCATCACACAGCTGTAAGGGGATGAAAGCCATGTTTGTCAGTATCTTCTGTGGTAGCTGCACTTACACATATCCAGTTTCAAATGCCTTCGAACAGACAATGTGGTACAAGCATGACGTTCATGATGATCATGCTGTAGCGATTCCTGGTTAGAAGCCTCCCTGTCCTAGGAAGGTCTGCACAAATGACAGCTAGGTTGTGTTCAAGGGGACAAAGCTTTCTGAGATTGTGTTGCAGTTCCATGTTGGCATAGATAATCATGAAGTATTTAGATAGATAGAGTGAGTGAGTTGGGTTAAATGCTACTTTTAACAGTATTCCAGTTATATCGCGGAGTGTCAGCTTAGTGCGGGAGGAAAGCCCGAAGTGATGCAGGTCTCAGACAGTGAAAACCACGAGCACGGGTATGGTGCCGACAAACCTAGAAACCTAATCGGGGCGAACCGGGATTCGAACCCACAATCATAGGTTTCTGGCGTGCCCAAGGGACGCAACACTGCAGAGCCAATCGCAGCTCCTTAGACGACTAGGCCACCCATGCCCCCTATTTAGATAGAATCAAAAAATTCTAATGATTCCTTGGTAGCAAACCTTCTCATGCTATGATGAGAAATGATTGTCTACTTGCACTAATGTTTCAAATATTTCTGCTGAGAACATATTGCGAAAAGATTGCAGTATACCAGACACCTTCCGCCATTTTGGTAAGGGATGTACACAAGCTCATTCCTTAGTAACGGTTTCTAAGTTTTTCAGACACCATTTTTATCGCCTTGCTAAAATAACAGGGGGTTTGGGGGTCACTCAACTCCCCCACTCAACAGCTTGAATTAAATGCACTCCTAAGTAAAGCCTATTTTTCTAATAGTGATGCTGTACCGTGCGGATTTGATAGTAGCATCAAACAAACATGTCGGATAGGTGTCCAGTATAATGCATGTGTACCCATATTGTTTTAAATTTCTTAAGCCTGATTTTTAAAAAGTAATTTTTTTTTTATAATTAATTTCATTTTGGTAAGAGAATACACTAGCTGCAACATGGTTGATAATACTCCTAATACTTACTTGCCACATGAGAAAAAGACAGAGCAATTAATTCAAACGTAGGCTTGGAGACTGATCAACATCACTCGATTTTACTGTTTTCAAATGGTCTTACAGTGCATGTGCTAGTGATGCAGATCCCAGGATGTCAACAGAACAGATGCCCCAAATATGAATACTGCTCTAGTTTTTCAATATTTATACCAGCTGCTACTTTTCCTAAGCCACATCCCAGTCAACATTCTGATGCTCCTATATCTAACATCCTGGCACTGTCAATTACATCATCATCCAAGGCTACTATAAGACAGTATTCGGATGAACCACGGGATGCGTTTTGATTTTAGAAGATCTTCAAATAGTTCAATAGTCAGCACTGTAACATACACAGTATGTGTATAGCACATCAAGATGAATGATACATGTTGCGTAGTTTCATTTGCGTTGCAGTCAACATACCGGTAATCCATTCTAGGTGTTGTCATTCCTTGTCTTGTCTACACTTAATAAAGCAGCACCCATTATATGTTGCATCATGAAAACCAGGAAGGCAAGCTGTCGAAGCATTCTATCAGCTAACTTGGTCCAGACAGAGACCACAACATCCTTTTATCATTGAAGGCCTAAACAAATGGTATCAGTTGAGCATTGTAGGCCTAAACAAATGGTATCAGTTGATCATTGTAAGCAGTCATATAGGTGAAAATGGCTTGGATTTTCTGGGTTATACTTAGTTCTTGGGAAAGTAGTACTTCTTGTTCAGGCTTGTCCACAATGCAAGCGTAGAGTCGAGTCATTGCATGTGTACCGATACACATCTACATATAGCTGCCACAGTGACCTTCATGCTCAATATCAGATTATCTCCCATTCCTAAAGGTCATCAGTTTTTCCAGACAGGAATGTGGAGATGAATGACCACACTGAATGTGGTTTAGTAGACATTAACAATTCATCCTCCTTCACGGAGTAAATCTTCAAAGTGTAAGACAGCTCACGCAGCACCCAGCAGCCATCGTACCATCCTATTCCTGGTCTCATCATCTCTGGATCACAGGAAGTCCATCTCCCCTGCTGCTGGCAATTATCTGGCATGGTTCCAACACCGGTAGGCACAGACAGATGTTCTAGTTTTCAATCCCAGTCGTCAGACTCTCAGTCACTGTCATCATCTAACGGGGCTGCTGCTTTCTTACGCTTCTTAGCCTTCGGCTTCATTTCTTCATCCTGCAATAGTCAGCATCAGGTTAGAAAAACATTTTGAGAAAAAGCAATGGTAGCTATTAAAACTAAAGCAGTGTCAAATGGCGGTGGTGGTTCCGGCTTAAGATGAGAGTACTGACCTACATCCATCAAGCAATCTGAGCACAACAATGATTGTGAGTGAGTGAGTGAGTGAGTGAGTGAGTGAGTGAGTGAGTGAGTGAGTGAGTGAAATTGGGTTTAACGTCGCGTCAAAGATTATTGCACTTATATAGCAACGTGTGTGTACGTGTGTGTGTGTGTGTGTGTGTGTGTGTGTGTGTGTGTGTGTGTGTGTGTGTGTGTGTGTGTGTGTGTGTGTGTGTGTGTGTGTGTTAGCCCACTGAGATACCATGCCGCAGTTTAACATGAATACCCACTCAGACACAGTATACTGACTCCGAGCCGACCAGTCCTTGCTTTAACCCCTTAATGCCAAGCGCCAGACAGGGTAACAACAGGTACCATCTTTTAACGTCTTTTGGTATCATGCGTCCGAGAGGAGAGAGAGAGAGAGAGAGAGAGAGAGAGAGAGAGAGAGAGAGAGAGAGAGAAAGCATATAACCATATGCTTTATCCACTGGGCTACCACAACTACTGCAAGTCTCTGTTAAGGCATAAGAATCAAAACAGTCTTAGTGCTAAGATAGTTCTGTGCAAATGGGCAGGGGTTAATCCACTCAAAATGGAAGCTTTTAGGACAATCTAAAGGACGGGAAAAGTGAGCGACTCTACAGCAATCCCAGAAGTCGGCACCACGAAGAAACCGGGTTACCCTACGTCTTCCATGGAATGAGCATCTACACACACAAGGATACTCTCCGTATCCCGATCAGGACATCTTTCAATGGATAACAATTTCTACATTGTTTGTAGTGATGTTTCAGGACTACTGTCTGCCCCTTCATAAGATGTATCACACTACACAGATGTTGTTATCCAAACAAAATTTCATGTCTTCAAGCATTCCAGGAAACAACCAGTTCCTACCTCGCTACTAAGAGATTCACTTTCTGTTTCATCAACTACTGCCTTTCTGTACTTGTTGGCCTTGGGACTAGCATTGGATGCCTTCCGTCCACCCCGCAACACTCTGGTTGTCTTGATGTCTTCAATATCCTCTGCTAACGCAAGAAGGTCACTGTATCTGTAAAACATGGGATTCAAAATAATTAAGGAATACTGGCGGAAAGAGGAAAAGGGGAAAGTGTATGGTCAAAAACATGTTCTTTCTTTAAGATCATCTGCATTTGTACAACCTGTCCGTATGACGATACATTACTTGAACTTTTGTACGCCATACAAATGATGTCCTTGTTCTGTGGGTGAGCCTATTCTGCATCATGAAAAAGTACAGTAGTACAAGAAATTGGATATTCATGATATCAGTATACTTATCCTGACACAATACTTTCACAGACACGCAAATTCCTCGTGAACTTTGAACTTATAACATTTCACCGAGCACTCCCTGCCCTTGGTTACCAGAAAGATGTATCTGTCCCAGATCCCTTCTCATCTGCGCTAAGCTTGATCATCACACATGAACAACCAAATACATGTAGAAACAGGCATATGTCAACAGGCATATAGAGAGGCAGCTTACCAGGAAGTAACAGTCATTACGTGAGTGAACGCGTATAGGTTTCCAATGTTCCAGCAAGCAGGCGTCTTTCACAGAAGTAATTAAAGGGATTAAGGACAGATAACTCCCGATTGCTAACCAATGGCTGGCGATGCCCCAGAGGAGGAAGAGGCACGTTTTGGCTTCTGGGTTAAGGGATCAAAGTCTCAGAAGGAAACTGCAAAGAGTTGGTTCAGGACAAAAAAATAATCAGTCCTATCTGCCTGCGAATCTTATTACATGGTAGCTAATGCTGGGTAATGTGATACCGTAAACACTTAAATCATATCATCAGTTAAACTGAACTTTTTTCGGATACAATGATGGTTTTCTATGTATTAAGCTCCGATGTAGTCTCACTTTGTTTTCTGTGATTCTGTTGCGAAGGACTGTACTTGTTGCAAGGCGTGCTGAACACTTTCATTGTTGAGAACTGAAACACAAAACATGTGCGATGATTATTTGTCTTCTCCTGCAAAATAACATCCAAAACACACACCAAAAACAAGCCAGCAGGACCTTACTCTCAAGGTCTTGGTTTCACCAACATGCAGAGAGGGCCTTTTTCTATGACAGTCTTCAATACTTCAGATAATTCACAGTGGAACATAATATTCTGTTTGCTGGTATCACCTTGTCATCATGCACAACTCCAACTGGATGGGAGACTCATAACGATATGATCTTAGTTATCTAAATGAAGAAGTGATGTCAAGGATCACAGACTAAAAGGTCAAAGGCACAGTGGGATATAACAAACATAAAGGGAATTAATTTCCATTTTGCGACATGTCACATAGTGCTTATGGAATGGCAGAATGGAAGTAGTGCTAGAACATTCTTCAAACTATGATGTCACTACACTGTTATCTTATAATAACACTCTATGACATCATCAATGGAATGTCACTATAATCTCCATTTCAGTTATACAATCTCCACTTCAGCTATTTGACCTCCACTTCAGCTATATGACCTCCATTTCACCTATATGACCTCCATTTCAGCTATGTGACCTCCATTTCGGGCTATGTGACCTCCATTTCAGCTATATGACCTCCCCTTCAATTATGTGACCTCCATTTCAGCTATGTGACCTCCACTTCAGCTATATGACCTCCACTTCAGCTATATATGACCTCCACTTCAGCTATATGACCTCCATTCCAGCAATATGATCTCCATTCCAGCAATATGATCTCCATTTCAGCTATATGACCTCCATTTCAGCAATATGATCTCCATTCCAGCAATATGATCTCCATTTCAGCTATATGACCTCCATTTCAGCAATATGATCTCCACTTAAGCTATGTGATCTCAATTTCAGTTATGTGATCTCTATTTCAACAAAATGATCTCCATTTCAGCTATGTGATCTCCATTTCCACTGCATGTAAGAGGACACATCCCTGAGACATACAGACTGGGCCAGACAATGTCTACTCACATGATATGTTGCGACACACTTGCCGCATGTGGTCTAGATGGGACAACACCTGGTCCACTGAGGGGTTGTCCTTCTTCATAGCCGACCCGGTCCTGTTGGTTAAAAGCACATAGCAATTATGTTTTTGGTGATATTTTAATCAGGGAAAAAACATAATTATCAATATTATTTTTACACAAAAGAAAAGTGTTGACCACCCACAATAAACTAATCTAATCTTTGAAAGCAATACTTATGTGTAGCTTGCAGTTTTTGAACACCATATCTCTGATTCTGTAACCTTCCACAACAAACAGAACTTAGTCTCTTCCTGCAATGCTACAAGCAATAATGCAGAGAGGACCAATGGCAGTCAAAGTCAGATTGGTGATTTCTTAGATTATGCTTGGCTCATAAACTGTTACATTCTCACACCAACTGATAGCTCTGTATAGGCGGGGGAGGGAGAGTTACGCATGTTACAACACAGCCTTTGGTTCACTTGACAATACACACAATCATTTCACTTACGAGGATGTATTTGTCTTGTCAGGGGGGTCAAGCTGTTTTCAAAAGAGGGGGTACCAATCAGTGATTGCTCTATCTACAGCTTACCTTTGTCTTTTCTTCGGGGTTCCATTAAACTTTGTAAGTTGTTGGTTTATGAGTTCTGCTAGCCGATCTTCATGTTCCTGGGCCCAGTACTTCAGTATTGATACTGTGAAGAAGTCATTCTTCTTACACTCTCGAACCAGTATTGGTCTCAACAAGTCCACAGCAGGGCTGAAACAATACACAGGTCATAGGTACCGTCTTCATTGACCATGCAGGTCAACATGACATCTCAAACAGGACAATGTGCAAATAGTACTTCATGAACTCAGTAAACATGTTACAATTGACAAACTTTTCTTGTTTTTTGGTTTGTTTAATGCCACATATTTCAGCTATATGACAGCAGCCTGTAAATAATCCAGTTATTGATTATATGAGCAACGATCAACTTTGTCATGGTACGATGACATTCAACAAACCTAGTGATACAGGGCTAGTAGTCTAATAGCCCAAGACGAGTGAAAATCCAGGGGTACTGGCTGTTTTCTAAAAAGATCTAGTTATTTTACATAAACCGCTAGTCCAAAATGATCCATTGACTAGCAGGATATGAGTGAGGGAGCTTTTAGCAATATTCCAGCATATCATAGCGGTGGACACAGGAAATGGGCTTCACACATTGTACCCATGTCGGGAATCAAACCCAGGTCTTTGGCATGACAAGCGAATGCTTTAACCACTAGGCAACCCCACCGCTCCAGCACGATTTGACCAATGGGTCACCCCTGACAACCAGATCCATTAAGTCACCTCCATTGACATGCATTGGTTGGTGGGGACCTATTCTAACCCGGAATACCCACTGGTTACATTTTCATTGAGTGGCATTAGTTACTCAGTGCCAACAACAAACAGTGACTTCACTTACTGGGTTAAACATGAGACAATTCCACTCACCTTTCTTGCTTAAGTAACACTAATATACTTGTCATTGCCTCCGCATGAGCTGCAAGAAACGGTCAGACATATTTCAGATGAAGAGTCAAATCATGTCTTGAACAGTTAAGCACCACAAGCAGACATCAGACAGGTCAAGGTTTTGCAAGTCTTTACAATAATTCATTTAATCTTCCAAAGTGACTTGTTCCAGTAATCATGGAAACACCGCTACGAGAGAAATCATTTTCTGTATAAAAACAAAATTTGTCTAAGACTCAACATGAAAATCAAAATGATATTAGGATTACGATTAACTCAAGTATTCGGTGAATCAACCGTATCCATTCATGAATTGAATTCGATATTCGTGACTACTAGAATCGAATATTTATGTATATGCAAGCATGTGCAATTACACAAAAATATCCATAAGAACATATTATATGCATAGATTGTCTTCAAAAGACAACACTCCTATACTATTTAATTTGACAGTATTGTTGTCACTGGTAATTGTCGCATTCGAGCAGATACTAGTACCTGGATAAGTGCAGTACATAAATGTATAATATAAATATATTAATAATTAACAAACCATGTCAAATAATTTATGATGTTATTGCTTCACTGAATATAACAAAAAAATACATCAGCTGCTGACTTGTTATTGTATTCGTGTATTAATATTCGTATTCATTACCCTATATTCGTGATGTGATTCGCCTCATAGTGCATTCGTTGCAGCCCTAATAGATATATTATCACAGTTTTACATGTAATCTATCAATGTGTTAAGACATAAAGAAAAGAATAATAATTCAGCTCTCACCTCCGAATTCTAGTTTTGGTAATATGGGTAGGATGTGTTCGATCTGTATGTTGTGAGACATGATGAGCTGCCACAGGAAGTACTGCTCGATGGTTTCCCAGTCCAGACTTTCATCTGGAGCAGACAAACATGTCATCAACCATCTCTCTACACTCTCAGTTCTGTTTAACACTGTATGAACAGTATTTCCATAATGAACAATCAAGCCATTTACAAAGTGGTCAAATGTGACAAATGTTATATTTGGGATAACACTTTCATAGTAAAGCACAGATTCTAGTACTTTTGGGGGTTGAGTCCCATCTGGGATTCGAACCCGAGGCACACAAAGTCAGCAATCTAATCCACTTAGCCACCGAGGCTTCAACAAAAATGAAAGTGAGAGGGGTACACAAAGTATGTGATCTAGACAGCCAGTTGTCAGACTTTCGTTTTTTGTGAAAGCCTCGGTGGCTGAGTATTAACCTCTCATTGGATGAATATTGACCCGTCTGCTAGAAAATAAGATGGAATCTCTTACGGTTCGCAGTCAAAGTCATTTTACGGTTCACAGCTAAATTATTCTAATGAAACAGAGGACGGATTAAAGACTTTTAAACTTAAAAGTGAATTTTCATATAACTAAATGAATGATTACTCTTGAAGGGGTAAACATTCGAAAACAAGGCCCCTGAAACCCGACCCCTGAGGTGGTCTGACCGGACCATGTCTGCTGGCCCAGGTCCGGTCAGACTGTCGAACTGGTCGGGTCTGACGGTCCTTGTTTTCGCATGATGACCTCGTCAAGAGTAATTATTTGTATAAACAACAATGTTGCTGTAATTGCACTCTCCATGTTGGACTTACTGAGCACAGAGAGGAAGGTCTCCTTGTTGTTAAACATGATCAGATGACCTTGAAGAATCTGACAAATCAAATCCTGGAGCTGAAACCAACAGGAAGTTGTCAGGAACACTGAGAGTCAGGGGTGAGTCAAACAGTTACTATTACTAAATTACATCAACAATTTTCCAAATAAAGTTTGTTTTCTTTGTTTGTTGTTTAACGCCTGCACTCAGCAATACCCAGCTATATGACAGCAGTCTGTAAATAATCAAGTCTGGACGAGACAATCCAGTGATAGACATCATGAGCATCGATCTATGCAATGGGGATACGATGACATGCATCAACCAAGTCAGCGAGTCTGACCACCAGATTCCGTCGCCTCTTACAACAAGCAAGCGCGTCTTACATGAAGATTGGGTTGCTGAAGACATATTGCAACCCGGAATTTCATGGGTCTCCAAATAAAGTAAGACTTGGTTTAGTTCAACGTCATTACCTCCAAATAAAATTTCCTTATTAAGCACTTTGGTGATTCCTACCTGTGTTCCGTCTATGCAGGATACCAACACATGCAGAAGTTCTGCATTGCCAACAGCAATGGCAGGAAACTGAAGAGAAGATATGCAAAAGTGTTGTTGTTGTTGTTGTTGTTGATGTTGTTGTTGTCTCTATATTAATGTGCATATACAAACTGGACATACAATGACATTTCACAGTTTGATAGGATATCTTCTTTACAACCATAAAAAATTGAGATTGAGGAAAACAATCCCTCACTTCAGCAGTCTACAATATGGACCAATCAAAAACACTGCATTCTGGTTATTCTGTTCCGATCATATACATATTTGACCCTTTCAGCTGTGGCATAGTTTATACAGGCAGAAGGGTGTATTAAGTCGAGGTAATATTAACATGATCAACAGAGATGATATAACGTACGTGTGTGTAGACATCAGGTATGAGATATGTAAATAATCGGACATCATCTTCCTGACATTGCTGCAAGGAAACAAACAGATCAACTTAAGCACTGTACAACCACCACAAAAGACCACTATAAGAAACTTCATTAAGACAACTACATTGCTGAAAGTGTGATTTCATCCTACATCCCAAAGTGAAAACAGCTTGCTCGAACACCCCCGGAAGTCGGTCCCTATAGAGTCCTGCACTTGAATTTCCTCTTGCTTCAATCGCACAGACAGCATGATGGGAGGCTGATGGGAGGCTGATGGGAGGCTGATGGGAGGCTGGTGAGGCTGATGGGAGGCTGATGGGAGGCTGATGGGAGAGGCTAACCCGTCATAGCAGGCTAAGTTTATAACAAGCAGGAAATACTCATATTCCCCGTCAACATGACATGTCTGGTTGTGTGCAAAGCATTAGCCCTGCAGAAACAATCACTACCATCATTACCACAGTCTAAGTCAAAGTTGTTGCAATGGAAACTCGAAAAATACATTTTTAAAAAATCCCAAACTAACAAAAGGCACTGGTTCACCACTAGACCTATCTATCTGTCAAGTTTGCTTAAGACATCTCTCATCTTTTTTAAGATATGCTGCAAAAACGAAACGTGACGGAGAGATGGACAGAAGGACTGAAAGACGGAAGGACAGCACCCATTCCAATATCCCCCTTCCACTTCATGGTGCATTCAGGTCATCTGATTTCACTCGGTGGTATTGACATTGAAGAAGGAAGCACATTGTACACTGTCATAGCACAAGAGTAATAAGTTATTTTTTCCCAGCATTTTTGGGAGTATGTTTTTTACAAAATCCTGTATCAAGTGTTCGGCCAGTGTATTGTTCCTGTACTATGGTAAATCATGGGTTCAACTGATGTAAAACAAAGCTAACAGATGTAGATATAGAACACAGGGTTAGAAACTAACAGTTTTGGTCCACTAGTCCTTATAATGATAACATAGAGCAAAACCCCTAAAATGGGCCAATTTCTACTAGTCCTTAGGATACCTTTACTATTGGACAGTTTGGCAAGGACTACAGGACTAGTGCCAATTTCTAACGCTGGCACAGATCCAGATAAATGTTCAAACCATAAACTGGAAAATACACTTACCTTTAAATCTTGTAACAAATATTCAGAGGGGTCTTTTGTATCCATACTTTTACAGAAGTCTTTGTATGTAGCCATTTTTTCTTCATTCATTTTGCTAAAATGAGAATAAACCAGAACAATATCAACACAGAAGTTCCATTGTAGTTCATGTGTAATGGGAAATTGTGTCCTTGCACTGACATGACACTGAGTAGTGTATAGAATAACTCAGGATTATGACTAACGAGCTGGGACGAATTGCAGATTATCTGTCCCTGGTGAATGAACGCCGTAAGTACTCACCAAGGGTGAATCACTCATTCACTTCAGACAGATAATCTGCAATTCATCGCAGCTATTATTCTCCAAGCTAATGAAATGCCTGAATGGCACGATGTAGGCTGTAGCAACTCTACTTTTCAGGTTTCTGAATCAAACTAACTACATATATCCTCACTTTAGTTGAATTGACGTCACGCCGAAGACCCGGGTTCAATTCCCGTGATATTGCTGGAATATTGCTAAAAGCGGCGTAAAAAAACCTACTCACTCACTCATTATTTGAATTGAGATGCATGAGGCAATAGGAAGCTATTCTGACCGAGAAACACTACATGGGGTTCAATCATGAGTACAGGTGGTGTTCTTACCTGACTTTGAGAAAGTACAGCAGATGGTACCCTATCCGGGGCTGCCGAATATACATTTCCCCTAATAACTGTAGTATCGGATGTCGACGCGGATCCTCCTCCGACATTTGACTTAAAAACCTAAAATATTGATCAAACATTTTCAGCTGCAACATATGAATTAAACAAGAAAAAACAAGCTTTCAAAATAAGCTACGTACAGGTACACATGCTGAAATTATTTGGGCTTTGTTAATCTTGTTTAAATGAAACTAGAAATTTGTCTTTACATGATAAAATAAAAGAAATAGATTTTGAATCGATGCTTACCTAAACATAACAAATATTGGCGTTCCTATTGAATCTTCTATAGATCTGAAACATAGAAAAACAATTCAAAGCAAAATTGTCACAATCAACACATGATGCTATTTGTGTCCAATAACCTGTCTCCAGTAAGAGGCAGAGTGAGATAGAGAGACTGGATTCGTGTTGGCTTGAACAGAATTACACTATATCACAGCATGTCAGCTTAATGTGAGAGGAAAGCCAAAGGTGATGCAGATAGTTTAAGTTTTCAATGTAGAGCTAGATTACCTTTTTTATTTAACCACACCAAATTCAATTTGGAACCAAATGAACAGCGTCAAATCAACTTTTTCAGTCAGAGGTGGTAATTGTGAACCTAAAGCTGTGACTGACCAATCACAATCGAGCATTTTTCACAATCACTGTAGAATACATCTGTACAACCTGGGAGACAAGTGACCGAAGTGATGCAGGTTCTCAAACCCCATGGTGCTGTAAGACCAATGTACATTATATCAGGGAGAATCTGGCTATCACAATATATTTTGCATCAAAACTATAACTTACTCTTCATCTATCTCCTGAGGAAAGAGGTTCAAGCTGAACTGGGTGCTGAGAATCTGGCACAGGCACACAGCCAGCGGTGTCGCCACATCCTGGTCGAAGTCATCCTGTACAACACAACACACAAGTTTGTACTTCATCCAACTTTCATAATGATCCTTCAAATAAACATCCTTAGAGCCGCAATATCCAAATTACAGCCATTATTGGTCGTCTGTGAACAGTCTAGACCAGACAAGCCATAAGCATCTTCCCGAAGCAATAGAGTCAACTGACTGTACAAGTCAAGATTCAACTCAACCCGAACTGGGCTGGAATTTCTGGGCTCAATCGTATTGCCACTAGTGGCTATTATGAGTTATGAACATTCTATGTCCCTCCTATTGACCAATCAGATTGCAACTCTCATATCACTTGCATTTGCTTCAAACAAAATGGTGGCGCCCAGTGAAGGCGATCTGATCGATAATTTTCATTATAATAAAATGGGTCTTACTTCACAAAGTGCATGAAATCATGAGAACACCTTGATTAAAAACATGAAAAGATTTGGAATATATATGTCGACGTTAACTTGACAGTACACATGCTTTGCAAATCCCGCAATGGACCGAAATCTGCTTTGATTTGGACAATGCATAGACTTGTTAGTCCAGCCAAAACATACATGTAACTCCATAATTCCATAAAGGGTGGAAACTGGACTTTCATAGTCAATCAACTCCCTTGCCTCAGGAAGATGATCCAGAAGTAGCATGGACAATGATCCACACTAACAGGTGATGATGGCACACAATTAGTGAGGTAACAGTGAAAACATTCATAAGTGATCTCTGACTACAAGACAGGGTGCTGGTACATGGGTACAGGTATCCTTACAAGACAGTTTAGAATCTGTACAATGAATGAAGACGTCTTTATTCTTCCAATGTGGCGTTTCAGTACAGTACCTTTATTCATTGAAAAAAGTCGCATTGAAAGAATAAGAAGTTGGTTTCCTTTAGTCAACTCGGTCTACACACATACAGTTGGATGATCACATGACTAGATGACAATCTGGGGAGGACCTACTCCGCCCAGTTTCAACAGGGGATCAGAATCAAGTGCTACACACTATCACATCCTCAATGGGCATAACAGATGAAATATGCAACTTGTAAGTGTACTGTTTAAGTATGTGTTGGGCCACAGTCAGCAATATTCCAGCTATGGCGGCACAAGTCCCACACTATCTGGGTGTCATGAAACGCAATTTATCATCCCAAACTGGCTTCCACCAGAGACATCGCAGGAGAGAGATCATGTGACATTTCCTAGGAGATATTTCCACAAAGAAATTGCATCACATTGTTCTGCAGACCATTGTGATGTCATCAGTTTCAATCATGTCACAATCAAAAGACATCACTAATCTCTCTGCCACTGAAGCTTTAGCTGTACTATAAAGACTCAAGACACCGGTTATAACTGGTTACAACAGGATAAGTTCCAAGAATGATTTCAATGAAAAATAGAATCTTACACTCGTGTCTTCCAAGCTAAAATATATCAAGACTCTTTTATCAACTCATTATAATATAATTGATCCTTGAAGACACTTGGGTAAGGTTCTCTATTCATCGCCAATACTGTGCCAGATCTCCAGAGAGGGAAGTACTCCCACCACCCACCTGTTGTATGACGGCCTGCATCAGACGATCAATGACTTCACACTGACTCTCCTGGTCGCTGATAATACAAGAACATCTAAAATTAACATTTAAAACAAAAGTTGTAAAATAATACATTGAAATAGTTAATAAAGATTAGGGAAATTACTGAATCATTTAGGGCTTTGTCTGGACACAGTTGTCAAGAGGCCTGGGGTCGGTTCCACAAAGCTATCAGGTGATCGTAACTCCCATACATTTAACATAGACTTATGACTTTATCATTGCACGATGATCGCTTTGTGGAACCTGCTCAATAAATAACTCACTCTTGTCAATTTGTAAGAGATAACGTTTTGACATCTTACAGACCGGGATTCGACAAATATATTGAATACTTTCATGGGGTCAACAAGAACAGTGACAGTAACAAAGTGCACAGAAGGAATGACAGTGTCCAACTTACGTCTCATTCTGCAACTCCTGCGTGAACCCTTGAAGGTCCTCAGGTAACTGATGAAGATTCTCGGATATATCCACTGGTTGAAAACGAGGTGGCTCGGGTATGGGTTGGAATTTCATTTCTTGCTTGAGCTTACCTGTAAAAATGATTGCCATTTATAGCATATTATCCAGTACAAATATACTAAGTCAAGGCATTTGGATGTACATACATACTCTGAAACAAACACAATATTCCAGCTGTATGATGGCTGCTTGAAAATAATCAAGTCTGGAACAGACAATCTAGTGATTGATATTCTGAACAACAGTCATTAGGAGATGACATAGCCCTGCAGTCTGGTGCAATACGGAAATGGAGTTTGGTTACTTATACCCCATCGGGGTATGATGACTCGCAATCAATTAATTGGTGAGTGTAAACTTCGTTAGAGATATCACCGCACATAACTTGCATTGTTCCAGCCACCTCAAATACCACTTGGAATGGCTGATAGCACAATGACTTTCCTCCCCTTCATACTCAGGAAAACAGTTTTCCCAACGAACTATCATATCTAACAATCTTGAGAGGGCTTGCTTGTAAGAGGCAGCAATCATTAAATCAGATCTTTGCCGAACTTGCATCATTTTGATTGATTTTGTTCATGAGCAAGAGAAATTTGGAGTTGTCGTCAAGAGGGGGAAAACTTCTGAAATGAAGATATGGTGGCAAAATGGTGCTGGAGATATATCTCAATAGGATGGAGACATACCAGCCTGGATAAGCTCTATGGCATGCCGATGACCCTGCAGGGTGAAGGGCAAACCACAGTCTAACGTAAAATACAAGCATGTGTTGTTGTAACCATGTATACACATTCAGTTAAAGAAAAGATTGGAAAGTAGTGAAAATCTTGCAGGCAATTTACCAAGAGGAATCTCATCTTCCTCATCACTAAATCTTGCATCCGACAAGTTGTTGTCCTCCACATGATTGCTGCCGTTGTCCAGGTCAATTACCTCCCCTTTCAGTGCTGACTCCTCCTTGGGTGCTGCAAGACACAATCACAGACTGAAGCATGGAGGCAGTATCGGCACTACAGGGAAATCTTGGCATCAAATCTTTCCTATTAAGTTACTACTCTTGAAGCTGAAATGTCATTTTTGATAAAACGGACTTACAAACTGCAATCAGTGTAATGGTTAAATCTATTTGTAAGCTCAATTGTCTCATGGTGCTAAACAATTCTCATGGCTTGGAAACCAGTAAGTTTGGTTGAAAAACCTCAACTGACTAAATACATGAATACCCTCTCCCAGTTAGAGCTGTCAATATCTTCACTTCTATATGTAACAGTATGTACAGTTCAACATTGCTGTTTCTTGATGGCACTGTGCACAGTAGCAAGGATCTCAATGGAACAACACGCCACGAGTCTCAGATTTAACATCTTTGAAATAATCACAACCAACTTCCCTACCTTCTGGTGAACAGAACTCTGCAAATTTGTCTCGTAACAATGTCCGGAGTTCTCGGTCCAGTTTCGGGTTATCAAACAGCGGTGATAAAGACCTGTAATGGTGGAAATAAATGAATGAATTTGGTCTCACATCACTTTGGACAGTGTGTCAGTTTGATGTGAGGAAAGCGCCATAGCGACAGAGTTTTACCTTGAGCACGGGTAAGATGCTTAAACAAACTAGAAATATAATCAGGGCAAATCTGAAGCGCGAAGCTACTATCATAGGTGTCTAGCCTGCCTAAGGGATGGCACTCAGCATAGACAATGTGGCCAGCCAATGTGAGGTAGACACCTTGAGTGGTTTATGAGAGAGTGAGTGAGCATGATTTTATGCCACTTTTAGCAATATTCCGGCAATATCACGGCGGGGGACACCGGAAAATGGGCTTCACACCTTGTACCCATGTGTGGAATTGAACGTAACGGAGTGGCTTATGAAAAAAATGGCTCTAGATGCTAAAATTGACAGAACATTTACGTTAATATGTATTATTCCCCCAGTCTATGCCAAGAACAGTTGAGGCTTCTAGCCTGGATCATTTTCTAGAGATGTTAATGTGAGTTTTGGATTATTAATAGCTGAGCTCACTAGACCAAACATAATTTTTACTGGACTCGGGCTTCGGGCTAGTGGCTAAAGTCACAGACTGCATTCCTAATATTATCTAGGTGAGCATGGTGAAAGATGATAATTTAATAAATCCATACAACTGACAGCTAAGTTTTTTCTTCAATATGGCTAATACATGATACCTCAGATGATCTGCCATTTTCAGTATCATTACCACCTGGTTAATTTCATACCCTATCACGAACCATACTTAATGTTTAATGTTCGGACCCATATATATGGCTATAGGTTTCTGTGGCATTGGACAAACCTTTGTCACTGCACAGAGGTCAATTTGCCTTGACATGTTCAGATACAAAAACAGATTCACCCAAAACAGAAGTGTCAATGTAAGCAGTCACCCTGTGTTAGAGGACTACTACCGGTACTGTAAATCATGAAATTAATGCATTACCAAACGCTTGACATGTGATCTCACTTCTATGATATCAAAAGCAGGAAATTCTAAATAACTCATATCTAAATGAGATAGATTGGGTCACTGAGGAAGGTTGTACAGGTTCCAAGTGAACAGTGACAGTAGTTACCAAACTACTGGTGCTGCACGGGACACAGCACTTTTTGTTTGTTTGTTTAACACCAGCTATATGACTGCGGTCCGTAAATAATCGAGTCTGAACCAGACAACCCGGTGACTGACATCATGCACATTGATCTACCTTGTTGGGATACAATGACATGCATCAACCAAGTCAGGAGCTGGACCAGCCAATCCTGTTAGTCGCCTTTTACGACAAGCATGGGTAGCTGAATACCTCTTCTACCCCGGGTCTTCACGGGTAATGTGGGTGAGCAGTGTTCTTGTCATTATAAGATTATTAAAAGTTTACCAAGAACAAAGACGCCATCATAAGCAGCTGGTGACTGCCATAATAGCTTGATCAACTAGTGTGAACAAACTGACCACACTTGAGGTTGAACGTGGTGAAAAGCATATTGTTTACTGTCATCTTTGTTACAGATGTCAATGTTACCTACGTGCAGTGAACCTGAATATATTCCAGTATGTCCAGATGAAAATGAATCACTTCATTCATTCTGGCACTGGACACATTTTCCCCCAACTTTCTCGCTTGCATTAATTTCATGATTACAATAATCAAGACCATTGAATATACAACGTCTTTCAGCATTGATACTTACTGTAAAACTCTCTTCTCCAGTATTGTTTTTAAAGATGTGAAGATACCCTGGCGAACTTGTACCGACAACATGGGACAGTAATTAGTCAAGATCTGCAACAGAAACATGTCCTGTTACTGATGGCACTGGGGTGTGGGTGGGTCAGTGAGATTGGCATCACAGTGGGTGACACTAAGAAAGGTTTCACATGTTGCAGGCATTTGGGGATTGAACCAAAACATTGGCTACTGATGGTACTGGGACGATGAAACATATTTTCCAAACTTTAATAGATAGAGTACAGAGTTACAGAATAATTTTCGTCTGTAATAGAACGTAAGTAAATACTTTCATAATGATAATAAAACTTTCTCAGAAAGAAATGTTCTTTACAAATATGGAAGGTGAGAAATAGAACCAGAACTAAACCACTGTGGGTATTTACGACTACAAAGCACGTACCCTACACAGGAAGTCCAACAACGTGGCGGTGATGGCAGGATGAGGTCGCATTGAGTGGTACATCACCAGGATGGCAGGCTCTGCAGCAGGGAAAGGCTCTCATTAGTCAACACAAGATCAAGTACTCATCACATTAATATTACAAATAACAATAACTAAACATTCTTAAAATACAATTTCAAAGGCTACCGACATGAAGGACAGCACATTTCTGCATACAGACACTGGCAACAAATACAATAACCTATTGAGTAGGTGTTATAACCGTGGAGGCTTTTATCTATTTTTTGCTTCACAGATATTTTTTAAGAACCACTGGACCAGTGGATGAAATTAAAAAAACTGAACAAAAGACATTGATATACATGTTATTTTTTTGGCACTTACCAATGTTCATGATGCTGTCTCTCTCGGGAACAAACAACAGCCAATCATAGAAGAGAGCAAGCTTAGCGTCAGAGGCTGCCACGTTGGACTGGAGCAGAGTAAACACAGTTCAGTTCAACAAGTTACCTTAATCAAACCATAAAATGTGTAATATTCAGAACGGGGTCTGAGTAACAAGTTGGTCTGATGACAAACAGGCCTGAATTTCTGCACAGATTATGAACTTCATGAATAACAAGTATTTGTCACAGAGTGACGAAATATCCCCCACCATATACACCATAGTACCAAATATGAAGACAATCCAGCGATTAGTTCTTGAGATATTGTGGCAACACCGTTTTCCAACTCCAAAAACAGATTTGCCTGCTGTGACCTTGAAAATGGGGTCAAGGTCACCAAATCTGACAGGTGTATGCGGTGTCTCTATATACACTATAGTTCCAAATATGAAGACAATCCAGCGATTAGTTCTTGAGATATCGCGGCAACACCGTTTTCTAACTCCAAAAGCAGATTTGCCTGCTGTGACCTTGAAAATGGGGTCAAGGTCACCAAAACCGACTGGTGTCTGCGGTGTCTGTATATACACCATAGTTCCAAATATGAAGACAATCGAGAGGTTTAGTTCTTGAGATATCGCGGCAACACCGTTTTCCAACTCTAAAAGCAGATTTGCCTGCTGTGACCTTGAAAATGGGATCAAGGTCACCAAAACCGACTGGTGTCTGCGGAGTCTGTATATACACTATAGTTCCAAATAAGAAGACAATCCAGTGTTTAGTTCTTGAGATATCGCGGCAACACCGTTTTCCAACTCCAAAAGCAGATTTGCCTGCTGTGACCTTGAAAATGGGGTCAAGGTCACCAAAACCGACTGGTGTCTGCGGTGTCTGTATATACACCATAGTTCCAAATATGAAGACAATCCAGTGTTTAGTTCTTGAGATATCGCGGCAACACCGTTTTCCAACTCTAAAAGCAGATTTGTCTGCTGTGACCTTGAAAATGGGATCAAGGTCACCAAAACCGACTGGTGTCTGCGGAGTCTGTATATACACCATAGTTCCAAATATGAAGACAATCCAGTGTTTAGTTCTTGAGATATCGCGGCAACACCGTTTTCCAACTCTAAAAGCAGATTTGTCTGCTGTGACCTTGAAAATGGGATCAAGGTCACCAAAACCGACTGGTGTCTGCGGAGTCTGTATATACACCATAGTTCCAAATATGAAGACAATCCAGTGTTTAGTTCTTGAGATATCGCGGCAACAAACAGGTGGGACGTACGGACGTACGGACGGACGGTCGTGAATACTATATCCCCCGCTTCGCGCTTTCGCGCGGCGGGGGATAATAACATCACACTGTCACTAAATAAGACCTGTAACAATTGTGTTTGTTGTTTAACGCACACTCAGCAATATTCCAGCTACTGTATTCAACACAACAAGCGCCTAGGGCGATCTCAAAATTAGAAATTGGGGGCTCTTAATAGAATATAATTTTACGGCCCCACCCCCACCCCCACCCCCACCCTCCAAAAAAAAAAACAGGGTTGAAAGATCGTAAATATTGTGGTTAATGCTGACAGCCTGAAATGATACCAAAGAAAAGAAAAGAAAAGTATTATACACGACAGATATATTTTCCAGAATTTAATTGCACGTAATTAAGGGTGCATATAACACACAAGTACGTGTCATACACGAAGAAATAAGTCTTGTGTACATTGATCAATTTGAAGGGGCGCTAATTGGGATTGTTCAATAGCCAATACATCAGCAAATATCGCTGTGGGCACTTATTACATCGAATACGGTATATGACGGCCTATAAATAATCAAGTTTGGACAAGACAATCCAGTAGCAGCTGGTGTGATAATATGCAATCAGCCAAGTCATTGAGACTGACCACCTGATTCATTTGGTCACCATATATGACCAGCATATGATGCGTGGGACCTATCCTAACCCAGAATCCCCACAGGATGCCTGTAATAATAGATAAGGAAGAATACTGGCTAGCATGATATTATTTATACCAGTCAGGATATACCAGTCATATCACAACTGTCTGTAAATAATCTAGGCTGTGCATATGAGTGAGTGAGTGAGTGAGTGAGTGAGTGAGTGAGTGAGTATTGTTTTGAAGAATTTTCCTATTCGGAATATTCTATAAGTAATACGTTACCACTGTTATACCGAGGCTGTTGTCTCCCACAACTGCTGCTATAGCGAAATCTACCACAGAGATCTCAATTACCTCATGCAGCACGTGCGTAGCCACCTAGCTGCCATGTGACACCCTTCACTCTTGTCTCCTGCGAGAGCAAGTGCTCGGGGGACGGACGGGCGGGCAGCAGCCCAGTGGTAACGTATTACTTATAGAATATTCCGAATAGGAAAATTCTACAAATTACATTAAGTAATACGTTACCACTGTTATACCGAGGCTGACTACCACAGTAGGCGGTGGGGAGCACCTACAACCCGAATCCTGACTGCTAGCGTTCCTTCCGACCAGCGGAAGTAAACACCAAGGCGGAAGCACTCGATGCGCATGCACCTAGCTAGGCGTTACCCTATAGGAATACCAAAGCACTGTCAAGCGCATACCGTAAGGCTCAATCGTCATTGCCAAAACGATTGGTGACTCCAAACGGCCCCACTGGATAGGTATTTCATCGCCGCAGCGGATGAGAACACTGTATCCGCGTGAGCTTAATCTTAGATCAGGTTAAACAGTCGAAAAGAGGGAAATTAATTTCATTCAGACCGTATATCCCAGAGCAAGCCTACTTAAAGTATGCATTAGGCGCGTGACCTAATTCCAGTATTTGTAAGCATGCATCACAAGGTTGGGATACACGACAGACAATTAAAGACATAATTGTCAAAATACAAATAAGGACAAAGCACACAAAAAGCCGCCCTCACCTGTGGTGTGAGTGCGCTGGTTTGCGGGACCCCAACTCCTGTACCCACGGCAGTGGGAACATTGGAGTCGACCCAGATTGACCACCGTGCAAGGTCAGACGCCTGAGGAGTTCGGAATTGCGCTGGGCACACCCCTTAGGTGCCCGCTTGCGCCGCGATCCGCGGGCCAAGACGGTGCACACTCTCCACGACGGCATCAGCGACCTGTTTGAGGTAATGATTGGCAAAAACCGAGTCAGAACGCCAGTAACAACCTCGGAATATTCTGCGAACAGAGATATTCGAGTGTAGGGCAAATGTTGCCGCTAGCGCCCTGATCTCGTGCGGGTTTGACCCCGCTACCGGTAACCCCCGAAACCGGTACGCCAGATTGATGACAGAACGAAGCCACAACGCAATCGAGTTGCGAGTTATGTCAACCGTGCGATTAGGGTTACACGATACGAACAGACGGTCACGCCCTTGTCTACGTTCATTCGAAGCCTTAAGATAATACTTAAGGGCCCTAACCGGACACAGCGCTCTGTCCTCAGTATCAGCAGGATGTAAGATTTCTTTGAGTGATCTTACAGTGAATTCTCTCTCCGTTTGCCCGACTCTCTGATTCTTGGCGACGAAGCCCATGAGCAGGCCCAGGCGGACCGCTCCTTCGTCACCCCTATCGAATCGTACCTTGGCGACATTGAGTGCATGAATTTCGGATACACGTGCCGCCGTGGCAAAGGAGAGGAGAAATGCTGTTTTCCAAGTCACATGCCGGAACGAAGCACTATGCAAGGGTTCATACGGAGCTTCCGTAAGTGATTGCAACACTAGGGAAAGATCCCAGGCCGGTGCCCGAAGGCGGCCCTTCTTAAGATCGTGCTGTTTGAAACCCTTGATAATACCCCGTATCACCGGCTCTTTGGAGAGACTGGTACCCATAGCAACGCCCCGTACCGTAGCAACGGACGAGACATAGTTGGCAATGGAACCCCCGGAGAGTTTCCGGGTCTCTCGCAAGTGAGACATGAAACGAGCAAGATCCTGCACAGATACCTTATCTGGCGAATGAATGTGATGTTTAAAACACCACTTCGTGAAAATAACCCAACGTGTATTATACACCTTCTGGGTAGAATCACGATGCATACTAACGTATGCCCGAGACGCCCGGCGAGAAAAAACTTTACTCCTCAGACGCTCGGTGACAACATCCACGCGTGCAGATTGAACTGCCCTGCGTTTGGATGAAGCTGACGGGTGTGAGGGTGGATCAAGAGATCCGGTCTCACAGGCAGTGGAAGTGGCGACTGCGTGACCTGGGTCAGCAAGTCGGGGTACCACGATCAGTTCGGCCACATGGGCGCGACCAGTAACATTCGACAGCGAACTCCTCGGAGCCGGCTTAGAATGTGTGGTATCAACGCTGTCGGCGGGTAAGCATAAGCGTCCAAGCCCGTCCAGTCTAACGCGAGAGCATCGTGATCAATGGCCCTCGGGTCCGGGACTGGTGATACAAACAACGGGAGTTGATTGTTGAACCGTGTTGCGAACAGGTCGACCATCGGACGACCCAAACGTTCGCACAGTCACTGAAACACTACTGGGTTCAGCATCCACTCTGTGGGGCTTGGATCCTGAGGCCTCGATAGAGCATCGGCCAGTACGTTCCGCACACCGGGGATGTGACGGGCGCGTATCTGGCACGGGACACTGTCCACCAGAGCGTAAAACTCGAACGTGAGATCGAGTAGCGAGTGACTGTGGGTTCCCCCCAGTTTGTTCACATAGGACACTACCGTCGTGTTGTCGGTCGCCAGCATGAGCCGGGCGTCGACGAGACGATGCTTCCAGTGATTGACTGCGTTGATCACTGCCTTGAACTCGAGACAAGTGATGTGAAGACCTAGTCGTCTACGCACCACAGCCCCGAGCTCACCTCCCCCTTTAGATGGGCGCCCCAGCCCACTAGAGAGGCGTCTGTATACAGGGTCAACGTGGCCCGGTAGGGCCGCATAGAGACTCCTGATAAGACAATGTAAGGGACCGTCCACCACTCCAGATGCGGTCGGAGCCGATCCGGGAGGGCGACGGTCGCACTGGTCACCTCCGTTGCTAACAACTGGATTAAAAACCGTTGCAGCGGGCGGAGTTGGAGACGACCCCGTGCGGTGCAGTCCTGGGCTGATACAAGTAGCCCTAACAGCTGTTCCCAAAAGTGAACAGTCTGTTGCACCGCTAAGACTTTGGCAATCATCGCCTGAATTTTGTGCCACCGGTCTGGGGGGACAAAGAGGCGATGGGACACCGTGTTGAACCGACCTCCGATGAACAGCAAGTTCTGAGAAGGGGTTAACTCGCTCTTGGGGAGATTGAGAATCCACCCAAATTGCTCCAAGAGCCGACGTGCAAAAACGAGATGGCGTGACAGGGTGTCCGTCATTCGATTTGCTACTAGCGAGTCGTCCAGGTACGCGAAGTACCGGACACCCCTCCTATGGAGGAACCCCACTATGGGGGTGGTTAACCGGGTGAACAGCCAGGGAGCGGACGTGTGAATCATTCTGAGTTCGGCACTGTCCTACTTGGGAACGAGAAATATCCTGGAGTAAAACCCCGGTGTTATTTCTGGTAGAGCTAACTCCCGTACTGCCCCTTCTCCACCAACCTGCCGATGGCATCGGCGAGGATGGGAAGATCGGTTTCCGAATCGAAACCTGCCAACGGGGCAACGGTGAGCGGCGGATTCGCTTTGAGATCAAGCCGATAGCCGTACCGAATCGTGTTGACCACCCACGGGTCGTCGAACACTTGTTCCCAATTCTCCCAGTAAGTCTGGAGTCTGGCTCCCACTGGGGAAGGAGAGGGGGCCCGGACAGGTTGCGGCAGGCGCAACTGTCCAGGGCCAAGTGACTCGGGTTCGCCTAAGGGCCAACCGAAGTTGGCGCTGTCAGCATACGAACCCCTCCAATGAGAGTCACCTGGAGGGGCCTTGCCGTCCGTCGACGATTTGGGCTTCCCCCAGTTCCCCGTCTTCCCGCGAAAGGGCAGCTGATTGCCCATACCGGAGCCCTCAGGGCAGGGCTACTTCCCAGAGGAAGAAGAACCCGACCCCTTAGACCTACCGGCCGCAGCAGCCTGGGGCGCGCTCCGGTTAGGAGCGGCACCCAGGCGCCTATGCAGGGACCCAACAAGAGCAAGTGTGTGCCGAGAGTCCTCGGCAACGTACTCCAGGGAAGCATTTAAACTGAGCAGGCAGTTGTAAATGTGCTGGTCACGGTCCGTGGGAAAACCTTCGACCAGACGGGCCGCTGCAGCCAAGCTGGTGCAAGGTAGCTTGCGTTACCGTAGCAGCCGGTGGGGCACGGACACCCAACCGCTCAACATGGGCCTCCGCGGTAGGACCAGCCTCGGGAAAGGCAAGGTCATGTACCGGGAATAAACCCTTTCTCCACGACGTCGGAGGCAACGGGAGACCCCGACAGGAGGCCGCCGCGAAGGCATTCTCCAAGGAAGGCTTGAAACCGCGCAGCAAGGTTGATGCGGGGAAAGCCGTGTCGGAAGACTCATCGTATACCTCGGAGGAACCCACAGTCGTGGATTCCCCGCGGTACCGGCCGGGGCATGTCCTCAAAGAGGTCATAAACCATGGCCACGCGGTCCTTAACCGATAGCGGGAGCAACGGTTCGGGGGAAGGACCGGTGACCACGGGAGCCGCCGCCGTACCGGTGGACCCCGCGGCCACCGAAGTGGCCGGGGACGGAACAGCCAGCGGCCTATCCGGAGATAAGGCCGCCAGCTTGGAGTCCACAAGTTATGCAAGTAATGCAGCGACGGAATCCCCGGACAGCACACGGGCCGCCAAGAGATCCGCCGCTTTACCGGTGGACCCCGCGGCCACCGAAGAGGCCGGGGACGGAACAGCCAGCGGCCTATCTTGCGATAAGGCCGCCAGCTTGGAGTCCATAAGTTTCGACAACAATGCGGCGACGGAATGCCCAGACAGCCCGAGGGCCACAAGGGGATCCGCCGCAGCCGAGGAGGTGGTACCCGCACGGGGACCCCGACCGGACGAACCGGCCACCACAGGGGTGGAGACGGACTGTACGTACAGCCGGTACCGCTCAAACTCCACAGGCCCCAGACCTTCGCACAGGATGCACCGGGTGTCCCCCCAAGGAACCCTGCACCGCAGGCAACGATCGTGGGGATCCCGGGACGACAAAAACTTTCTGCACACCCCACAACTCCGAGGAGCAGGGGTAGAGGGGGTGGATACTGGGGACATATCCATGTCAGACATTGATTGTTTGCTATAAACAAAGAACAAAACATGGTTACAACGCACGCACCACAATGATTCACAAACGAACATTTTCACAAGAAAATAAACGAGCAATGTGAACATATAACATACACATATAACTTTTATTAAAGAAATAAGTGATGTTAACCCCCAAAACATACAAGAACAGGGGAAACGTAAAACACAACGTGCATACGCGAACCCCGCAAGTATATAGAAAAAAGGGCGGGAAAAAATTTCCGTTTGGCGGGAAAATTATAACCAAGCGTAGCTACCGCAACGCCCCATAAAAGCACAGTTTATTAGAGAATAAACTATAATAAATATCACCAAATCTTCAAGGAACGCTTCAGCAGGAGAAAACACGTCTTGCTAAGCAGACGAAGGAGACAAGAGTGAAGGGTGTCACATGGCAGCTAGGTGGCTACGCACGTGCTGCATGAGGTAATTGAGATCTCTGTGGTAGATTTCGCTATAGCAGCAGTTGTGGGAGACAACAGCCTCGGTATAACAGTGGTAACGTATTACTTAATGTAATTTACGCTGCTTTTAGCAATATTCCATCAATATCACAGCGGGGGACACCAGAAATGGGCTTTACACATTGTACCCATGTCAGGAATCAAACCCGAGTCTTCGGCTTGACGAGCAAACACTTTAACCATTAGGCTACCCGACCGCCCCGGCTGTGTATATGAGAAGCTATTCAAACACAGGAGCACAAGGATCAGAGTCACCACCCAATCCTTATTTTACAAAGACATAGTAATGATCCTGCAAGACAATCGAAGGTACTTACTGTACACGTGGTGAGAAGCCAGCCAATCACAGCCCAGCGTGGAATGATGTCAGAACACAGAAGCTCATTGGATGGATGGAACACAGCACAGATGTAGCGGATGAGATCACACCGGAGGGACTGGCTCTCAGGGGTTGACAGGTACTGGAAGAAATCATATCAGTGTTTCATTGTCATCCCGTAACTCTCAGGACAGGTACTGGAAGAAATCATATCAGTGTTTCATTGTCATCCTGTAATTCTCAGGACAGGTACTGGAAGAAATCACATCAGTGTTTCATTGTCATCCCGTAACTCTCAGGACAGGTACTGGAAGAAATCACATCATTGTTTCATTGTCATCCTGTAACTCTCAGGACAGGTACTGGAAGAAATCACATCAGTGTTTCATTGTCATCCCGTAACTCTCAGGACAGGTACTGGAAGAAATCATATCAGTGTTTCATTGTCATCCTGTAACTCTCAGGACAGGTACTGGAAGAAATCATATCAGTGTTTCATTGTCATCCTGTAACTCTCAGGACAGGTACTGGAAGAAATCATATCAGTGTTTCATTGTCATCCTGTAACTCTCAGGACAGGTACTGGAAGAAATCATATCAGTGTTTCATTGTCATCCTGTAACTCTCAGGACAGGTACTGGAAGAAATCACATCAGTGTTTCATTGTCATCCCGTAACTCTCAGGACAGGTACTGGAAGAAATCACATCATTGTTTCATTGTCATCCTGTAACTCTCAGGACAGGTACTGGAAGAAATCACATCAGTGTTTCATTGTCATCCTGTAACTCTCAGGACAGGTACTGGAAGAAATCATATCAGTGTTTCATTGTCATCCTGTAACTCTCAGGACAGGTACTGGAAGAAATCATATCAGTGTTTCATTGTCATCCTGTAACTCTCAGGACAGGTACTGGAAGAAATCATATCAGTGTTTCATTGTCATCCTGTAACTCTCAGGACAGGTACTGGTAGAACTCAGATCAGCACCGTTTAGGAGGGAGTATTGTTTTACTCTGCTTTCAGCGATATTCCAGCAATATTCCAGCAATATCATGCAGGGAATGTCAGGTGATCAGATCGCACATGATCGCATCACATGGGATTGCATCAAACAAGTACTTGTTCCATATTTTAAGTAGTCAGTTTCAGCGTTTAGCTGCTGTCTAATAACAGTGTGGGACACAAACCATGTAGGGGATGTCATGAACTAAACCCTGATCACGTACCAAGAGGGTAAACATAGTAAAGCACTACCCACTATGCTACCACAGCTCATACACAGCAACGGAACAATATCTTAAAATTACTATTCTTTACGTGCTGGAATAGACTTGATTTATTATTTCATAACACTTTGAGCATGTTGAGTAAATTTGGTTGCTTGTCTATGGGTTACTAAGTCAGTTTGTTACCTACCTGTCGCTGAAACCAATCTTGATATCGTTTCTGCTGCCCAAATTTCACCTGGAAAACAACACAGGGCATTACTACACAGACAACCTATATTGGTGGTTAAAATTGTAGACATGGGCAGACCAAAAGACGGATAGAAAGTAACGTGAGTAAAATCAAGGAAAACACCATCACACAATCATAATCATGATGATGTTGACAAACATTGTTAAACATTGTGCATCTTAAAACATGCATTCTTTGACGATGTAGCTTCTACTGGCTGACCAGACAAGTGAGTCGAGCCTTGTGCCTCATTAGTTCCAACACATCAAGGTGTGTCCGCCTCAGGTGGAGGTGGAGGTGAAGGTGAAGAAAAGACCCGTGAGGATTCCGGGGTAGAATAGGTCTTCAGCAACCCATGCTTGCCATAAAAGGCGGCTATGCGTGTCGTAAAAGGCGACTAACGGGATCGGGTGGTCAGGCTCGCTGACTTGGTTGATGCATGTCATCGATCCCAATTGTGTGGATCGATGCTCCTGATATCAATCACTGGTTTGTCTGGTCCAGACTCGATTATTTACAGACCGCCGTCATATAGCTGGAACATTGCTGAGTGCGGCATTAAACCACAAACAAACAAACAAACATGAGGTGGAGAAAAGCAACAGTTTGTGGACCGTTGGTGAGACCAATCACTACGATCAAGTAGAACAGGTAAATGGCTGACAGATCCTGGATCTATGAGAAGAATCTGAAATTCAAACCCACGAACAGCTGATCCTGCAAATGCAAAGGGAGGCAACTCCACACAGAGCATTGTGGTCAAAATTCAACCAAACCTGACATCATAGAACAAAAAGGATAGAAGATAACGCTGAAGTATTTATCTGTACCTTTGTCAGCAAGAAGACAAGCTTGTTCTCCATGTCAGGAGTGAGACGTGCAATGAAGAACTTGCGTGATGTCCGTGTTTGCAATAACTGCAGAATGCCTGAAAAAATGTAACTTTCAGTTATTAGTCAGTGTGTCAAAAGTCATCAGCAGTGTCTCATAGTATCTAGCAATAATCATACTTGTGCTAGTAGCATAGAATATATGGAATCCAAACAGGGTAAAATATTACGATGAAGTAAGTACATTATTAGATCAGCACTAGCATCAATGCCATCACACAATATATTAATACTGAGCACAACATATATTTCCTATTTACTTATAAACTATCTGATGGTGTATATTTGAGACTGATGACAATGAGTGCTTTCATGGCACGTGGTCATGTGTACAGCAGGTCACAAATCAGGCAACGCAGGTCATGGAGAGTTGTTGGATGGGTGACCACCTTCTGCAGCTTGACTCCTTGAGAGCGTCAGTCCTGCCCCACACTCAAGCACATAAGGCGCATGTGGTGTCTCTTTGGGAAAGTAAAATATGGCTCTGTTCACTGGGCAGTTAATGGGTACCAAGTAGGTGGGATGAGGTGAAATTGGGTTTAATGTCGCGTCCAAGATTATTGCACTTATATAGCGACGTGCATGTAAATGTGTGTGTTTGTGTGGCTGCTTGTACTAGTCCGGACTGATGCCGATTTATAGTGCTAGCTCACTGAGATACCATGCCGCAGTTTAACATGAATACCCCACTCAGACACAGTATACTGACTCTGAGCCAACCAGTCCTTGTTTAAGCCCCTTAATGCCGAGCGCCAGACAGGGTAACAACAAGTACCATCTTTTAACGTCTTTTGATATGACGCGTCCGGCTTCCGCTCTCCGGGCGGATGCTCTACCACTAGACCACAGAGGCGGTCCGGTACCAAGTAGGATGAGATGGTAATGTGACTGCTAAACTTATAGTGCCTCACAGGCAGCTTGGGTTGTATACATCTCAGGAAGTTGAGAATACAATTCGGTGCACACTGATCAAGTGACCGGGGTAATAAGAGTGTAGCCATTGAGCATGCCTCTGTGATGTGGAAATATTGTGTAATATAAATGGCCTCATTATTATTAACTTAAGACACAGAACATCTACCTGTGAATGTGGGACACAATGCTGTTGGATTGTTTATCATGTCCCTCCAAAATTTATCAAATTCAGGAACCCTGGCAACGTTTTGGAGAAGTCGGATGAGATCCCGTCCAATCACCATACAATCAACAAACTGAAACAAAAACATTGGAAACTTTAGTTAACTTTGAGGAGCATATATGGGGAAATTAACCTACAATGTCCTGAGACTACTCCCTGGCTGAACTGGTGTCCGTACTCCTACTACTTGAGATACTTTCCATTGCTATAATCTGATGGTTGCAGGTCGTCTTGCCTTACCATGCCTACATTATTTCAACTTTCCTGCCCCCATCATATCCCACTCCAATTACTAAACATACATCTCCATGAAGATGTGGGTTAGAATTGGTGTTAAGCTTGTAAGACTGACAGGATCGGGTGGTCAGGCTCACTGACTTGGTTGATGCATGTCATTGTATCCCAAATATTGCTGAGGGCGACGTGAAACAACAAACAAACAAACAAACAAACATATAAGTATAGGCACAGTGAGATAAGCATGGTAAGATGCCATGAAATCGTGTTTAACGTCACATTGAAGATGACCATGCCGCAAATTAACATGGGGTGAGTGAGTGAGTTTGGTTTTACGCTGCTTTTAGCAATATTTCAGCAATATCACAGCAGAGGACACAAGAAATGGGCTTCACACATTGTACCCATGTCGGGATTCGAACTCGGATCTTCAGCATGACGAGCGAACGCTTTAACCACTAGGCTACCCGACCGCCCCCAAATTAACATGGACACCACTGAGACACAGTATAGTACTCCAAGCCAACCGGTCCTGATCTTATCCCCTTAATGCTGAACTCCAGACATGGAAACACCCAGAGGATCAAACCACCGACCTGCTCTCTGGGCAGTCTCCAGACACAGTGAGTGACTGATCTGCAAGTCATAAATAATCAGATCTGGCCCTTGCAAACCAGTGGTTGATACAATGAGCAACAGACCATAGACATGGGATACAGTGGCTTACAGTCAACCAGGTCACGCATTACTATCCTCATCTGTCAGCTCTTACAAGTATAGACACTGGAAGCTGGTCTGCCCCAGAACCCCCACGGCTACAGTAAACCATCAGGTTCATACACTAAGGCTGAGAGTGAGTGAGTATGGTTTTATGCTGTTTTTAGCAATATTCCAGCAATATCACGGCGGGGGACACCGGAAATGGGCTTCACACAATGTACCTGTGTCGGGAATTGAACCCGGGTCTTTGGCGTGACGAGCGAACGCATTAACCTTTAGGCTACCCGACCGCCCCCCAAGGCTGAGATCCTAGTTTTACCTTTTCTCTAAGAAGTCCAATACAAAGCTCCACCTCCTTCTGGCGAACAACGGACAGGTTGGGGTTTCCATGGTCGACAATGACCCGCAGAAATGTGTAGACCACTCCCGGGATGAGCTGGGGATTCTTCTCCAGCCACTGTCTGAAATATCACAATGTTTGTGTAGGGTTTAATGAACACTGCCTTAGACAGGACGAGAGCCACTTTCATTAATAATCCCAAGCTGGCCTCCACATCATATATCATTGGGTGAGATCAAGTAAACTCTCCTTGGAGATGTAGCTACAATGACATTGCATCACAATGCCTTGCAGACCATTATGACATCATTGGTTATGACATCACAATCCAATCACTAAACTCTCTGCTACTGAAGCTGGTTAGCAGTCCATTTCAGACACAAGACATTCATTATTTCTGCTCACAAACTCAGTGAATCCTGACAACTAAGGGAAACAAAGTGAAAATAACAAAGTGAAAATAACAAAGATAAAATATCTGATATCAAAAGACACAAAGTGAGATTCTACTTATCATCCAAAGTCATTCTTCCAACATATTCGTTGTGGGTTTGAATCCAAGGGCCACCTGTGTTATGTTAACAATTTTTAGTTTCCGCATCATTCCTGGACCAGTTTGACCAAAGTCCCTCACTTCTGACCTTTAATAAAAAATCATCCAAGTGTCTTTTGATACCAAATAGACCTACACGAATTTATTTTTAACAAGTGTTGATAATTCTTATTTTAAAGATTACTTATTATTTTCAACATATTGCAGCACTGACATCACAGTCAAGCCAGTCAAGCCAGATTACTGTGCAACTCTACTCACTTATATTCTAAGAACATATCCAGCATGCTCTCACAGAGCCAGATATTCTTTGTTGTGACATCACCACCTGCAAAAACACATCACAGTAAATGAGAACCATAGAATCTTAATAACATGCTGAAACAAGTCTTACATGATAGTTAAAATATGCTCTTTGTTAAATAGCAGTACCCCATCCAGTGCTTTTGTCACAAGGTAAAATTATCACTGTCTTGGTGGCATTCCCATATATCGTGCAGTCTCGCAAGCAACACTGCAACTGCATCATTAGGGCGCCAGATACTTGTTGCGCCACTTTGGACATAAACATACTGTGTTTTCCATGAGAGTTTGGTTACCTGTAGATTTAACCATGCTTAATTGAATTTGGAACCAAACGTGCAGACGAGGATGAGAACTACCTGCAATCTGTCTGATGAGAGAGCTGCACACACTGTCAGCACCTGTCACGTTGTTCCGCACCAACTCCTTACAGAGCCACACCAGCTGCAACACATACAACCTTGGCTATCAGTCTATATAAGACAGCTGTGTGATAAATCGCAGAGAACAATGAAGAATGAAACCTGGTTTATTTCACGATAAAATATTGTTCTATCATGACGTCATTTCTGGAGGTTCGAAAATGTGCCCACAACTTGATGACATCATAAATTGGACAACGTTATTTTTGAGAGGGAAGTGTCAAGTGAGTTGTTCCCCATAGATGTAGCTGGGAAAACATAGTCAAATGCAATGGCCGAACGATCACTTCCAAAAGTGGGAGAGATATGACAACCCATATTGGGTGAGAAGGTACAGATAATTGACGTGAAAATTGTGAGAATATGCGGGAAATACCAAATATAACCCCCATGTTCATAAAATAGACTTGTCCAACATTGCTGCGGTGGAATTATTTAAATACGGATAAATATTTTTAAAGTGTGTACTCTTTACTAACATCCTTAAAAAGCTGTAAGTAATGTTGATATCTCATATAAGAAATAAACCATGAGTGGTTGTTGTTTATTGTACAATAACCAGTCCAGGAGTTCACCTTGATTCAGTCATATAACATCTAAGGTAAAAAGTGCAAACTGGTTATTTTGAATAATTGACATAATACCATGAAAATGGATATAAAGTTGTTGTTTTTATAAAAAAGTTATAATTTCCCTGAACATTTAGTGATACCTGTCAGGGGAGGAATCAATGGTTGAGACACAGATGAAATCTTAAATACACAAGAATTACTGAAATATCGTAATAAACGATATCGTAATAAACATCTACTATTTGCCCAGTAGAATGAATTGATGGTACTGATAGACTGATAACAAAGCAATACCTCGTGGGGAATCAAACCAGGGCCCTTGCAGTGACAGGCAAACGCCTTCACCACTATGTCCTGATGGACGAAGATCCGCAACATAATCACACACTCATGATGTCAAGGTAAGCCATAAAGCATTGGGTAATGGGAACCCCCACTTCATGGTTATTGGAGTCCTTATTGTAATTCAGATATTTCTTAACATGCCAACAGCATTAAAAATTGTCACTAGTCCTACAGTCCTTGCCAACCAGCCAAAAGGTTGAGGCATCATAAGGGCCAGTAGAAACTTGCCCTCATTAAGGGTATTGCTATATGTTATCATCATAAGGACTAGTGGACTAAAACTGTTAGTTTCTATCGCTGGCCAAACATCAAGAGGAGGAACAGCAACTTACCTGAGCCCTGGCACTTTCCTGAAGTTTTAACCACTTCTCATGTATGACCATGTTGACATTGGTCAAAACCATTGTCAGCCCATCCCTGGATATGAGGACCATGTCACGATATGTCTGAAACAGTGACGAGCGTACGATCAGCACAACCAGATTAAGAGCCATGACTCATCTTCATGTCGAAACCTTGGGTCTACCCTGTTTGGTACCGTATATGACCGCGTATAAGCCGAATTTTGAGGACCAGAAAAAAGATTCTGTAGAAAGGGGTCGGCTTATCCACGGGATACACTTTCATGATGGTATTTTTCAGATCGTGATCTGTCAGAAACATCGCCTGATTGACGGTCCGATAGATCACAACTTCCCGAAAGTTTGGAAGTTGCCACGACTAGAGCCGTTATTGTTATAAATTATCAATAAAGTTATTATTATACACCAATGTTGTCATTATTAAAAAAATGTTATGCATGTTACTACTTCCGATAATATATGTAATTCACAGCTATAATATAGGTTGCTTTGATGATTGTGAGGGAGCTGAGGGAGCTGACCCAGACAAGAAAATGTCAGGTTTTGCTGAGGTGCCGTTTTCGCTATAACCCCTGATGAGCATGGAGAGGTTACATGTTTGGGCTCTCATTACCAAATCATGGCTGATCAGTTGGTAGTATTTTACATGACTTATGCTACTAAAACATAGTTAAGGACAACCCATTATCTCATATTACTATAGTTAATCAGTCATTGGCAGTAATATGAAAGAACTGGTTGGTCCATAACATTTTTAGTAGCATATTTCTGGGAATAAGAGTCATTGGGTAAAATGTGTTAAACTAGTGTTATGTTCTTATGAGATTCTTACAAAAATTGTTAGCTAGCTAACAACAAAATAATTTCGTGAACATTGAAAGCAGACAACCATTGCTTAATCTTAACACAACTTGTAGTTTTCAAGACAAACACTCTTCAATACACCGTCTTTTTGGTTAAAAAAAGGAGCATCATAGATTCCTGACCTTTGCTGCCATTTTTGGGTCCACCAAGATGGAGTAGAACTGCCCAAGTTGTGTCTCCTCATGTTGAAGCTGGCCCTTGCTCACCTGTGATCAGGGAAATAATACTGTGTAACCATGGTAACATGCTAGGATATGTCACAGTAGTAGATATTTGCATGAATAGTGATAAGCACAAGACACACCTAAACATGCTAGATCCAGGGTAGAATAGGTCTTCAGCAACCCATGCTTGCCGTAAAAGGCGACTATGCTTGTCGTAAGAGGCGACTAACAGGATCGGGTGGTCAGGCTCGCTGACTTGGTTTGAAGCATGTCATCGATCCCAAATGCTAGGATCGATGCTCATGATCTCAATCACTGGATTGTCCGGTCCAGACTCGATTATTTACAGACCACTGTCATATAGCTGGAATATTGCTGAGTGCGGCGTAAAACAACAAACCAACCAACAAACGTCTGAAATCCTACTTGCCCTCAGTTGAGAAGTGAACAAGTGTAAATTCTTATCCCTGACTGAATGAACAATATTTTATGACACAATAAGGATCATATCAGCTTTATACCAAATGCTAGTAAAATATCAAATCTAGGCCCAGCAAACCAGAGGTTGTTGCATGAACACTGGCACAAAGTCAGCCTGTCACATACAGTTATCAAATGCTTTGGAGAACAATACAGTACAATAATCCCTGGCCACAAGCCAATTAGGCCACCAAGAGTAACTGCAGTCAATGTTATTGGACAACTATCTGCGGTTGTCATGGTGATGGGACAGCTGAGACTTTGACTTTGTCCAGATGGTTACTCCACTTCAGATGGTTGCACCACTTCAGATGGTTGCTCCACTTCAGATGGTTGCTCCACTTCAGATGGTTGCACCACTTCAGATGGTTGCTCCACTTCAGATGGTTGCTCCACTTCAGATGGTTCCACCACTTCAGATGGTTGCACCACTTCAGATGGTTGCTCCACTTCAGATGGTTGCTCCACTTCAGATGGTTACACCACTTCAGATGGTTGCTCCACTTCAGATGGTTGCACCACTTCAGATGGTTGCTCCACTTCAGATGGTTGCACCACTTCAGATGGTTGCACCACTTCAGATGGTTACACCACTTCAGATGGTTGCTCCACTTCAGATGGTTACATCACTTCAGATGGTTGGTTGGTTGGTTTGTTGCTTAACGTCTCACTCAGCAATATTCCAGCTATATGACGGTGGTCTGTAAATAATTGAGTCTGGACCAGACAATCTAGTGATTGATATCATGAGCATTGATCCACGCAATTGGGATCGATGACATGTATCAACCAAGTCAGCGAGCCTGACCACCTGATCCCGTTTGTCGCCTTTTACGACAAGGTCACCTCTTACGGGAAGCATGGGTTGCTGAAGACCTATTCTACCCCTGAATCTTCACGGGTCACTTCAGATGGTTACACCACTGGCTGCACCACTTCAGATGGTTGCTCCACTATTTCATTAAGCACACTATTCACTTTCACACCGAAATGGATTTGGCTCTGGTGTAGAGTTAAACTTGTATCATCAATTAACAATGTCATCAGCTGCTGAGGCTGTGAACTATAGTTCATAACAACTGTTGGTAGGCTCAGATGTGTTTGGGTGCCATGTATGTGAAACAGCTGTAGAGTTACTGAGCCCTGTTATGGGATTCAAACTACGGACCTTTTAATCCAATGTCGGACACCTTGTCCACATGACCCAGGTTAACCCCGTCAGCAAACTGACATGGCAAGGATGCCATCAGTGGGATGACTGCATGCCCCGATACACGTGATCTAGACAATCCCCATTCTTTTGACAGATTTGTCTTTATGCAATATGGAGCTGGCAACTATATGCAAGATACTGTCAGGGCTCGACTTCGCTATGTAAAACATGCACCAGTGCAACCTATTATTGAAAAATGCAACCATATATTTTGTCTACATGCACCAAGTCCAACAAAGTAACAAACTCACTATCTCTAAGATGTATTTACCATATATCACTAATCACTGTGTTGTGTCAGTTTCAAGACACATGACATAGTCTTTGGAGACTTGTGATTTTACTTATTTAGACTAGCTAATGCATCTGTGTTTTAACTTTGATATATTTATGGAACCAGGGTGCAACCTGGTAAAGTCTGGTGCAACTAGCTTTTCACGTCATGCACCTGGTGCAGGTTAAATCAAATTCCTTATATCGAGCCCTGACTGCTACAGGTGACAGTGCCACTCTCATCCCAGCAAATATTTGGACTGTTCCACTCTTTGGTCTCACTTGTTTCACCATCTCTAGTGTGTGCACCAGTACTTACATGTGCATTCAATGTGTCATTGATTTCTCTCTCTGATAGGCCAGTAATAAGTGAAGTCAGAGAACTGTAACATTTCTCTAGTCTCTGAAAACAGAAATTATCAACTCAAGGTTTAAAAAGGTTTGATGACTGAATCAATCGTTCAATAAAATAATCTTCTTTCAAGATTCCACCATTACATTTCAACAGTAATGTAATATTTTCAAATGTCAATGTGTACCTTTAACTGACATAGCATAACTATTTACATACAAGTATAACTTACAGGGAAGACAGGACCGCCATAACAAAGTAAGTGCACTAACGAATTATTGACTTATAGCTTTTCGAACAAATTAAATATACTTAAATGTCTGTAAGATTTCACTGTTGCAAACATAAAGAAACCTGAATACACAACATAAAAATATCGCTCTATACAACTCATACTTTCGTGCAAATTTTCTCTACAACAGTGAGAATTTAATTATTTGAAGGGTAAAGTAAAATATAGCACCTTGTCCAGGTCGTCTTTCAGTTCAATGGAACTTGTTGTTAACATTCTTGACTGTTGTTTTGCAGTATCCATTGTCATACTTCTTTGCAACTTCAAAGCACTTCAGATCATTTAGTTTTACAACATATCTGTCCAATGTGAAGGTAATCACATGTTTTCCGGAGACTTAATCTCAAAATGAAGCACAACATAAGTTTTAAGAAGAAAAAGTTTCCATCTTCACATTCAGCAAAATCAAGAATCACATTGTGCCAATGGGGGAATGATATCCCCCATATTTCGGGCTGTTAGAAAAAAATCAAGACTACGACTTCAGTATTTTTTTACTCGTTTCTCAACACGTTCTGAGTGAGGTCTCCAAAAATCAATGAAGAGGATACGCTGAACAGCTGAAATGCCAGTAGAAAAACTAAAGTGGATCAGGAAGAGAATGACCGACTCTTCCAGCAGCCCCTATCGTTTCGTATGTGAAATGCATGAGGCTGTTGCCTATATATTTCGTGTATTTGTCGTTTTGCAAAGAACTGGGTGCCACAGTGGCACCAGATCGACGTATGAGTTCACAATGAGAGCCTCTCAGTTCTTCTCCTAAAACTGCGAGGGCATGGATTGATCGTATTCGGTTTCAGTGTCGTAAAATTTGTCTTGACATCATAATGTGTCATTAATTAAATTTAGGTATTTTATCGACTTATGGTACAGTAATGAATTTATTTGTTTACTTAATATATTAAATTATTAACGTTAGGATAACCAGATGTTGTAAACATGTTACCGCACGCGGGATGAAACTGTGGTTTCCAGAAAAGTAGAATCGAAAAGATACCGAACACACATTTGAACATAAACAAAGAAGTTATATTTGGTCAAAACGATTACGTTTCACCTAACGTACAAAGAAGTAATCAGAGTTAATCAATATTCATGTTATTTTCGGTATACATATTATATATAGGAAGAAAATATATCAGAAAATATTATTTAAACTGCACTCTTGTTTGCCCAGAATATCATAATATAATCTCGATTCTATTAATTTCTATTACTATGACTGGAACACATATTGTTTCATTTACAATTTCATTAAAATCGGATCTTAGTTCTCACTACCGATAAACATAAACGATAACAAAAGATCTGATTTTAATGAGATTGTTACATTTTAAGTAAACTCTCCATCTAGCATATTAACAACTTGGCATGTAATTTCTCGCGCTCATGAGTATGGTTTGATTGGACGTCTGTTTTAACGTCGCATATTTCGATTCGATCTCTATGGTGGAGCATATTTTTGTCCAGACTATTGATAATAATAGAGATATATAATAGACTGGATTATCGAGGATGTATGAACACCTGGTCATAATTCAACAAATAAATAAACGCAACCCGAAAACAGTCACGGGAAAAGTAAATGATTGATTATGGTGCCACGCCTTGCTTTGACAAAATAGGAGGGACAATTCGCTTAATTTATCCAAATCTTAGAATCTCATGATAATCATCAGTGATAAATACATATGTATATATGTATTGTGTTTTTCATTGATGCATTAAAATAAATACACCAACCAACAGCAATTTGATCATAAGGTGAGTCAGTGTCCCAAACGGATAAAGAACAACTATTTAAACATATTTTGAACATTTTAGATTTTCTTGTGTATATGCAAAATCCAAAACTAATTATTGTCGTTTGAAAGATTTTATTTGAAAAATAAATAATCGGTTTTATTTTCGTTTCAGTGAGAATCCCAGCCTAGAATTTAGAAACACGCACGTGTCCTGTTTTGACCGGCAAGTTAGCGACAATTTCATCATCCAAGTGTTTCGTCAATATTTCAAGGCGTGTACACGACACATCCTTCAGTTTTATGCAATTCCTATCCTATATTATCACAACCTGTGTGACAACTATCATTTGTAAGCTGGTAGTCTGATGGCAGAAATAGCATCACAAGTAGACAAGATGAGTCTAGGTGAGCTTTTTATTGCAAAAAGATGTGTATTAGAGCTAGGGCCTACTAAATTAATGAGTCTACGTTTCATGGTCGTACGCTCGGGTATAGTTTCGATACATTCTTAACTGACATTGATTTGGCAGTTAAATGACAAGTGATTGATATGTAGATTCCGTTATAGGTAAGATTGTATGGCTAACATATGGACAGACATGTAGTATGTAGAAGCTTATTAATACCAGGGAAGACTTAAATTTGTGAACATACAGATAAGTGTTCTGATGGATGTTAGGTTAGGTTATTTGTTGTTTAATGCTGCACTCAGCAATATTCCAGCTATACTACGGCAGTCAGTAAATGATCGAGTCTGGACCAGACAATCCTGTGATTGACATCATGAGCATCTATCCACACAATTGGGATACGATGACATGCATAATCTGACGGATGTAGTGTCATGTTCAGGTGATATTAAAATACTCACAAGATTTGAACTTTCCATTCTGTTGGGAATTGCTGACAATATGTTACATTTACAAACTGAGTGCACTGAATAAATAATATATATCGTCTGATGGCCTATTTTCGGACGACACTGATTTTCGAACAGCCGTATTTGATATTGAGTTGTCACTGTAATGAGAGGTGTGACATCATCAAAGCTGCCGCCTGGGGAGTGCACTTGTTCGGTCTGTCAAAATTGGTTCATGTGAAGTACTGTACACCTGTCAGAACACCCTAGTCATTCAGAATTTTGGTGCCCATGTCATGATAACAGGAAGAGTAAAATAGTGTGAACACTCTAATTTGACAAATATTCATATTTTGTAAATAGGTTTCAAACTTTCAATCACTTTTTAAGTTTTAATGCCAACCTGCAAGAATTATGTTGAGAAATGTGCACAAAAACATGTCTGTTCATTCATGGAAACCCTGCTAAAGTACAAAACCTATCAGGTGTTCGAAAAAAGATGACACTCAAGTGCAGTTGAAGTTTACAGATGAGGCAATGGAGGTCATGACTTTTTATCAAGGATTTGTTTTCTTTCGGAATGTAGCAGAATTATTTTGCTGAAGACATCACCTACTGGTATGAAGCAGAATTTGACTTTTGATTCGCTCATCCCTCAAAATATCAGCAATGCAATCTTAAGTGTTCAAAATTAGGCTACGTCAGGATACTGAATCCACTGGACATGTTGTATTTGACGTTTTATTACAGCTGAAATCTACACATCTGAAAAGACTGGTTCTGATGAAACAGGAGATGGGACCGAAGGCAAGCCTCTGAAAACTGTCCTTCAGGTAAACAATCTGGTATTAAATAGGTTTACTATGGTCTTGATAAGAATCAAACTTGCTTTTGTTATGATCGTAACATGAAGATATGACATGGTGACTGATAAGGTTTTTATATATTCTTTTTGGAACCTGTTCATGTCATTTAGGTGTGCTTTTGGGTCCTTGAGGATTAAGGCTATATTATTTTATAATTTAAATCTAATTGAGGACCCCCCTAAACATGCTGTCTATATTTTGTACATTAGGACCATGACAAGGATCTCTCGACTATCACCCTTTAACTGTTGATTTTAAAGTTCTAATGTTCTAAGTGGTAATTTTAAAAGTAATTACTCAGGAAGTTATATTTGATGTTACATAACACACAGTGGGAAAAGAAATTGTGATAAACTATTTGCTGGCATTTTTAACAGGATGAGTCTAATAGCAAAGTTGATGTCCTTTCTCATCTCTGAATGATATTTGGTTAGTAGGATCACCTAGTGGATAAATCAAAATACAATCTAAATCTGGATCTAGTGATTTGTTAAGTAAGATAACTATATCTGTGGCAATAACCATATGGTGGATGCAGGGTGGTACTCACCACCAAATGTCTGTATGAAAATCATGGTTTGCCACTGCAATCATGGCAATAACCATGTGTTATTGCCACAGATAAATTTATTGGTATTTTTTTTTCATCATTACCATCATCATGATGCGTTTTAGATGTTTACAGTGTTCAATGTGTATGTTGACAGGCCATGCGGAAGGCCGGGAAAGAACCATTCCCAACTATATATGTTGATGGCAAAGAAGGACCTGAGGCCACACTGGTAGGTCCTGTTGAATTTTTGTTGAGTCGACTGTGTTGTACTGTATTTCAAAATGTGAGTGTGCCAAGCTGTATCAGGTGATACCATTTCATCACACCATGTAATGAGCTTCTAATTTTCAGTATTCTAGTCAGCTGTACATACGTTGTACCCATGGAGGTTATTGTATTATCATGATTATGTGAGCATTTGTACCTGGTTTCAGAATGCATGTGACCAGTGAAGATCTGGAGTAAAATAATTCTTCAACAACCCATTCTTGCTGTAAAAGGCGACTATGCTTGTCGTAAGAGGCGACTAACGGGATTGGGTGGTCAGGCTTGCTAACTTAGTTGATACATGTCATTGTATCTCTATTGCGTGGATCGATGCTCATAATGTCAATCACTGGATTATCTGGTCCAGACTTGATTATTTACAGACCGTTGTCATATAGCTGGAATATTGCTGAGTGCGGCGTTAAACAACAAATGCATGTAGTCAATAGATTATGAAGTGAATAGTGTTCATTAGGTTAAATCTCCTTCACAATTTATGATATTAATCTCATGATCTGTTGACATCACAGAAATATGAAGTTGTGTCCAAGTCCCAGGTGAAGAAGATCCAGAAGATCTGGCAGAGAGAGCAGCACAAGCAGGCGGATAAGTCAGAGAGAGACGTGAGTCCATCTCCGCACAATTGGGTGTCAAGTGTTGTCTAGTTTGGTCTGTCTCTGGTAACCAATGTTTCCCACAGTGATGCTGGTGTAGATTCCATCCCCAGTAGCCAATATTTCCCACAGTGATGCTGGTGTAGATTCCATCCCGAGTAACCAATGTTTCCCTCAGTGATGCTGGTGTAGATTCCATCCCCATTAGCCAATGTTTCCCACAGTGATGCTGGTGTAGATTCCATCCCCATTAGCCAATGTTTCCCACAGTGATGCTGGTGTAGATTCCATCCCCAGTAACCAATGTTTCCCACAGTGATGCTGGTGTAGATTCCATCCCCATTAGCCAATGTTTCCCACAGTGATGCTGGTGTAGATTCCATCCCCATTAGCCAATGTTTCCTACAGTGATGCTGGTGTAGATTCCATCCCCAGTAGCCAATGTTTCCCACAGTGATGCTGGTGTAGATTCCATCCCCATTAGCCAATGTTTCCCTCAGTGATGCTGGTGTAGATTCCATCCCCATTAGCCAATGTTTCCCACAGTGATGCTGGTGTAGATTCCATCCCCAGTAGCCAATGTTTCCCACAGTGATGCTGGTGTAGATTCCATCCCCATTAGCCAATGTTTCCCTCACTGATGCTGGTGTAGATTCCATCCCCATTAGCCAATGTTTCCCTCACTGATGCTGGTGTAGATTCCATCCCCAGTAACCAATGTTTCCCACAGTGATGCTGGTGTAGATTCCATCCCCATTAGCCAATGTTTCCCTCACTGATGCTGGTGTAGATTCCATCCCCAGTAACCAATGTTTCCCTCACTGATGCTGGTGTAGATTCCATCCCCAGTAGCCAATGTTTCCCTCAGTGATGCTGGTGTAGATTCCATCCCCAGTAGCCAATGTTTCCCTCAGTGATGCTGGTGTAGATTCCATCCCCAGTAGCCAATGTTTCCCTCACTGATGCTGGTGTAGATTCCATCCCCAGTAGCCAATGTTTCCCTCAGTGATGCTGGTGTAGATTCCATCCCCAGTAACCAATGTTTCCCACAGTGATGCTGGTGTAGATTCCATCCCCATTAGCCAATGTTTCCCACAGTGATGCTGGTGTAGATTCCATCCCCATTAGCCAATGTTTCCTACAGTGATGCTGGTGTAGATTCCATCCCCAGTAGCCAATGTTTCCCACAGTGATGCTGGTGTAGATTCTATCCCCAGTAGCCAATGTTTCCCTCAGAGATGCTGGTGTAGATTCCATCCCCAGTAGCCAATATTTCCCTCAGTGATGCTGGTGTAGATTCCATCCCCAGTAACCAATGTTTCCCACAGTGATTCTGGTGTAGATTCCATCCCCAGTAGCCAATGTTTCCCTCAGAGATGCTGGTGTAGATTCCATCCCCAGTAGCCAATATTTCCCTCAGTGATGCTGGTGTAGATTCCATCCCCAGTAACCAATGTTTCCCACAGTGATTCTGGTGTAGATTCCATCCCCAGTAGCCAATGTTTCCCTCAGTGATGCTGGTGTAGATTCCATCCCCAGTAACCAATGTTTCCCACAGTGATGCTGGTGTAGATTCCATCCCCAGTAGCCAATGTTTCCCTCAGAGATGCTGGTGTAGATTCCATCCCCAGTAACCAATGTTTCCCACAGTGATGCTGGTGTAGATTCCATCCCCAGTAACCAATGTTTCCCTCAGTGATGCTGGTGTAGATTCCATCCCCAGTAGCCAATGTTCCCACAGTGATGCTGGTGTAGATTCCATCCCCAGTAACCAATGTTTCCCTCACTGATGCTGGTGTAGATTCCATACCCAGTAGCCAATGTTTCCCACAGTGATGCTGGTGTAGATTCCATCCCCAGTAGCCAATGTTTCCCACAGTGATGCTGGTGTAGATTACATCCTGAGTAACCAATTTTTCCCTCACTGATGCTCTTGTAGATTCCATCCCCAGTAGCCAATGTTTCCCACAGTGATGCTGGTATAGATTCCATCCCCATTAGCCAATGTTTCCCTCAGTGATGCTGGTGTAGATTCCATCCCCAGTAGCCAATGTTTCCCACAGTGATGCTGGTGTAGATTCCATCCCCAGTAGCCAATGTTTCCCTCACTGATGCTGGTGTAGATTCCATCCCCAGTAGCCAATGTTTCCCACAGTGATGCTGGTGTAGATTCCATCCCCAGTAGCCAATGTTTCCCACAGTGATGCTGGTGTAGATTCTATCCCCAGTAGCCAATGTTTCCCTCAGAGATGCTGGTGTAGATTCCATCCCCAGTAACCAATGTTTCCCTCAGTGATGCTGGTGTAGATTCCATCCCCAGTAACCAATGTTTCCTACAGTGATGCTGGTGTAGATTCCATCCCCAGTAACCAATGTTTCCCTCACTGATGCTGGTGTAGATTCCATCACCAGTAGCCAATGTTTCCCACAGTGATGCTGGTGTAGATTCCATCCCCAGTAACCAATGTTTCCCTCACTGATGCTGGTGTAGATTCCATCCCCAGTATCCAATGTTTCCCTCACTGATGCTGGTGTAGATTCCATCCCCAGTAGCCAATGTTTCCCTCACTGATGCTGGTGTAGATTCCATCCCCAGTAGCCAATGTTTCCCTCAGTGATGCTGGTGTAGATTCGATCCCCAGTAGCCAATGTTTCCCTCACTGATGCTGGTGTAGATTCCATCCCCAGTAGCCAATGTTTCCCTCACTGATGCTGGTGTAGATTCCATCCCCAGTAGCCAATGTTTCCCTCACTGATGCTGGTGTAGATTCCATCCCCAGTAACCAATGTTTCCCTCACTGATGCTGGTGTAGATTCCATCCCCAGTAGCCAATGTTTCCCTCAGTGATGCTGGTGTAGATTCCATCCCCAGTAGCCAATGTTTCCCTCAGTGATGCTGGTGTAGATTCCATCCCCAGTTACCAATGTTTCCCTCAGTGATGCTGGTGTAGATTCCATCCCCAGTAGCCAATGGTTCCCATAGTAATGCTGGTGTAGATTCCATCCCCAGTAGCCAATGTTTCCCATAGTAATGCTGGATTTGTGTCTTAATACACTTTGTACCACACACTTTTTTGTCTTAGGCTGCTGATGCTCAGAGGAGAGACATTAACCTGGAGGAAGCTAGGAAGGTTGTGCTAGAGATGGACAAGTCATTGCCAGAGCCAAAGCAGGTGATTTTAGAAAGATTTATGTTTCACCCCTTTCCATTCCGAGTTTATTACCTTGTAGCTGGTGTTTGTCCTCGTGTAAACATGGCAATGTTCAGTACATCACTATGATCTTGTGACCAACATTCACATTAGGAAAAATGGTAAAAAGAAATTCTTAACATTCATGAATGAATTCTACTTGTTGCAGATAAAAATCAGGAGCTCTGTTGCAAGTCGTAACATGAGAGTAAAGATATTTGGCTGGGTCCATCGGCTAAGGCGCCAAGGTAGATGAACATTCATTGTCTCTCTTCATCTTTCAGCAACTTGCTGTGCAGAGTTGCGTCCCTTGGGCATGACAGAAACCTATAAAAATTGCTTTAAATTTTGATTACACTCGATAATTGTGATAATGTTTGTCAGCATCATAATCATGCTTGTCGGAATCACCAAAGTGGTAAAGGTCTGAGACCTGCATCACTTTCCGCTTTCCTCCCACATTAAGCTGACACGCCATGATATAACTGGAATACCTTTCAAAGCAGTATTAAACCCATCTCACTCACTCACCCAGTTGTATTTTAGATGGTATTGGACCAGTACAGTTGATATAAATATTCATTATACATCATCTTTAAAGATCATTGCACCACCAAACCCTGTATTTTGATGATTTTTGTCTTAAGAATTTGTCTCATGTCACATCAATTAGAGATCATTGTGGTTTCCTCTAGTCTTAGATTTTTATCCTGATTCGTTTTTGTTTTGTTTTAGGAAAGAACCTGATGTTTGTTGTTCTCCGTGACGGAAGTGGATTTGTTCAGTGTGTGATGAATGACAAACAGGTAGCTTTATGAAACCTTGTGAAGTATGTAGGCCTGAATGGCCCTCATCGTCAATACGTCCGTGGTTGGTATACACCATGTTCCTCCACCTGTGAATACATACAGCCAATATGCGGTGTGGTTGTGGTGCGTGTCTATTTTTAGTTGGTAATGGATTGAGACTGTGCATTACTCCTGGCTGAACATGTGAACCCTACCACTGCCCAACATTGAGGCTATGTGTAGAGTCCAGACTGAAGGGCTTGGGCACATGTGCACAGGAAATAGTGCTAATGTAATCTGAATGCTCATTGGTCTGAACACTTGCTTGTTTGCTGCTAGCTGGAACCAGGCCGTGACTGGATTCGTTTGTTAGAAATAAGAGACACAAATTCACCGCATGTCAGCCATATGTATTTTCAGGTGATGATGGAACATGGCATATACAAACCTGTGAAGTATTCATGATGACATCTTCCTGAAGCAAGGGAGTTATGAAAGTCCAGTTTCCACCCTTGCCGAACTAGGCTGGAATTATGGAGTTATGTTTTGGCTGGACTAACGAATCTATGCATAGTCCAATCAAAATCGGGTAACGAAATCCAGTTCGTAAACTGCCGTGCAGATATTTTCCAAATCTTTTCAAGTTTTTAATCAAGGTGCTCACAAGATTTGATGCACTTCACTAAATAAAAACTGTTTTATCACAATATAGATTTTGATTATCGATCAGTTTGTCATCACTGCGCGCTATTTGAAGCAAATATAAGTGATATGTGAGGTGGAATCTGATTGGTCAATAGAAGGTACATAACTTGTAATAGCCACTGGTGGCGCTACTATCGAGCCCAGAAATTCCAGCCTAGTTCGGCAAGGGTGGAAACTGGATTTACAGTCAGTTAACTCCCTTGTTTGACATTAGTACCAACTAAACAGATGACCTCTTGGTTACGATGTGGAAACCTGGCCACCTGGATGTGTGTAATATCCCAACTGCCTGGATCGTTCACCATGCTATCAGCCACTAGTTTGTCTGTTCCAGAGTCAATCAGTTCTATATGTCTAAGCTGCAATATGACTCACATGTTCTGATAGTGTCATAAAGCAACCATCATATTGTGACATATTCCCCTACATTAATATTTGAAGATAAATGATCCTTTTAGTGTTTTCTTAATTATAATAGGTCTTCAGCAAACCATGCTTGCCATAAAAGGCGACTGTGCTTGTCAACTTACGGGATCGTGTGGTCAGGTTCGCTGACTTGGTTGATGCATGTCATCGTATCCCAATTGCATGGATCGATGCTCATGATGTCAATCACTGGTATGTCTGGTCCAGACTTGATTGTTTACAGACCACCATCATATGGGTAGATTATTGCTGAGTGTGTCGTTAAACAACAAACAAACAAACAGATCTTAATTGTGATGAGACAACACATCACTGGTCTTATGATATATACTACTCAAAAGATGTTGAAGAACTCCCGAGGTAAAAATTTGTGAGGCCTATTCTGATTCATAAGACCAGTTAGAGGCGGTGGGGTTGTCTAGTGATTAAAGCATTCGCTCATCATGCCGAAGACCGGGGTTCGATTCCCACATGGGTACACAATGTGTGAAGACCATTTCTGGTGTCACCCGGCGTGATATTGCTGGAATATTGCTAAAATCGGCATAAAACCCACTCGCTCGCTCACTCACTCACTCAGACCAGTTAAAGTCACCAGAGATGTGACACTTGATGTGTTTGAAGTTAAAATGATTGCTGCTGTGGTATAATGTATGCATGGTATGATGCTACAGGATTTGAATGGAAGTTGATGAAGTATACCTCTGTATTCTAGTGTCAGACGTACGATGCCTTGACGCTGTCCACGGAGGCTGCCATTGCTGTTTATGGTGTCATCAAGGAGCTTCCTGAAGGGAAGACGGTAAGTCATCAGCCATCTTTGTTAAACTGCAGCTCCCTGGAGTGACAGTATTGAGGGTCCTCTCTGGTGTGGACTTAATTATAAAGATTACTGTCACTTGGGACGGCACTACTGGATGTAGAGTCTATTTTACTCATTTGATGTACACTAGAATGTAGATTGGGTTTCCTTGTCTGTAGAAATGTTCCCGACAGACTCATTCAGACTGAGAAAATGTAGACGGAGGCAAGAGCAGGTCAAAACAATGTCATCTGTGTTCACCCAAACTTGTTGATATTCTTTTTTCAGTGAAAGCTTGTAATTCAGTGAATTATGGGAAATTGTCATTCAACATATATAGCACACAGGGGTGTATGAATCATACTTCTGTAGACCTGAAGACAACAAGACCGTCATTGATTAGAACTTACCCTCTTCCACAATGGCTTACCTTGATGTTTGTTTCAGGCCCCGGATAACCATGAGCTGTCTGTTGACTTCTGGGAACTGGTGGGAGGGTCTCCCCCAGGGGGCGCTGACAACTTGCTCAACGAGGTGAGTCTCATCCCATGGGGTCCACCATTGCTTGTAATACACACACTGAGCTGATGGCTTCCATCTCAGTACTGCTTGACCCAGACTCACTCTAAACGGGGGGGCAAAGTCGTCTAAGGCGCCGCGATTTGCTGTGCAGAGTTGCGTCCCTTGGGCACGCCAGAAACCTATGGTTGTGGGTTCGAATCCCAGTTCGCCCCGATTATGTTTCTAGGTTTGTCAGCACCATACCTGTGCTCGTGGGTTTCACCGAAGTGGTAAACGTCTGAGACCTGCATCACTTCGGGCTTTCCTCCCACATGAAGCTGACACGCCGCGATATAACTGTAATACTGTTAAAAGCGGCGTTAAACCCAACTCACAGACACACACACTCTAAACTGTCTCAGCTCCTAGTGTAGCAGGGGCCTTATCCCCACATGTGTCACAGAAGATATTCACTGTAAATGATGGTGAATTGTTTTACAAGTGTGCTAATTTGGTGATACATCAATTCCATTTGTAGAAGTGGACAGACTCGGGTGGTTGATGGCCATTCCTGCCCTACCATGCTTTGTTATCAACCATTGCATGACATTAGGAGGACAAAACACATGAAGCCTCAGTGTCTAGGTTAATATTTCAGAATTAGAGATGAGCTTTATAATTTGACAGCTTTGTCAATGGTTTATTTCAAGATTGACCCACATGGAGATTCGTGGTTAGAATATGTTCACAACCTTTGCTGGTTGTAAGAGGCGACCAATTGCTTCAGGTAGTCAGATAATGTGGATTGCTGTTCACAATATTAATCACTGGATTGTCTGGTTCAGACTCAATTATCTACAGGTCGCGGTCATACAACCTGAATATGTCTGATTGTGGGGTTAAACAACAAATGAACAACATATGATGTGTAATTTCTTTATGGTACCTTGATTCATAATTTGTGGTATGTTTGTAGGAAGCACATGTTGACGTGCAGCTGGACAACAGACACATGATGATTAGGGGAGAAAATGTGAGTAGATTTGTGTTATATTTTAAGAACAGTAAAGTTTTCAATAGTTTGATATCTGAAAACTATTTCTAAAAGATTGCATATTTTTACAATAATTTCGGCGAAATTGTATGCGAAGTGATCGGTAGATCGCACAACTCACTGTTACTAACAGCAACCACGGTCAGATTACCGCTATTGACGCCTTGTTATGAACTTTAGTTGCAAGAGAATGGATACACATATATGTCGTACCATGATTTGCTAAAAGTTACATTTGAGGCAGTTTGACTATTAAATGTCAACATAACGTTTTCGCAATCAAAATAAATGTAGCGCGGGAAGTCCCTACGGTGTAGTATGATCTATGTTGTCCCAGCTTGATGCTAAAACACTGTGATATGACTGAAATACTACTGAAATCAGTGTTAAACTCTTTCTCATTTTGTTTTCTGCTTGCAGACATCCAAGGTTTTGAAAATGAGATCGGTTGTCATGCAGTGCTTCAGAGATCACTTTATGGACCGGGGCTATTTCGAGGTCAGTATTTACAAGTGGAGAAGTACTTCCTGTGTATGTGAGACTATACATCTGTTATGTTGTATAGTATTTATCATATTTATTCCTCCAGTGTGAAAAACGGGAGGATATAGCAATCAGCATGTCCGCCAGGCATCCGTCTGTTTTCAATTTCCAGGGCAGAATTCCTAAACCGTTGAATACTTCTTAATAAAACTTGCTATGCAGATCAATCTAGTGGTTAACTGGTGTCTTTTCATGATTTTGGTTGTTTTTTTTATATATTTTTTATTTATTTATTTTGTTTGTTTTGATGATGACAAGTTGAGACTTATACTGAAAATGAGGGTAGTGCTTGTTTCTGGAGCAGAACTCTAAAACCATTGAATATTTCTTGATGAAACTTGCCATACAGATCAGTCTAGTGGTGAACTTGTGCCTTTTCATGATTTTGGATATTGAAAAATACCCAACAGCATTATTTTTTCCTTCACTGAACTGAAGGTATCCGGTGGCAATGAACCAAAAGTGGGGTATAAGTAGCCACTCCATTTCCGAACTGCACCAGACCGGGGGGATATGTCATCTCCTGATGATTCTTGTTAAGATGTGTCTCAAATATTTATGTGATTACTTTGAAGACCATGATTCGGTGTCTGGCCATATGAGTGTGTATACATGATGTTATTTCTCTTTGTGTAGGTGACCCCGCCCACTCTTGTACAGACTCAGGTGGAGGGAGGGGCAACATTGTTCAAACTGGACTTCTTTGGAGAGGAGGTAACTTCTGTTTTTGATACAGACCTCGCTAAGAGTAATTGTTTATATGATCGTAAGTGAAATTCCTTTGATCCTGATCATACCAAGATGTCAGTCACTGGTTCACCCGTTCCAGCCTTCATTACTGACCGATTCAGTGACTTACAAACTCACTGTTTCACAGACTTACTGAATGATTCACTCTCCATCTCACCGACTTTACTTAATCACTTACTCGTTGACTGACTTTACAGGATGAGTAGATTGTTCACTCACTCACTCTCTGACTTTGACCCGTGAAGATCCGGGGTAGAATTGGTCTTCAGCAACCCATGCTTGACGTAAAAGGCAACTATGCTTGGTGTAAAAGGCGACTAACGGGATCGGGTGGTCAGGCTCACTGACTTGGTTGATGCATGTCATCAATCCCATTTGCCTGGATTGATGCTCATGATGTCAATCACTGGATTGTCTGGTCCAGACCCGATTTTTTACAGACCGCCATCATATAGCTGGAATATTGCTGAGTGCGGCGTTAAACAACAAACCAACCAACCAACACTCTCTGACTTTAACCAACAGGCTCAATGACTGATTTTTCACTCACTCACTGACTATTCAATGACTGACACTCACTCACTTACTCACTTAACTCAATTGCTCAATGACTGACTTGCCCACACACTCACTGACTTTAATCAATGACTGACTTGTTCACGGACTGACTCACTGACTCGTTCACTCCCTCACTCCCCCTGTGTTCCAGGCCTTCCTGACCCAGAGTTCCCAGCTGTACCTGGAGACGTGTCTGCCGTCGCTAGGAGACGTGTTCTGTATCGCTCAGTCCTACAGGGCAGAGAAGTCCAGGACAAGGAGACACTTGGCAGAGTAGGTTGGACAGACACACTGTAGATCCATTGTCCCCCTTTAAACCGCTATAACCAGTCCCCATGCAGGGATTGAACTTGACCTGCCAAGAGGCTGACTACAGTCCCAAATCTAAAGCAATTGTCAATAAAAAAATCCCCAATTGACATCTAAACAATTGCCAAGTTATGTTATTAAAGTAATAACTAATGTTACGGCTTTGCAGAGATTGCATCCCTGCCATGTTATGTCTGGAAATTGTTATCTGTGACGTAAAACTGCAGTCGCTCAGTTTCCATGCATTTGATCCTGGGCAGGACGGAGAATTGAATTAACATCTGACACAATGCTGACCATAGGATTTCCTGTGGATGATTTCAGTTCAGATAATATACAATAATAAAGCTGAGTGTTATTTGATTTATCTCTAGAAACTGACTAGAAATGTGACAAGATCATCTTTTTCTGTTGAAATGTATTTAAACGATATGTTCCCTTCTCAGATACACCCATGTGGAGGCCGAGTGCAGTTTTTTAGACTTTGATGGTCTGTTAGATCGTCTGGAGGACCTTGTGTGTGATGTGGTGGATCGTGTACTTAAAACACCATACGGAGAGATTGTCTACGAACTTAACCCTGTAAGTTGGCGTTCTGCTACTTGTTTTTCGAGTGCAAAAAATGAAATAATTATATCCTACAAACCTTACATGTGACCATTCCTATCAAGATATGGGTGAGAAAAGGTCTTCAGCAATGGATTGTCTAGTCCAGAGTCGAATATCTACAGACTGCCATCTTATAGCTGGAATATTGCTGAGTGGGTTGTTAAACAACAAACAAACATATAAGAGACTGCTTAACGACAATGTACAGAACTAAGGACATGCTGCCAGAATGGTTGTTTATCTATAAGGTCATGCCTTTAAAAAGCCCTTTTATTCATGTCAAAACATTTGTGTTAACTCAAAAGAAAAGATTAACAAGTGATGAATGATTATAGAATTTTGAAAGTTCATGATAATATGCCTGTTATTGTGATTATTCTTTTTCTACAGGACTTCAAACCACCAAAAAGGCCATTCCGTAGAATGCAGTACACAGATGCCATTGTCTATCTTAAAGAAAATAACATTACTAAGGAAGATGGGACTTTCTATGAATTTGGAGAGGTGAGCATTTAGTGTTCTCTGTACTGGTGGTGAGGTTAAAAGGGGTTTGATGTTGTGTCCAGGATTATTGCACGTATGTAGAGAGGTGAAGGTGGGGTGAAATGGGGTTTAATGTGGGTGGATGGATGGATGCTTGGGTTTTGGGTGACCCAGTGTGTGTGCGTGTGTGCATGCGTATGTGCTTGCGTGGCTGCTTGTACTAGTATGGACTAATGCTGATTTTATGGTGCTAGCCCACTGAGATACCATGCCGCAGTTTAACATGAATCCCCACTCATACTGACTCCAAGTCAACCAGTCCTTGTTTTATCCATTAATGCCAAGCGCCAGGCAAGGTGGTACTTGTACCACCTTGTAACGTCTTTTGGTTTGATGTGACTGGGGATCAAACCCCGACCTGCCACTCTCTGGGTGGATGCTCTTCCACTAGATGGAGGCGGTCACACTTATGTGTGTGGGGCTGCTTGCACTAGTCCAGACTAATGCTGGTTTGATAGTGCCAGCCCACTGAAATACCATATCGCAGTTTAACATGAATACCCCACTAATACTGACTCCAAGTCAACCAGTCCTTGTTTTCTCCCTAAATGCCCAGTGTCATGCAGGGTAAGAAAACCCTTTCGCTTTGTATGACGCGGCCAGGGGATGGAACCATAAGCTGCCACTGTGCTAAATCAGTTTAAGGCATTAGTTTAGACAAGGATGTAAACTTCAATTGTCAGTGTTTATAATGGGACTTTTAACAAGTAAAGAAAATTATCACCAATAGGGTTAGCAATAACCAGACACCAGTCTATTGTTTCCGTCATCCAGACGGCATTGTTGATGGCATCACATCTTATTGTAACGTATGGCCTGAATGTCGTCACCTAGAAACGATATCATAGCTGAAGATTATTGACATCATTAAACAGTTGTAGTTTCTTAGACGACAATCGTAACCAGCACATTTTTCTAAGTGGATCTCAGAAGGATTAGGAAATAATGTTTAATAAAGTAATTATTACACTTGCATGTCTGTCTTACTGATTTACATGCTCTTGTAGTAATCTCTATAACTGCAAGCACTGATACTTAGGGTTGAATGATTTAGTTGTAGTTCTTTCAGACTATTATATTCCTCCTTTGACTTTCCAGAATGTGATATCTGGAATTTGCAGTGTGATTGTGGTTGTAAAAATATTAGCACTGTATCCATATGTTGATGATGACAATCTTTTCACATCCTTGGCTACTTTGTCGCTGTTTGATTCTGTGATTACCTCTAAAGCCTCATGTATTTGAGAAGTAATGTTAAGATGTATATGTTTGCAGGATATCCCAGAAGCCCCCGAAAGGAAGATGACCGATAAGATTAACGAGCCGATGTTCTTGTGTCGCTTCCCTGCTGAAATCAAGTCATTCTATATGCAGAGAACTGAAAGTGATCGCAGGCTAACAGACTCTGTAAGTGTGACGTAACCTGAAAACTCAGTTTTAAGTATTGATATATTTGTCACATAAAGTATTTGATCTTTTTGTTTATCCTTGAATTGATGTTAAATTCATCCTTACTTTAACATAGACCAGTGCAAAATCCCTGTGTAATCATGAACATACCATAAAAGGAAACTTAGCTGCGAGCTGTGTGGTTGAGTTTGATTCCCTACATTGGTAGTTATGTGGTACATTCAGTGTGTGAATATGATGAAGACACTTCTTGGAGTCCTCTTCTTGATACTGTCGTATTATTGCTTAGGCAATGTAATGCCCTACTCAATCTCAAATTTATGTATATTTGAAGGAATTGGTTTCAGATGCAAACCTGACCTATCTTCTCTATTAATTGTGCTGCTACAGGTTGACATGCTGATGCCGAATGTTGGCGAGATTATTGGAGGCTCGATGAGGATCTGGCACCATGAGGAGATGGAGGAAGGCTTCAAGAGAGAAGGCATCGACACCAAGCCTTACTACTGGTACATTGACCAGGTGGGACATGCTATTGTTTTTGTTTGTTTGTTTGTTTGTTTATTTGTTGTCTAATGCCACATGCAGCAATATTCCAGCTATATGACGGCGGTCTGTAAATAATAGTCTGGACCACACAATCCAGTGATTGACATCATGAGCATCGATCCACTCAATTGGGATACGATGACATGCATCAACCAAGTCAGTGAGCCTGACCACCCGATGCCGTTTGTCGCCTCTTACTATAAGCATAATCGCTTTTTATGGAAAGCATGGGTTGCTGAAGACCTATTCTACCCCGGATTTTCACGGGTCGCTTGTTGTATCTAGATGGAGAGTTGATGCAAAGCAATGTATGCTCAAGTGCTTCGATGGAGTCATGAAACAATGTCTTTCATTTATTATCTGATCTTTATCCTGTACATGCACTCAAATAGAAATAGTTGAATACTGCTTGTTACTTGAAAACTGTTTTATCAAACCAATACTAGCATCATAAGGTGAACTTAAGCCAGAAAATATGACAATTGATATGCTAGCAGTAATGGATTTGCACTGATTCAAAATATGTGCCGTTCTACATAGATATATTTTTTCGTAAAAAACACCAAATACAAAAGCGCCATTTGAAGCTGAACTAATGAAACTTATCTTTCACAGAGAAAGTTTGGGACATGCCCCCATGGCGGGTATGGCCTCGGCCTGGAACGTTTCCTGTGTTGGATGCTCAACAGATACCACATCCGTGAAGTCTGCCTGTACCCACGCTTCCTGGAGCGCTGTAAGCCTTGAGTCACTGGCTGGCGTGTACAGAACTCAAGTCTCTACCTAACTCAAATAAAAGACCATGAAAACGTCTGTTTACTTTTGAATATGCTTAATTATTTGTTTAGATGCAGTGATTTAACTGAAATACTGCTCAAAGCAATATTAATTCTGACTCATTCATATGTTTAGGTTAAGACTAATTTATATTTAATGTTAGTCTAGATACAGTTGTGCCAAAGGTTTCTAACTGTAGCATTGTTCTGCTTGTTGGTACATTGTTTTACATATTTATTATTTTCCAAGAAAATGCAGCGGTCAATACTTTCTGACATCAGACAAAACATGTCTGCTTTTCATCTCTTGTGCCCAGGGGTCTTATTGAAGAGTATGTGCAAGTCCTCTGTGACCCCACTATTATTGTCTTCACTTGTGAGTAAATATCTGGCACTTGTCACTTATTGAAGAGTCCTGTGACTCCACTATTTTTGTCTTCACTTGTGAGTAAATATCTGGCACTTGTCACTGGAGATTTGGTGCAAACACATCTTAATGAAAATGTACTGTTAGTGGTGTGTTCATTATTGTAGCATACCAAAATATATTCTGCAACATTCTGCAGAGAAGCTTCTTCCTAAGATATGCCTATCATACGTGTTTTTGTTTTTGTTTTGTGTTTAACGCCTCACTCACCAATATTCCAGCTACATGATGGTATATCATGATAGGCATAGGGGCGGTAGGGTAGCCTAGAGGTACAAGTGTTTGCTCGTCACACCGACGACCCGGGTTTCGATTCTCGACATGGGTACAATGTGAAGCCCGTTTTTGGTTCACCCACTGTGATATTGCTGGAATATTACTAAAAGCAGCATAAAACAATACTCACTTGTTGATAAGCATAAGTAGCTCCAACTATCCTAATCTGGAAAGGCCACATTGCCATGGGCATTTCACTGGATTGTCTGGTCCTGGTCCAGACTTTACATACCGCCATCACATAGATGGAAATACTGATGAGTGTGGTGTAAAACAACTAACAGTATACTGAAGAAGTAGGTTATGGTTGTCCGGCTGACTCAAGTAGTGATGTGGTTGTGGCAGATGGTGTATTATTGGAGCTACATTTATAAACCGTTAGATTATGGTGTTTGGGGAACTACAAGACTAGTTATACAAGATCATGTTGGGAATAAATTGTGTTTCTGAATGTGTTTATCAATTAAGAAGATGAGGTCTTTGAATGGCCTTTAGAAGTGATACACATAAGGAAGGGAATTTATGGGTGTCAACTTCTTTTTTATGAGGAACACAATATTTTGGAGTATATACTTACTCCTTCATCATTCATGAAATGTTCCTCATAATAATAAAAGTTTACATCCATAAATTCTCTTCCCCATTGAGAAGATGTTCATCACTAGTGACAGTGACAGTGACGTTACATTTGGCATATGTGTGGAGTGTCATTGACCAGATATACCATGGGTTACATTGGACCAGTTTTTCAAAGAACAATTAAATGCAATGCAGATGTTGACGGGTTATCTGTATAAATTGTCCTGCTTTTTTTCCAAAACCAAGAATCTCTATCATAGACAGAACTCACTTCCTTGGTTAAGATTCCAAAACATTGTGTTGTTTGTCATTACTGTTGATCATAAAGCCCCGATTTGGACCATGAATTGCTCCTCAAGATGGTTTTCCTTGATCCATTAACCAAGAACAATTGAACAGTGAGATTACTGAAGTATGCTGTCTTGTCGATATTATGTCCTGCATTTCTAAAAGGTTCTTTGTACATTGAATGTTAATGCATACAAACGTCTCTTTGTTATGGCTCCCGAGATGCAATGCTTGATACAAGAGGATGTTGAGCAAAGATGAAATGTGTTCAACATGCTTACTTCACCATTTTATTTATTTCACATGATCTTTGATGTACTGAAAGTGACATATCTTTGCTGCAATATTGAATAAATTGCTTTACACAAACCTTTTGGGTTTTTGAATGTGTGCTACAACTGCAATTCTATGGAAAGGTGCCAATGTCAGCCCCTGGAATCTGATTGGTCCAAGTGATCTTGATAAGATACTGTGTATCCCACCTTGGAGGGTAATGAATTTCTCAGCAGGGGAATAAATCTTTTATACCCCCCCCCACAAGCAATGCAGGCTGCGCGTGGATTTCTGAGAGGCCGTCTTAAATCCCTTATACCCCGCTTCAGAGCAAAAAGCTGCAGCTTTTTCTGAGTCTGACACTGTCATTGACGTGACACTATCAGTTTTGAATTTGTTTGAATTATTTTACAATGTCATATTAAAACATGTCGATAAGATATATTCATTGTAGCAGGATCACTCGGGGTACATGGGGTGTTATGCCTCCGTCTTGTGGTATGAAACCTAATGAGGGACACAAAAATCCCATGTACCCCTTGTGGTCCTGCTAAAACGTATACTGTATCCCGCATGGAATGGAAATAAATTTCTGAGAGGGAGAATATCCCTTATACCCCGTTTTGAAGCAAAATGCCTCGCACTTTATCTAAGTCAATGAGAAACCTCAGCTCAGTTGAACAGCTGTTTTCTATCAATTTTGAATTTTTTATTTATTCTGACCCCTCCGTGGTCTAGTGGTAGAGTGCCAGCCCGGTGAGCGGAAGGTCCGGGGTTCGATCCCCGGCCGCGTCATACCAAAAGATGTTACAAGATGGTTTTTGTTGTTACCCTATCTGGCGCTCGGCATTAGGGGGCTAAAACAACGACTGGTCGGCTCAGAGTCAGTATACTGTGTCTGAGTGAGGTGTTCATGTTAAACTGCGGCATAGTATCTCAGTGTGCTAGCACTATAAATTGGCATCAGTCTGGACTAATAGACACACACACATGCATGCACATTGCTATGTAAGTGCAATAATCTTGGACGCAGCGTTAAACCCCATTTCACCCCACCAACTTGTATTTATACTTTAACAATGTCGTACAAAAACATGTCTGTAAGCTAAATTTGTGTAGATCTATCACTCGGGGTATGTGGTTTTATGAGTCCCTTGTTAGGTTTATGCCACTCAGAGGGATGCATAATACCACATGTACCCTAAGTGATACTGTTACAACTGTTATCAATCACTGATTTGTCTGGACCAGACCAGATTATTTATGGACCATATGTGTCTGAATGTGATGTAAATTACTGTAGAGTTACATCAGCCATACCATGAAGGAAGCAACAGGTAATGTAAGTGTGAGTTAGCTCAGATGATGCGGTGCAGGGATTCCTAAAGTTTGTTTTCTCTGTTATTTAATGCTGCACTCAGCAATATTACAGTATAGGACGGCGGCCTGTAAGTAGAGCATCGATCTACGGAATTGGGATACAATGACATGAGTCAATTAGTCAGTGGTCAGTGATCCCGTTAGTCGCCTCATATGACCAACACATGTTGCTGGGGACCTGTATTCTTTCCCAGATTCTCCATCAGTGTGGGATTCCCAAAGAATTATATAGCAAGACAACAGGAGACGATAGTTATGGCTAAACATTATTTTTTTAATCAATTCACAGTTTCCCTGACAAGAACCTAATGCCCATATTTTTGTACACTACCTGTATATACAAGTCTAAGGAAATTACATTTGAACCGGTAATTCAATAACCCTCATTATAATTTATAGCTATTACATATTGCAAAACATTCCTGTCCCTCCCACACGCTGACACAGGTAACTTTATTATTGCTTGGAATAGAAATATTTTCAAATATCAAAAGAAACCAAAAAGAATTATTTTTTTGTAAACACCATGGGCCATGGAATAATCCCATTACAAGCTTACTGATAATCTATATTTTTAAAAATAAAATTAGAAATATTAACATATTTTTTATGATGACCACAATTCAGCAGCTTCCTGCAAAAAATGTTGACCAATTGTTTTAGCCAGTACTTTATGTAAAATTATTTACAGATAAATGCAAACTTGTGACCTTAGTGTTTAAAATTTTATTTAGAATTATCAGTTATGATTGAGGATTTCATAAAAAATTACTAAGAGTAACTCTGGCCATGGTTGAAAATTGAAGTAGCCAGTACTATCTCGCTTTTGAATAATCTGATAAATAAATTATTTTTGTACAATAAGAAATAAATCCACACACAATATTTGCAAGTAACTGTTAAATGCAGTTACAAATATTTACAAGGGTACATAAAATACATCACATAATCCAATAGCAGAGTTGATACAACAAACTTATCTTTGTCTTGAAAAATCCTTTCAAGGCACGTCCGTTATACATTCTCCACTGAGCTAGACTCGAGAAAAATACTGTACAATGTCATTGAGTGACTGCGTTAGTTTACGTTGCTTTGAACAGTATTTAAGTTATCTCACAAGGTGATGCAGGTAATGTACATAATTTACATCCTTGGTGAGACTGACGAGCAGGGATATAGTGCTGACAGTCCAAGTTTCATAATCAGGGCAGGATTTCTTCAAACCCATGACAATGTTAAGAGCATGTCCACACAGACTGCTAGAGCGCAGCAGATGTCACTTTTTCTTGATGAGGAACATGTTGGACGCGAGGAATGTGCGTGGTTGTGGGGCAGGCATCATCCCGAGGCCGCTGAAGCTGGAGCTGGCAGATCTGGCTGGTGGTGTGGTTCTTGAGGATGCAGCAGCTTTCTTCCCCTTAGTGTAGCTGTACTGATTGAAGGAGCTGTTGCTGTAACAAAGCATAGATTGTTTGGTTATGTTAGAGTATTGTGTCTAGGTTTCCTTGTCCCACATGTTCCACTGTTTCAAAAAACGACAGATATTTTGGATCCAATTTCTTTGTTTCTGTGAATAATGTTAAATTTGGTGACATTTTTTCCCAATGTAAATAAACTTGCTTGAAGTTATCTGTGTGATGGTTTCTACATCTTGACACATTAGCTTCATCTTACCTCTTTTTCCCAGAGCTCTTGCCTCGTGTTGAACCTCTTTTGGCCTTTTTACCACGATAATTTTTCTGTTGAAGGGAACAATTTCAATGTTACCATTTTGAATGGTATTATGCATAAAACAAAGTTAATAATGACAGAAATTATAACACTACAGTCCTCCCTAGTTATAATGCCACCTTTCGTCCAGCGGAAAATATGGCATAGTAACAAGGGAGATGAAAAACAGACAGACTTGTATACTGTAAATCCTGAAATTAACGAGAGCGTGAATTAAATGCGAAAAATGCGAGTGGTCTTTGGTCGCTTTTAAACTTCCCATTTATTTCTCCAAATGAGTGTCAACAATAAGACGGCCTAAATATTAATACAAACACGGTTCATTGAGCAGCAGTTGTAACAAGTATATAACAATGTCATTCAAAGAATAGGAATTACACAATGGGCATCCGGTGAGTTATCACTGCTTGGTCAAGAGTTCTACCCACACATGTCAAGCTTGTTGACACCTTCTCCTCATACCAATCAGTGAACTGTTGTTGGTTCAATTATTTTATTGCCTTTGAACTTGCTTAATGCCAGAAAACAGATTAAACATATAAACTGTGTTAATTTTAGAAAAAACACTGTTTATTGTTTATATGGAAGTGTTCTGCTCAGTGCTAATTTGATTAAGGTAAGGATATGTATCATTCCGCTGGGGATGGGGTGGGGGGGGGGGGAGTGGCATTGCTATTGAGTCGCATTTTTGGCCAGGGGTCAGCAGTCGTATTAATTTGGAGACGCATTAATTTCAAGATTTACAGTATCTTGGGAACATTTGACATGCCAAACATTAGCCTTTACTCAAATTGCCTTGCACTGAATGATATAATGCCAGTATGTGATCCCAGCTGTTCTTACCTTGCCCCTCCATCCTGATCCACCTCGTCTCCCGCCTCCGCGACCGCGATTACTTTGGGACTCCTCAAAGTAATGTGATGTCCATTCATCCATCGCCTCCTCGCTGCCTTCATCCTTCTGACTACTGCATCGCCGGTCGTCCTCAAGAGCTGCGGGGAAAGATAAAGACTTCCACTTGTTTGTTTGTTTTAACGCTGTATTCCAGCTGTATGGTGGAGGTCCTTAAATATAGTCAGGACCAGGCAATCCACTGAATGATTCATTCTAACCTCCACAGGCAGACACTGCCAGAAGCTCTACAGGGAGACACTGCCAGAAGCCTCACAGGGAGACACTGCCAGAAGCTCTACAGGCAGACACTGCCAGAAGCTCTACAGGGAGACACTGCCAGAAGCCCAACAGGGAAACACTGCCAGAAGCCCCACAGGGAGTCACTGCCAAAAGCCCCACAAGGAGACACTGCCAAAAGCCCCACAGGGAGACACTGCCAGAAGCCCCACAGGGAGACACTACCAAAAGCCCCACAAGGAGACACTGCCAGAAGCCCCACAGGGAGACACTGCCAGAAGCCCCACAGGGAGTCACTGCCGGAAGTCCCACAGGGAGACACTGCCAGAAGCCTCACAGGGAGACACTGCCAAAAGCCCCACAGGGAGATACTCCTGGAAGCCCCACAGGGAGACACTCCTGGAAGCCCCACAGGGAGTCACTGCCACCCCACAGGGAGACACTGCCAGAAGCTCTACAGGGAGACACTGCCAGAAGTCATACAATGAGACACTGCAACCCCACAGGGAGACACTGCCGGAAGCCTCACATGCAGACACTGCAAGAAGTCATACAGGAATACACTGTGCTGCTACTTACTGGAAAACATGCAGCAGTACTTGGTTGTAATGTCGAGGAATCTCTCGGCACCATAGGCTGAAATCCTGTAGTTTGTCAGGCCATCAATCTCACTACTCTTCATCTCCTCCAGGGTTAAAGGTCGCTTGTCAGCCAACTGCCACAGGATTTGGTTTGTGAACACAGAAGTGTAATTCTTGATGTTGTGCTCTCTCGCTGCAAAACACAAACCAAAACGGTAAATATCAACAGCAACAATCACAAAAAAGAAACAATAGAATGGTTCCTAGTATGACTATTGCTCTAAAATAGATGAGAGACACTGAAACTAACCTATTGTCTTAGCCATGGCCAGCAGTTCCTTGTAGCATTCATCCAGCAACTTGTCATAGTCACTCTGGGCCTCCTGGCCAATCTTTGCCACCTCCGTCCTGCTCTTGCTGCCATGCACTGCAAGCTCCACCTGGTAACCAGCAGTTATGATCAGTCCACACAGGAAATGCTTGCATCCATCATCAGTACTGATAATGCCATTTTGATGCATGATCACCTTCCAATTCAATTCATATTGTGTAGCTGACAGTATATATCAGTTTCAGGTCAAGTGACACCACAGCCTATTTGAACGCTGGGGTGCTCCTGTGTATACGCCCTGTGAAGCTATGCTCTTTTCCCCATCCTTTATTTGTGTAGCTGGCATAATATTCAATTTATTTGGATAAAATATTCTCAGATTCCAAATAGTACAACATACATTACATATACACTGCAACATGAGGCATGAATCATAAATAAGCTGATGATAGCCCACTGACACGAAGATGAATGATGCCAAAAGATGAGGATGGTCAAGCAGGCTCAAAGGTTTTAAACATAGGCTGCATATACCTGTCACATGTTTCAAATTTCGAATTAGTCAAAATTACTGAACAATCTGCAATCTTTGTATCATTTTTCCAACGATCGCAAATACACTGAACAATCTGCAAACTTTTTCCTTTTGAAACTGCTCTGAAATATTTATAGTCACGATGTTTCCACACTATGTTTCGACGTAAATATGCGTATTGCGACACATATCGTATCGTAAACTTGCTGTATCGTTCCACGCCTAATGTTTCAGATGATTTAAAATTTACTAAACAATCTTCAAACTCCTTATTCTGTTTCTAATGATTTCAAATCTGACAAATCTTCTGACAAATCTACAAACGCCTTACAAGATAAGTAAACATTCATCATTTCCCCAAACAGAGATGTTCTCGACACCACCAGTTTCCGGTCTCACCTTGATCTTGCCCTGCATGAGTTCGGCACTCCTCTTGCCCTGCTTGATGTAGCAGACCGCATGCTCCATGGCCGTGATCTGGAGATCCTCCATCAGGATGCAGTCAATCACCAGCTTCCGGAACAGCCGCTCTGCATCCTGACGGGAGTACGCACTGCCCCGCCCATGGAGGGGGTGTCGGTCGTGGCCGGTTTCCTGAATCTTTGTGTTCTTCGATCCTGGGTAAAACATGACTCAGTTTATTACCTACGAGGGCAAACATATCGGGGGTTCATAAAAAACATATGTGCCCCAGGGTCATATCACACCACGAGACAACAATGTATTGTTTTTGTCACTCGGATGACATTGTGGACGTCATTCGAATCTTATTGTGACGTGTGGTTGGAATCATGTCACACTAGAAATGACGTCACAGCTGAAGATTGTTAACGTCATTCGACAAATTCTAGTTCCGCTGCTGTTGCGACTGTCCTGATAGGTAAACACCATAAGTTGTCCCTGTATGTAGATGTCTTCTTTGGTAAGAAACAGTGTTATATAGAACATTATATTCGTTTTCATGTCATACTATGTTTACGACACGAGTGTCTAAATTCCGGTATTTCCTGAGTGAGATAGAGACCGCCTCCGTGGTCTAGTGGTAGAGCGTCCGCCCGGAGAGCAGAAGGTCCGGGGTTCGATCCCTGACCGCGTCATACGAAAAGACGTTAATAGATGGTACTTGTTGTTACCCTGTCTGGCGTTCGGCATTAAGGGGCTAAAACAAGGACTGGTCGGCTCGGAGTCAGTATACTGTGTCTGAGTGGGGTATTCATGTTAAACTGCAGCATGGTATCTCAGTGAGCTAGCACTATAAACGGCATCAGTCCGGACTAGTACAAGCAGCCACGTGCATGCACGTCGCTATATAAATGCAATAATCTTGGACGCGACGTTAAAAAAATAAGTTAAACCCCATTTCACCTCACCTCACTGAGTGAGATAATATCACCTTTTATTATGATCACCATATGCTATCAGTGACAGAGACTTTTGTCAGAGCTGGTGTCTGGTTGTGTCAGACATCAATCAATGTCTTCTCACAATCTACCAAACAAAACCAAATGATCAATATTTCGGTTTGCTTGTTTGTTGTATAACGCTGCACTCATCAATATCATAAATCAAGTCTGGACCAGATAATCCAGTGATTGACATCATAAGCATTGATCTATGCAAATGGGATACAGTGACATGCGTCAACCAATTCAGTAAGCCTGACCACATGATCCCATTAATCATCTCTTACGACAAGCATGGGTTGCTGGAGACCTATTCTAACCCGGATCTTCCCAGGGGTAGCGCTTTATTCAAATTATTGTGACAGTACTAAAACTTGTAAATGTATTTCTTTTTTGGCTTAGTCTTTGAACAATTTACCTACAAGGAAGAAACAAAGTGAGTTATAATTTTATCATATATAAAATCAACAATTTTTCAAACATATTGTAATTAAAAACATTGACACACTTACCTTTCTGTTGGTATATTCTACATTCAGTTTGTGACCTCTATGCTTGCACAGCATAGGTTTTAGGCATGCTTGATATTTAAGTGAAGGTGATGGGCCAAGATAGGTGTTGTTTGAATTCTGACCAATATTTTAACATTTCATTTGATAGACTACCATGAACTGATCCCTATCCGAGTAACATGAGATATGTGTTCACGTTGTTCTGGATCTTGATTTCACTACAACAGGACTCACTTTGATGATAATTGTTGAAATTATCCCCTACCTTTGAAAACTTCCACAAAATGCAGCATTGTGAAGTTTCTCCTGCCAGATGTGAGCTCCCCGACACATTTGACAACAGCCTTGGCATCTTCTGTCACATCCCGCAGCTGGAACTTATCCTACAAATACATAAACAGGACTGGGTAGTTGTGTCTGCCTTCTAGAAGTCACATCACAAAGAAATTAATGAGTAAATGTTCAAAGAGTTTCCTTCCTTGAATTACCATGACATAACAAAGTTGGAACACTTTGTCCTTGCACTCACTCAAATTTGCAAAAGACAAAGATTTTGTCATATTATTTCCACACATGATTGGATCACACCAAGATGAGGAGAGTTTTTAAGTAAAAGACTAAAATAGGACTGTTCCGGTTACATTAGTACACTTTTACCTCATGCATATCTCTGGGGATATCATTAGACCTCAAATAAGTAATATCTTGTATGGGAACAAGTGTGGAATGATCAATAACCACTACTCTGATTCTCAGCAACAACTAACAAATGCCCAGCAGTACTTGACTTGAACTGTCCTGACCTTTGAATCACAGTTGTCACAAACAGAACCCCGGAACTCGTTACATCGGTCTCGGTCAAAGTGATGCTCGCCGAAGTATTGGAGAACTTGTGCCCGGCGACAGTCAGCCACGTTCTCTGCATACTGGACCATACGATACAGGTTGTCGATGTGGACTCGCTTCGATGCATACGTCGCATTCTGGTCCACTGAAGTCAAACCTTCTCATGAGTCTCTTAACAGGAAATGTTAAACCTAGTGCTGTATTTTACAAAACATATTTGCAAGAGAGTGTTTTCTCCACCAAATTATTTTTTAAACTAGAACACTGAAAATGAAAAAAATTATGATCCATGACGCTTGGAACATTTACTTGTTGAGCTGAATAAACATGTACAGTCAAACACTGTTGTGTCAAACTTATGGTTGTCTTGAAGTCATTTTCCATTCCCTAACGTTTACTTCCAGCACAAATATACTTATGTGGTCGCCATGTCTTTATCTTGTGATCACAAATTGTGGAATGTGTTACAGATTGGAATTGGGGTTGATAGTCTTTTTGTTTCATTGGTGTTCTGAAATGATTGATAGATACCAAAATGAACCAGTCTGGTACGCAATATGACTGAACAATCTTATGAAGGGCCTTGATAACTGGAACTGATGTTCCTGCACCTAAAAACGTAAACAGTAACATCGATTGTCACTAAGTATGAAGCAGTTACGGCAGTTGAGCAGGGTTCAAAAACTAAATCGCAAATTGCTAAAGACTTTGGTATCCCTCTATGTTGGAAATTTTTGTCATTTTCTAGCTATTTGTCTTCGATTATGTTTCGTGTAATTTACTTTTCATGCCAATCGGTAAATGTAAGCCAAGTTCAATTTTCAGTTGTGTCGAACCTCTGATAACTCAAAGTATTTACGTAGGTCCCTACAACTTTGACATAATGGTGTTGAACTGTATAAGGATTGTATTACATTGTTCTGATACACAGAAGCCACAATACAAAATTCATCATGATACAGTTACAATACACTATTATAGGTAAATGTTTGCATGACTGAGGGAGTGATATGGTGTGTCGCTGCTTTGAAAAGTATCTAGGATGCCTGGTGGCGCTCTGAAGTTCTTCTGTTGATCTTCAAGCATGTACGATCTCATTAAGGCTAATAATTCTGAAAAATTTGGAGAGCTTGATTCTGTTATGCGTTGTTGGAACGGAACTAATTCCTGCAAGATAGGTGCTTAGTTTTGAACATTTGAGATTCCCTGACAAAGGAATTCTGCTACTTCTGGTAGGATAGCGCTGGCTGTTGTAAACCCTTTATATGTTGCAAACTCATATCATTGCGTTTAATATCATCTTCCTGAGGCAAGGGTGTTAACTGACTATAAAAGTCCAGTTTCCACCCTTGCTGACCTAGGCTGGAATTCCGGTGTAACATTATGGCTGGACAAACGAGTCTACACATAGTCCAATCAAAATTGCCAAACCAACTAGAAATCCGGTACGTAAACAACATGGATTTCAAAGTGCAGATTTCAGTTGATTTGCAAAGCAGGTATACCGCCAACTGGGTGTCGACAGATATTTTGCAAATCTTTTCATGTTTTTAATCAAGGTGCTCAAGTGACTTGATGCACTTCGTGAGCTAAGACCTGTTTTATTACAATATAGTTCTTGATCAATAAGAGTGCTGGCGCTCCATTCTAACCTCTGTCTGATGATCAATAAGAGTGCTGGCTCCCCATTCTAACCTCTGTCTGATGATCAATAAGAGTGATGGCGCCCCATTCTAACCTCTGAGTGATGATCAATAAGAGTGATGGCGCCCCATTCTAACCTCTGTCTGATGATCAATAAGAGTGATGGCGCCCCATTCTAACCTCTGTGTGATGATCAATAAGAGTGATGGCGCCCCATTCTAACCTCTGTCTGATGATCAATAAGAGTGATGGCGCCCCATTCTAACCTCTGTCTGATGATCAATAAGAGTGATGGCGCCCCATTCTAACCTCTGTCTGATGATCAATAAGAGTGCTGGCGCTCCATTCTAACCTCTGTCTGATGATCAATAAGAGTGCTGGCGCTCCATTCTAACCTCTGTCTGATGATCAATAAGAGTGCTGGCGCCCCATTCTAACCTCTGTCTGATGATCAATAAGAGTGCTGGCGCCCCATTCTAACCTCGGTCCCAATAGGTACACTATTTAAAGAGCCACCTACTTTCCACCATGCGCCTGAGTCTCTTGACATCTTGGTAGGAGTAGAAGAGGACACACTCTGACAGCAGCCCATCTCGGCCGGCCCGCCCCGCCTCCTGGTAATATCCCTCCACAGACTTAGGCAGGGAGTAGTGGATCACAAACCGAACGTCAGGCTTGTCAATACCCATACCAAATGCTATCGTGGCGCAAATCACCTGAAAATGTTTTTATCTTATCAATCTTTATACTCAACATAGCATAGTCCCCTTGGTCTAAAATACAAGAAAGTTATAGGAATGTTACTTACACATCTAGTAAATACAAATTGTCAATACAAGAGAATAACCAGCATAGCTTTTCTGCCAAAACAAATTTAAAATGACTAGCAGAAGAATAAGCCAATTTTTTAGATCCAACAAGCTTAACATATAAAGTCTTCATCTGAAGCAACTTTGTTGTGTATATAATTCAGTGACTATGAAGACAAACCTGTAAAGAAACAAGTCTTTTCCCTACAGTTTTCCCAACTTCATGATGAACAGATGACATGCAGGGAAAACTAATTTGTAACTTTATGACGATAGATCAGCATATTGCAAGCTTTCCTGGAAATGTGAAGGTCATGCATACAAGGTGAACGAATACTTCCACCTGGACACCTCATGTTCAGGAGAGGAAATGGATGATGTTGGTGAGTAGTGTAGATGATGTTGGTACTGGACCACCCCACCCGGACCAGGCTCAGGCCCCGAAAATGCTTACATGGAGGTCTGAAGTCATATTAATTATGTGATGATGATCCAATAATTAATCAAACTTCAGCCCCCATGTAAGCATTTTCAGGGCCTGAGCATGGTCCAGGTTGGGTGGTCCAGGTTGGGTGGTCCAGGTGGGGTGGTCCAGTACCCCCATCATCTATACTACTTGGTGAGTGTCTCACCTTGCACCTTTCCCCGTACAGCCACTTGTCCTGTATGGTGACCCTCTGTGTGTCGGCCAGCCCTGCGTGGTAGGACACAGCATCCACCCCAGCCTTCTGCAGGTCCTTGGCGACATTGTCACACTCATTCCTGCAGCAGAATGTAACTATGGTAACAGAGTATTGTAACACCTTTCATACAAAGTAAGACTGCACAGTAAAACCTGTATACCGGTACACTGCAATACACCAATGTTTTGGTATTTTTTAAAAATAATAATACATAACAAATTTAGTTATTATTTGTATTGTCAAACCTAAAATCTACAAAGAAATTCATTCACAAATGATATTACCCTTCAAAATTGACTGACAAAAATGGTCAAAATGCTGAAGTGACTTTTCTCACATTATCTCCCCTGTATCAAAGTCTACAAATAGGCGGCGACAGACCATGTTGGGTAATATTTACTTTAGTATGTAGACAGTAGGATCTGCCTGTACAATCAGTGTCAATCACTGTCAAACACCTCAGCTCTAAATATATCTCAATACACATTGCAACAAAAACTTTTTGCGAAATAGTGATCTTTACCGGGAGAGGCAGTAGACAATGCCGTAGTCCCTTGGGTACTTGTCCTTGATGAACTTGATCACATCAGGTGTGGTAGACTTGGGACGTTTATTCAACACAAGGTACTTCAGGTTGGGTCTGTTGAAGCTCTGCATGAACCTGTGTCATACAATACAAGTATGGAAATGTCCTAATGACCAGATAATCTGCAGTGAAGCTTTTATCATGCAGACCGATTATTAGCAATATTTCTGTTACATTATCCTCATGAGATTTAAAGATGGGTTCTTTTTCTGAAATATTACCTGGTGTATCGTAGATGACAGCCATGTTGGGATTGCCAATTTATAGTCCCAAAACTTTGAATAAATCCAATATTGTCGACTTATCCCCCCATATGAAATAGGACACGTCTTAGATTAGATTTGCATCCTTCAGTATTTTAGTACATCAGCCTCTTCAAAAAGTCTCCATGAGATAAGTAGTGAGTGTGTGTATGGTTTTACGCCGCTTTTAGCAATATTCCAGCAATATCACGGCGGGGGACACCAGAAATGGGCTTCATACATCCATGAGATAAGTAGACTCACCATTTTGGATCCTTCATGCCCAGCTGGTGTAGAATGTCCTTCCTCACCCGGGGTGTTGCAGTGGCTGTCAGCGCCATCATGGGGACACCTCCAAACTTGTCTCTCAATATGTTCAACTTCTTGTAGTCAGGACGGAAGTCATGGCCCCACTAGTATAGAAACACCAAAGTGATACCATATGCTAACATTTTGTATAACCTGGTGGTACTGCCCTCATGGTTGGACTGGGAGTGTTTATTCATGCAATTCTTGCTTTCTCAGCACATTCCTGTGCTTGTAGGTTATGACGTGATAAACATCTAAGACCTGCATCACATTGGGCTTGCCACCGATGTTAAGCTGACATGCAGTGATATAACTGAAATACTAACTCATTCATAGTTGGGTTGACACAAGTCAACAAAGTAAGAACTATATTAGGAATGATTCTGGTAATTACGATCAGAAAGATTTACAATTTTAATGAAAAAAACATTCATTCCTTGCTCTGTAGATTAAATCAATAACACTGTGTTTCACCTACAGCACAATACAATCACAACTATGATAGACCTGTTTGCCACTGTGTAAAATGAATGATTAATCTTCTACCTGGCTGACACAATGAGCCTCATCGATGATGAACCTGTCCAGCAACTTGCGATCATACAGGTGGCGGAGAGATTCCAGGAGCTTGGCGCTGGCAGAGAGCTGAAGGGGACAAGGGACACTTTTAGCAGCTGCATCATTGCATGTTAATATCTCACATACAGTAGGAGCTCGTTACTCCAGACAGTACACCGCCAATGACATCGTACGGATTATTTAATGTATTACGGCATAACACCTTTGAAATTATGTCTGTTTGTTGTTTAACACCGTATTTGGCAGTATTTCAGCTACATGATGCTGTCTGTAAATAATCAAATCTTGACCAGACAATCTAGTGATTGATATCATAAGCATTGATCTACGCACTTGGGATAAGATGACATGCATCAACCAAGTCACTGAGTCTGACCACCTGATCCAGACAACAGAGCATAGGTTGCTGAAGATCAATTCTAACCCGGATCTTGATGGGGTGAAACCATCTTCCCAAGGCAAGGGAGTTAACTGACTTTAAAGTCCAGTTACCACCCTTGCCGAACTAGCCTGGAATTCCTGGGCTCGACAGTAGCGCCACCAGTGGTTATTACGAGTTATGTCCCTTCTAAGCCTCTCCTTTGGACTAATCAGATTCCACCTCTCGAATCACTTGCATTTGTTTCAAACTTAATATTAAGGTGGTGCCTTGTCAAGACGATCTGATCAATAATCAAGATCTATATTGTGATAAAAACGGGTCTTACATAGCGAATTGCATCAAATCACGTGAGCACCTTGATTAAAAACATGAAAAGACTTGGAAATTATCTGTTGACAACGAGTTGGCGGTGCACATGCTGTGCAAATCCTGCACTCGACCGAAAACCGCACGACATTTTACGAACTGGATTTCGATTTCAGTGCACGATTTTGATTTGACTATGCATAGACTCGTTGGTCCAGCCAAAATCTAACTCCATAATACCAGCCAAGTTCGGCAAGGGGGAAAACTGGACTTTTATAGTCAGTTAACTCACTTGCCTCAGAAAGATGGGGTAAAACAAGCATGGGCTGCTAAAGACAAGGATCTTCATGGGGATGAAAATATGTTGACATTAATAACAGTTATCATCTGGAAAGTGCATTCTGGATTAACACTGGGTTTCAATGTATACATACAACAGTAGCAACAGTATGATTATCAAATTGACTTCTTTCCCACAGAAAATAAACATGAGACATGTACTGAGAACAAGTTTACAAAGCATGACCTATTACCTTCTCTGGAGTGACATAGAGTAGTTTGATGCCTGGCTCTCTCTTAGACAGCTGGTGGTAGACATTCTGGGCCTGAGCCTGGTCAATGTCACTTGACAAGTGGGCCGCTGGGATCTGCAGTGACAGTGAGAGAGTGAGTATGGTTTTATGTCGCTTTAATAATATTCTGGCAATATCACAGTGGGGGACACGAGAAATGGGCTTCACACATTGAACCCATGTGGGAAATCAAAACCGGGTCTTCAGCGAGACGAGCAAACACTTTAACCACAAGTCTCCCCCACTGCCCCTCTGTCGTGACAAGCACAATCATACAGCTTTCGTCGAACAAAGGACGAGGAAAACTTGCGGAGATGGGTCAGGTTAAAAGGCTGTCAATTTCTAAATACAAATATCAAAGACATTTTTTGGTGCATTCACAACTGCTTGAGGTATAGCATAGCATCATTTCAAATTAGGAACTAACATTATCATCAATGGACATTCTTTCAGAAAATTCCAACACCTGCTACTAATTGGTGAAAGGTTTTGAAAGCAAGCTTCTAATAATGAAAGTTATTACAGTTTTACATTGAGTCACAAAAGTGCACATATATGGGAAATACTTACATCTAGAGATATGAGTCTCTGAACCTGATCCTGGATGAGAGCTCTCAAAGGGGAGATAACTACAGACACCCCGTTTGTGACTAGAGCTGGAAGCTGATAGCACAAACTCTTTCCACCACCTGAATAAACAGGACAAACACCTTGCATGACAGAACATAGTCTCAAATATCAGAATAGCATCTATAGAATCATCTCTACCACTGTCAAGCACAATAGTCAAGAGTGTAGCCATTTTGAACTATGTATCAGCTTTGATAAGGGAGAGCCAATAGTGACTAACACCATTTTAGTGAAAGCCAACAATCTGATTTGTTGACATCCAAACCATTTGAGATATTGAGCTGATAATCCAAGGATCGTAATCAGAAAATCCAACCTAAGGTCACTGGATCCTGGCATGACTAAGGGACACAACTCAGCTCGACCATAACACCTATCCACTCAACAAAAGACCACAAGAAAAGTTATGAACACAATTATCAGAGGAATTCGCACATTACCTGTAGGCATGAGAATGAATGTATCCAGCCCCAGCAGGGAGGCATTAATGGCCTGGAGCTGGTTGTGTCGGAACTCCCGGAGACCAAACACCTGCTTGAACACCTTGATCAGCTCCTTGCTGTGGGGGAACACATGGCCGTCAAACATCCCGCTGGCGCCATCGTCCTTGTCAGTACCAGCAAACATGGGCTGGTAGACATCTGAACAGTTAAGCATCAGCTACAGTTGTTGGTGTAGACACGAATTAATCCAACCTAGCAGTGTGACTAACAGATCAGTCTCATACAATGAGTTGAACATTTAGGTGTTTAGAGTGAGTGAGTTGGGTTGAATGCCGCTTTGAACAGTATTCCAGTTATATCACAGCGTGTCAGCTTAATGTGGGAGGAAAGCCCGAAGTGACGCAAGTCTCGTTTGGTGAAACCCATGAATAACCTTATGGTGCTGACAAACCTAAAACATAATTGTGGCGAACTTGGATTCGAACCCTAGGTCATATCTTTGTGGCGTGCCCAAGGGATACAACTCCGCACAGCGAATTGCAGTGCCTTAGACAACTGGGCCATCTGTGACCCCTTAGATTAATGGGTTCTTAGCACTTGATAGTTAACCGGAGCTTTCCAATCTTATTATAATTATTGAATACTATCATTTTAGTCTTGTCATGAGTTTAAGAAATATTGGGGTTTTACTGCAACCACGTGCTGTTATCGTCAACAGGTAACTTCTGAAATACATAAACCCATCATCTATGAGTTTTCAATTATGCAGAGAATATTCTCAGACAAATATCAGAGAATAGGGCTGGGACAATACACCAGTTGTGAGATCCGATACATATCATGATACCTTACTCACGATACTTGCATGTGCTCTTATCTGTGGTGTGTAAGCCATCATTTTCATAGACAGGATGGCCAAATACCTGGCACACTGACGATTTACAGTTGGCAGAGTCAAGTATTGCACAACAAATGAAAATATTTATGTTTTCACTATTAACATGATTAACTTGCACTACTGATTTGTGTTTTGTGGAACTGTTATTAAAGCAAACATTTAAGGTCAGAATTGATATTTTGTACTATCCTTATCCACCGATGCATCAGTGTATTGTCCCACCACTATCAGAGAACTCAACTACTATTTCAATTATGTCATCGTCATGTCAAGATTTTCTACCAGCATTGATAAAGGAGAGCAATGAGCAACTAACAAAAGGCAGGTGTGATGGCAACTAACCCTCAACTGATGACAAATCGGGTTGCTGAGAACGTTCCTGGCGTGATGACGAGAATGAAGATGTTGACCTGGACTCGGCTGTATGTGCTGACACAGACGCTGCAAGCAACATTTGAAAGGCAATTATTGATGCTGACCCATGACAAACCCAAGCATCACACATTCTCAAGTCCTAGTTACAGATCATGAGGATAGTAACACTATTTACTTCTAATGAAATCGCTAGAATTATCAAAGAACATATGGACTGTTTGCCACAGCATTCTGAGGCAAAGTTCCCTACAGAACCCATGTTATACTTCGCTTACCCATGTCAAACAGACATCAGATTCATAACTGCTTCTAATAGGTACATACCAGTATAAATAGTAGTTACATGAAATCAGATTCATGTTCAACTGAGAATTTCAGGATTCAATCAGGAAAGAGGAATAATGTCATAAATAATAAGTGAGTTAGTGAGTGTTTAATAATGACACAATCAACAGTATTCCAGCTATATCATGGCAACCTGTAAATATTTGTCAGGACCAGAAAAACCAGTGTACCAGGTATGTTGTTATGTTCAACGACCTACATCAGGGTAAGATGACATGCACTCAACCAAGCCTGACCACCCGATCCAATTTAGTTCCCTCTTATGACAAGCAATAGAGTACTGGGGTCCTATTCTAACCCAAGTGGTCACAAATTACAACTAGTACTCAATAGTTTAGCTACTTCAACTGATCACACTATACCAACATTGTCTAGAACAATGTTTTTCTAACAGCTGTGATAAAAACATTATTGAAAGCAAAGATAAATCTCTCACACGAAAATGGAGGTGCTTGACTGTTGCTGCGATTGTAATTATCCTGAGATGTCTGCATGTCCTGAAAATCTTCAATGTTATACAGATCATCAGGAAAATCATCATCAAAGATGGCGCTGTTATTGGCGGGAGATGGCACCGTCGACTGCTTAGAAGGCTTCATTTTGCCGACGGCAGGCCCTTCTTGGAGGCTGTACTCAAACGTGTAGTTGCCTCCATGTTTGGATGTATCATTGAAGAAGCCGGCACTGTCGTCCATCACTGACGTGCGTTCACCTTGGAAGGAAGACATATTCACACTGTTGCTCACAGAGAAAGGGTCTCGAGGTTCCTGTCTTTGAAATGACTCTGAGTATGCACCATAGGTCACTGAACCACCCAGGGAATTTCTCTGGCTTATTGAATTATATTTGTCAGAAGTGTTCTGGGTAGGGGAATTCTTTGGACTTGTTAACGATTTCCTGAACCCTTTCATATAGCTCATTTTTGACTGTGTAAGTTCGACATCATCCTCAAAGAAGCTATCCCCACAAGGGATTGGCGAGTCTGATCCTAGCTGCATTTTTGTGGCAGTCGTTTTCTTGATGGCAGTGCTTGTCACAGGGAGCGGTGTCTTCACCAAGCTGTGACTGATGTCTGGTGTCTTGAAGGTGGTACAAAGTCGGGAGGAAGACGGTTGCGGCGAGAATAACGTCCTGCTTTCTGAATTAAGGGTGTCATTTTTGAAAGATCTACCAGCAATGCTGTCACTATCACGTCGTCCTGCACTTGAAGTAGACTGTGGGCCCAGGCGTTCTTTGAGTTGTTTCCTGGACATGTAATTGAAAAAACTTTATGAAGAAAGTAAGGTAAACACTATCATCTTTAGTAAAGTTTGTGATACAATACTGCTACAGTGTTCAAACAAGCATGAAATACTCACATCCCCCATCAACGTGACATGCCCGGTTATGTGGAGCACTACCGCCATTTTCAGTCTAAGTCAAAGTCGTTGGCAAGGAAACTTGACATTTTTTTTTTTTAAATACCCCAAACTATCAAAAGGCGGGAGACAATAACCATGAAAGTCAAGGCATCCTTGTCACGACACTATTTTCAAGAAGGTTTAGGGGCCCTACATCTACATCAAGGACCCCAGGATCATCAGCTGATAAATACAACTTCAATCCTTATATTGACATATACATAAATCATAACAACACAATCCATTTAAACACCAAACTTAATTATTCAAAGCGAACTATATTAACATAGAGAGTTGCTTTCGTCATCCGTCCCAAACATTCCATGGGAGTTACATCCCTTGGTTTTACAGAAGTATTAAAATGGCAGCTATGGCAATATCATTCATTTGAAATAGAAGTTTCACCCAGTAAAGCTAGAACTGGAAAAAAATCCGGACCTGAATTCTGAAAATGGATTACCCTATTCGACATAATAAGCGCCCCACTCTAATAAGCGTCCACTGCGACATTTGCTAAGATATTGGGTAGTGAACAATCCCATTTAGCACCCCTTCCGATTGAGCCCCCTATTTTTAATTTTGAGAGCTCCCTGGGCGCTTATTAAGTCGAAATACGGTAATATAAAATGTTCTGTGAACTGTGTGTGTTTGAGTCATACTAAGGCTAAATGAGCTGCTGATGACGGGGTCTACCGCTTGAGTACATGACAGTGTGGAGCTTAGTGAATTCTGTTGGTAAGTAGAGCATTCTCTATTGTAACTTCGAATAGACGCTTCATTTCAGTGACATGACATATAATGAACTGTCTGGCTTCAAAGCCTGCATCATTCATAGCCTGAATAGCATGATGACACCATCCCTATTTGATGCTATTTTTAGACATTGAGGGATTTCCCTCAAGTGGTTCAGTATGTCTCAGCTCGATTGACAAAGTAATCACGCGACCTCCTTCATTGTGAAATGAAGGAATAAGCCTGGTAGTGTTCATCTTTGCGAGGTCACCCTCTACTGTCAATATATACATTTGATTTTCACAGTACTGAGCAAAAAAACATGTTACAGGAACTGTGTCATACTGTGACCCAAGCAACCTTCAATATAGTACCAAGACAAAACTGATGTCATCAAAGCAACTAGCTGAGGTAAAATCCATTGACGACACATCTGTGATTCATGACTAACATGGCAAGCCAATGAACTGAAATAGTTAGTATCTTACCTGAGATACAGAAGTTTCTGTAGTCTGTCATAGTCATGAGAGACGATGTCCATGAGGTCGGCTGAGCTGACTTTGCTGATGATGTCGCAGACCTCGTCCATGACACTGACCAGCTGCTTGTAGTCCAGGTTGTCTGGGGAGATCTGTCACAGTGATTACATTATTAGTAACTGAAAAACCTGAGGCTTTGTACCACATTTGAATGTTCTGAATGTTTAAATCATCCATTTTAATTACCAGGGGCCCAAACACTGTGAACGCTTTGAGAATCTGGGCCAAATATCCTATTTGCAGAAGCCAGGCACCTATACACACAAAATATCAGACAGAAGATTTTATATGAGATGTCGAAAAGTGAATCACGAGACAAAAGGGAATATCTACCATCAATGTATCCATATATAACATTTAACAACACATTTCCTGAAATGACAGAACTGGAGGCTGAACCATGCAGTTTACTTACTTTCTGTTGCATACTGTTTGTAGTACTTTGAGATTCTGCAGGAGAAAATAACCCTCATACAATATGTTCATTTTCTCACAATAATTTATTCAGGATCATACTCTGCATTAAGGAAACCATATGTTAAAAATATCAAATCAAAGGATCTCTATTCCCCTATTTTCTTAAGCTGAATCTCTGTACATAAATGTGTAACCAGCTGATTAAATGTTACACCCTAATAAATCTTATTAGAAGCTAAAGTTAGAGGAGATCACAACCAACCAGTTTTAATAGGTGTGATGTCGAGATTTGCCATCTTCACAGAGCTTGAGCTTCGATCTGTGCAAGGAGCTTGGTGAGAGCTCCTGGCAGGGCCTTGAGCAGCATGAAAACTGAACTTCCTGTCTGCAGTTCCTTTCGTCTTTGGCACAGGCTGCATAACTTTCTGTTCCTCATCTTCACTGTCACTCATGATGATCGGGGTGTGGCGGGCACGCTTACTGATCTGCTGCGGCAGCTCATCTTCATCTTCAGAGTCCTGTGGTGGAATATAACTTCATGGATCACAACTCATACACGCAATGACGATAGGAATCATACATGGTGATATAAAGCAACTGGACAGTATCTATTGTACACTTTTATTGAAAACAAACAAACAAACAATAGTTACTAAACATTTTTTACCTTTTATATCAATAACTACAAATCCAGGCCTGATATAGGAATATAACTCTGCACTGAAATTGGAGTGTCTTAGCCCACTAAATCACTAGTGTCCATACTAAGGTCTGAAGTCCTACCTTAAACAAGTCTTCCATGAGAGAGTTTGAGAAGGAAGACTCATCCAGGTTGGGGCTGCAGTTGCCAGGTTGGGGTAGCTTCCTCCCCGCTGCAGAAGCCCTGGGGGTAGGGGTGCAGGTCTGGGGGCACAAGTTAAATACAGTCTGAGTCACATTCTCTATTTTCCTAACACTCACCACAGTCAATAAAACTGATTCTTAAGATATTGTTTTCCTATCATAAAACTGAGATGACTGCTACATGCTTTTAGATTTTGTGAATATAACACTATATACAATATAGACAGTACTCAGTCAAGTCCTGCAGTTTAGGGCACGTACAGGTGCATGAGGTCATCAACGAACACTGTATTATTGCTGTTACCCAGCCGAATCCCAACATTGTGGCAATCATTCTGCAACTTCATGCAAGTGTTCAGTATTCATCTCCTTGAAAACTAAATGACATTGTGTATCTTCAGTTATACTCTACTTATTCCTATTCTACTTGCAGTCCATCTATTAACACAGAGAGAAACCAGAACAGAAATGTGGATCTATATGTCCAGTTACAGTAAACAACATAATCAGTGACGATTACCATCCACTTTGAGTTCAGTATCTAATTATGTGAGGAACAAGGCTACTATATAACTATACATAAACAATAAGAGTGCAGTGAACTTTGTGAACGTCACAACAAGTACCTCATTCAGTTGGTATCCAACATAGAAGCTGTTGGACAGGCAGAACTACAGGGACCCAGCAAGCTATGCTTGTCTTCCCGTAGGGCAAGAATATAGATTCCCCAGCAACCTATGCTTGTTGTAAGAGGCAACTAAATGGATTGAGCGGTCAGCCTCAGTTACTTGGTTGATGCATGTCAATGTATCCCAGTTGCCTAGATTGATGCTCATGATAGCAATCACTAGATTGTCTGGTCCAGACTCAATTAGGTACAGACTGCCATCATATTGTTGGAATATTGCTGAGTGTGGCATTAAACAAATAAACAAAACCTGACTTGGATTACACCCAGGGCACTGCTCAATTACAATAACACTCTTTCAAACACAGCTTCAAAAAGTGAGAGAATTTACCTTAGGCCTGTTGTCTTGTATAGTTTTGGTGGCACGAGGGGAAACTAGAGTAACATCACAACAAAAAGTTCAGCCGAAACTATCACAGCCATGCAGCATATCAAATAATGAATATTATATATCAGCAACACACGATGTCAAACAAACTACTGATGAAGCAAGCTATAACTACACCGCAGATATAAATAATGTGATTACATCTGCACAAGTTTATTGCTTTAACAGTTAATTGCATGAAACTCTTCACTCTTAAAACTTTAAATAATTCTTTAATTACATACATTAAATGTCACACAATTAGTTTCTTTAAATGAAGCCGGCAGGATGAGAAAGGTTCAATCACTATCAGTACATACCATGGTTTATAGATGGCATGGAGAAGTCATCAAGGTCATCTTCCCCGTCGACGCTGGCCACAAACATCCCCAGTGCAGGCTGAGCTGGCACCTCTCTCTTCCTCTTGGAGGTGTTTCTTGGAGGGGACCTAGAAGACGAAGGGATGCAGGGAACACTGAAACAAGCATAAGGTGGAAATAAGACCCAATCTTTCAATATTTGGTGTACAGATTCTACAGACTCTAAAATATTGAAAAGTGGACAAAAATCATCTGAAAATCATCATTTCCACCCATGCCGAACTCAAGTGGTGACCATAAAAAAACTGATGCATGCAAAAGTAAACTTTACGATGGACAAGATTACACAGACCTGTACAAATCTGTAATGATAGATTGACATATCAATGGATTGCACAATATTTCATGAATAACAATCTAAACACCAAATTTAGTCAAATTAGTAAACAGTTTCATTTGAGATGAACACTATGAAACAGTTTGTTTTGTTTGTTTAGTCATTTAACACTTCTGTCAGCAACATTCCACCTATGTTACAGAGGCCTATAAACAACTGGGCTAGAGTCTGGGCTAGACAACCACTGGTTGATGTAATGATCAATGTTCAACGCTATCTGGGTAAAATGACACGCATCAATCAAGTCACTGAGCTTGAGCATCTGATCCCATTCATTCCCTCTCACATTAGCCTCGCAGGATTACTGCATTAGTTTACTGATTGAGGCATACTATTTCCGTTCATTGGGACATCGGGCGCATTGATGTAGATGGGTTTATTTAATATAATCATGGGAGTCACCGATTGTCTCAAAACTATTTTACATCACTTGGACAGCTGCTTCAATTATTGAATGTAAATGTCCTGATTTTTGTTGCGTTGAGCATCTCACTTTACTATCAGTGCCTTTCATTTGCCAAAAGTCACAAATGGTCCAATCAGAACCAAATTTACACAGTTTGGCAAATAAAGAAGTCATATGGACGATTTTCAATGGTTCTTTACTGCAACTAATAAACTATGGCCAAACAGCAAACTCCAAGAGCAGACAGTCCAAATAGGTTCAGAGATAGATCAATTTTAAGTTTCTTTTCCTTGTCTTCACAGCCTAAACCGACTTCTGATATTGACAAAAATGTTTCTGCTTCAATGACCCTGGTATCGAATAATCACCAAACACAAGTAATATCAACACAAAAAACATGGCGCACCTGACAGTGACCATAGTGGCAGACTGAGAAAGGGAGAAAAACTGAGAAATATGCTTGTCATACAAAATGACTAACGGGAGTGGGTGGTCAGGCTCGCTGACTTGGTGATGCGCTATTGTATCCCAATTGTGTGGATCGATGATCATGACGTCAGTCACTGGATTTTCTGGTCCAAACTCGATTATTTACAGACCGCCGTGATAAAACTGGAATATTGCTGAGTGCGACGTTAAACAACAAACAAACAAACAAACAGATGCCATGTGGAACATCCTGTGTATCACTAAAATTACTTGTGTGTCTACAGCTAGCTTTTCCTTCTGAACCTGCTCTGAAATATTTATAGTATAAAGTTTCCATGCAATAAATATGAGTATCACGATACATGCATTGACCTACATATCATGATACATATCGTATCGTGACCTTGATGTATTGTTTCACCCGTACTGGTAATTGGGTTTTAAGTTTTAATATGAACTGTTCGAGTGTGGCCCCATACGTTTTAAATATGAAGGGGTCCCTATCCCCACACGTTCAGTTTCAATATTTAAATATTTCAACAGTCTGTTGCCTGTATATACAATGTTAAACATAATTAGAAAAAAATATTACAAACACTCATAATCCATACATTCAATTCATGTTTTGTGTAAAACATACAAATGAACTTTGAGAAAGTAAAAATGTCAACAAATGGGTATCCTAAATATTGTGTGTTGAAAATAAGTGCACAAAGTCATTGCTTGTTTAAGTTTTAATAGGGAAACCCGCATATTAACTTCAGATTGACTAAGACCCACCTGTGAGGATTAACTGTTGCCACTGGCTTGGCTTTGTGGGCAAAGGACATGATGGACATTTGACTGCTCCCTCCATTCTGAAATACACCAAAGGACACGTTCCAGTTGTGTGACCAGTCGCAGACATAATGTGTATGCAAGATGGACCACCATCTCTTGTATGTGAGACTGTGGTCCAAGATCAGAGAGAAGAGGTTGGCACTGACTAAAGTGACCACTAGTGACAAGCCTACTTAAGTGTGACAAAAGCAAGTGTGATTAAACCATCCTATAAAATCACTGATAATATGTGTTCAAATGTATGTTCAAAATATATACTTTCTATTCCCTAAACAAAGTTTTGTTTGTTTGTTGTTTAACGCCGCACTCAGCAATATTCCAGCTTTATCACGGCGGTCTGTAAACAAACGAGTGGGTTGCTGAAGACCTATTCTAACCTGGATCTTCATGGGTCCCCTAGACAAAATAAGGAGTTTGGTCATAATTATTGTGTACTTGTAATTGTCTAGTGATTCATGGTATTAGTCAACATGGTCAAGCCATGTGGGGTACTGAATCAAGAATCCAATATCTATCACATGTTTATCTACTTTACATGGACAATCATACTGTGTCTTACCTTCTGTACTTTAGGTGGTGGCTTAGTCTCTCCAATAATCTGTATTCCACAGTTATCTGATGGAGGCACGGCTGGTGGCGGCTTGTTTAGAGACAGGCCTTTTGAACGTTTGAACTTGAAACCACTACCATTAAAAAGGGAAATGTTACAAAAATTTAACATGCTTTAGTATAAAATTGTAAATGTTACATTAAATTGTATATTTATATACTTATCCTGTCTCTCGCTATGCATGTCTTGCTCCTTCGATCCTTAAGTGGATACATGCTTGAACAAATTTCCAGCTTCTAAAAACATTTCACCCGAATACATCACCATGGTCACCACCCAAACAAAAATTGGTCATGCACCATAATCCTGTGTGTGTGACCTTTCACAACTTGATCACCTGACTACCCCTGACACATCATTCCCTTTCTTGGACATCACTGGCTTGAGGAGCTCTGATGCGGGTATGGTCGAGTGAGCATATAGCATGTGAGATAGGATAAGTACATAAAAATACAATTTAATGTAAAATTAACAAATTTTTAAAAGTATCCTATCTCACACTATGCATCTATCCCACAGTTGGACAAGGGGGCACAGATACCCTAGCCTGTAGAGACTACCACCGTGAGATATACATGAGGAAGCTGGTGCTAAACAGTGATACAAACACTAAGCTATAACACTGCCAAGAAGTCATGAGTGGGTAAAAACACCCAAACTTGGCGATGTGATCCTTTTATGCTAGAAGGACATACCATATTCACCATAATAAGTACCCAGGGCGCTCTCAAAATTAGAAACAGGGGACTTTTATTAGAATACTATTTTGGTGAAAGATTGTAAATTTCGTGGTTTATGCTGACAGCCTGAAATGTTTATATACGACAGATATATTTTCCAGAATTTAATTGCCCATAATTAAGGGTGCATATAACGCACAAGTGCGTATTATACACCAATAAATAAGTCTTGTGTACATTGATCAATCAGAAGGGGCGCTAATTGGGAATGTTCACTAGCCAACATATCAGCAAATATCGCCGTGGGCGCTTATTACAGGGCGCCTATTACGTCGAATACGGTAAGTTGTAAAACCTAACGAGGGATACATAAAACCCCATGTACCCTTGTGATCCTGCTACAACGAATTTATCTTACCGACATGTTTTATATAACATTGTCATGAAAAAAGAAGAAAAAAGGTATTCTATGGAACTCAATACACATCTCCACAGGGTGGCAATGAGAAATGATATGGCAGGGGTAGTCGGGTGATCAAGTCACGCAAGGTTTGTTTGGGTGGTGACCATGGTGATGATAGGATGTGTTTGGGTGAAATATTTTTAGAAGCTGGAAACTTTGTTCAAGCATGTTTCTACAAAAGAATCGAAAGAAGAAGGAAGAAATGCATAGTGTGAGCGGATAAGCTTAAAAATTGAACCATACAAAAATCAGACCATTATAAGCAGGAAAAGTCAGCTAAAGTACACCATCATGTACACATTGGTGTAGGTTTCTTTAAGTTTAGCAGTTTAGGAATGATTAGGTCCTACATGCACCAAGGTTCTGTGTTCAAGGATTCCTCAACTCCCCCTACAGTTCTAACAAGGGGAAACCAGAAGCCTGGGTTTTAAACTCTCCACCAGTAGAACCAGACATGACTAAGGGGCACAACTCTGCACAGTGAATTGCAATTCCACTGGAGCACCAGTCATCTTGAGCAAACAAACAGTTGTGAGGTGCGAGATTAGAACTGTCAGTAACAAATGCTAACAGCATAAAACAAGTGAAACATAACTCCTGTTAAAGTGATGGAAACTTTAACGATCAGGTGAACACATCTGATGTGTATTTTCCATTTTTCTTAAAGTAACGTCACATAATAATCTGATAGCTTTCATTACCCTTTCTTTACAACTCTGTTTCCTATTTCCATGTTGACTTTACTGCTGCATCATGCGTAGACTTGCAAAAGGAAATGTATAGTCAGCAATCTTGCACTGAAATACAACAAACTGTTGTTGGAACAACATACAAACACAAAGGTTACAGGTATTTATATACTAAATATTAAAATATCAATAACATAAATCCACCATGATACAATATGAATCACAACATTTGACTATACTCAGTAAAATTTTAGAGGGTACATTGTAGATACACTTTGTATCACAATCAACAAAATAGATGGGAGTACTGCACTTTACACAGCACACTTTATTTGGATTCAGGTAAGTCATGCGGAACTTGTGGAGGTTCAAACTTTATGAGTAAGTTAGCCTACTCTTCACCATGGGGCCATACATGCTATCACATGTATTGCTTGTTTACCTGGATCCACTTGCACTAAGCGATCTTCTAAGCACATACTTTAACACAGAACTATAATAGTCATAGCTCTAAGATGGTTTTGTTCAAATGGGCCAGGGCCCTTGTGTTTGAGCAGAAAGGGGTGCAAAACCCTCATGATCATTTCCAAAAAGGGGGCCCTAACCATATGATGCTAACCCTAATTATTGTAAAATCGGGACATGAGTCCCAAAGAGGGGCAGGTCAGTCTATTGCTAACTGTCATGAATTCTTCATGGTCTTTGGCACACAAATCTAACACTGATAAATCATACTAACACATTTATTAACAAGTACATGTATATGTCACAGCGCAAATTCAAGGCTTTTCAAACTATTTTGGTTATTTTCAAGGCTTTTTAAGGTTGACCCTTAAAATCAAGACTATTCAAGAGGGACCTTAAAATACAAGGCCTTTTCAAGCCTGTATGAACCTTTTGAATAGAGGTAGAGGTAATGCCACTTCAAAAACATTCCAATTTCCAGAAGCTATAATTAAAAAAGAAAGAAATGTTGACTATCAAGTAGTCGTGACAATTTGCAATGAGTCATTGTTCGATCACAAAGTGAAATTATTGTGCCCCGATTTTCATATGTAAACAGTCGTCAGGGTGTGTGGATTACCAAATTTTCTGATACCGAGATATAGAGTCCGCAATAATATAGAAGTAGACTAATCATGCTAATACTGACAGTCTTGTACCACTATGCTTCAGCCATTCATCGTCTTTTTTTCTATTCCATGGATAAATTAGTGGCACTTATTGACTGTATCTCTTTACTTCAATTAACTCTTGGATTACTTCATAAACAGAATATTTTATGGTCAGTGTTACCATTTGACAAGTCACAGCGTCCAATGTGTGCTCGGCACTGGAATTGTCATAACTATTTGGAAGTGTCTGAGATCCTAAATCACTGTCATAGATTGTCACTGACACACAAAAATGTATTTACTAAACTGTCATTTCTGCTGAACCTTTAGTCCGTATTTCTGACAAATTAAGGTTATTTGTAAACAAACCAAATCGGTAATCAACTGGTTAGGTCCTACAATAAAACGACGTGAAGTTACCTGTGTCAATTCAACATATTTTCTTCAGGCAAATATTCGTTGATAATGATGACAAGATTCAGCTTGTTTCTTAATTCAGTTCACTTACATCTTCGAAATAAACACTCTAAAGCAAATGATACATCTTGTAAAATAGCGCCATTCCCTCGTGAATTTTCACTAAATGTGCAAAACCGAAAAGAAGAAGGCAAGATACACATTGATACGCCTAGTAAGACAGCATTCATTTTAAAACTACAAGGAGAATTGAAGGTTAATTTTGAAAAGCAAAATCGGATGCATCATTTCTTAGACATAGGGAGAAAGAAAATAATGTAGAAATCATTTTCCAACAGAACTCCGGTCATTCATCTTTTTAAACAAATCTACGGCGCATGCGCTGTAACAACTTCCTCTTTAGCCTCCATTTTCTGTCATCTGCAAGTGAGTGTGAACACTCCAATATTATCTCCCTAATCCTTGTTGAAAATAAATTGCATTGTTTATGTATATGTTTGGCTGGAAAGTCCAGTCATTTTTGTTTCGCACTAGTCGATTATTTTTATGGAAATATCGATATTACACACCAATGAACTTGAATGAGGTTGATGAATTTACACATGTAAACAACACTTGTATGTAATAGAAGTGACCGATTCATGGTTATTGAAAAGCGTGACGATTGTTACATTTACTATTCACGAATTAATTGTTAGCATTGTTATGTTTAAAATGAAAATGTTTGCGATGAAAAATACCGACACCACAGGTTGCCGTAGAGAGTCCATAGAATCATGCCCAACCCCTGAAGATCCGGGGTAGAAAAGGTCTTCAGCAACCCATGCTTGGTAAAAGGCGACTATGCTTGTCGTAAGAGGCGACTTACGGGATCGGGTGGTCAGGCTTTTGACATGGTCAATGCATGTCATCGTTTCTCACCCCTGGTAAGATCTGGGTTAGAATTGGTAATCAGCAACCTATGCTTGTTGTAAGAGACGACTAACTGGATCGGGTGGTCAGGCTCTTTGACTTGTCTCATTGCATGTCATGGTACCCTACTGACAAGGAATAGTGCTGATAACAATATTTACTTGTTGGAGTCAGTTTAGAGTGGAATCTCTCAAGTAATAGTCTATCTTTCAGTTAGTTATATTAATTGATTCACATTACTTTTTCAGCAATGGGGCTCCGCTATGAAATGGCCATTGGCCGGTCTAAGGGCCACCGTGTCACGAAAATAGAAGGTGGCAGGAAAGGAAGACCAACCAGAAGGAAGGGGGTAAGTTTTGTCAGGTGTATGTGAGAACATTAAAAAAAAAATTTGATGGGTAGGTAGTCCTAAAGCCCTTACGGTTTGTACCCATAGTAGAGTTTAGGGACACCCTAAGTCTCTAACATTAGGCATTGAGGTTATGAAAAGGGCCCCTGACTTTCATGCTTTATTTCAAAGTCTGCTTTATGACGTAAGAAAAGTGAATTAAGATTTGGAAGTTATGTCAGCTATTTTTAACTAATCAGGTGTCAAGTGACCCGTGAAGATTTGAAATAGAATTGATCTTCAGCAACCCATTCTTGCCATAAAAGGCGACTGACAATATTGGGTGGTCAGGCTCACTGACTTGGTGGATGCATGTCGTATCCCAATTTGCAGGGATTGATGTTCATGATATCACTGGATTGTCTGGTCCAGACTCAATTATTTGCAGTTATATAGCTGGAATATTACTGACTGCTGCGTTAAACAGCATTAAGCATATGTCATAGAGACTTTTGGCTAATTCAATTACCTAATATACCATATTAGTTGTGCATGTACTACCAGGGATTTATCTAGATGTGCTCAGCGGCCAATATTTGGTCCCAAGTCTGCAGGAAATGTCAGAAAAGTTTCCAAATGGTAATGAAATATTTCCAAATTCATGTTCATATAGTTATGACTAATATGATGGTTTGATCAAGGTGACATGCATCTTACCATTAAAGAGGAAGAGCCTTCACTATGTTCAACTCTTAATGGTCTATTATTACATTGAATGCAATTTTACAATGCAGTGTTAAGATGCCTCTCTGAAAGTCAAAGAAAAGAAGAAAAATCTTCAGAACAGTTCCAGTTTTGCTGAATATAACAATATTTTCCCAATTTGCTAGCCTTGGGCGTGAGTTTTGAATCATGGATAAATCCCTGTGTGGCAGCCCTTTTATAATGTCAACATTGTGAGCATCCAGAAATATTGCTATGAGGCAAATGAGGCCATGCTCCTCTATTCACAGGGAGTGAAATTTCTTCCTGTCATTTTATGTTTTGATGTTAATAATAGACAGATAGTAATGCTACTATAATTCATATATATTGTAAGAATGTTAGTCTGAAAATGAAATGGACCGGCACAAATTTTCATCTATTAAGCAGATACCGTATTCGACGTAATAAGCGTCCCGCTCTAATAAGCGCCCACGGCGATATTTGCGAATATATTGGCTAGTGAACAATCCCTATTAGCACCCCTTCCGGATGATCAATATTCACAAGACTTATTTATTCGCGTATGATACGCACTCGTGTGTTATATGCAACCTTAATTATGGGCAATTAAATTCTGGAAAAATATATCTGTCGTACATGAACACGAAATTTATCTTTCAACTCTGTTTTTTTTTCAACCAAAATAATATTTTAATAAGAGCCAGCTATTTCTAATTTTGAGAGCGCCCTGGGCGCTTATTACGTCGAATACAGTATTATTTTTTTGTCTTTCTATGAATTTCTCATTGAAAATATTCACATGTTTATCATGTTTATATGTGCTTTTGTTCTTGACAGAGTCTGACAAAGAAGACTAAGTTCATCCGGGACCTTGTGAGAGAAGTTGTAGGTTTTGCCCCTTATGAGAAACGTTGCCAGGAGTTGCTTAAGATCTCCAAGGATAAGAGAGCCCTCAAATTCTGCAAACGTAGGGTAAGAAACATTGACTATGTATTGCAAATCACTTTGCTTATATTTTTTCCATGGTTTTGAGTGAGTTCCTTATTTTTCCAGCTCGGTTCTCACATCCGTGCCAAGAGGAAGAGGGAAGAAATGACCCAGATCCTCCACAAACAGAGGAAAGCACAACAGTCTACGAAGTAAACTGTACAAATTCAAAAATAAACAAAGGTCCTGTATTCAAGGCTTATGTTATGTGTGAATGTGACGGATAGACTCAAGTTCTGTAGAGTAAACTTTGTGAACTTGGTGGAAAAATAACAGATTGCTCTGGGCTGCAGCTCAGCATGAGTATGATGAGAGTTTTGGCTCACAAAGATCATGAACACTGAATGGCAAATTGAGCTGATGTCAGTGCGCCAATCCGATGATATCAACGGGTTTACATTATTTTGGAAAATGTGTTCTGAAAAAAAGAATGGTCTTTAAGCAGTAAGAACAGTTAAGGACAAATTGCTGTTAAAGTGTGAATATTAAAATTAATCATTATATATATTATATTATATCAATAATAAAGAGAGAAATGATGCATTTGTAGATGTATGCTGGTCAACTACAAGCATCATTGGCAAGGAACCTGGGCACAATTTCCAGACTTTTAGCACGATATCGACAACATGGCACAAATAGAAATCGTGCAAGAATGGGGCTTTACGACCGTCTTGCATAAGTGATGTAACTGGCACATGCAAAGATTTTTCCATTAACATTTGCTACACTCTGCATCACAATGTAATCTTCAAGCACACACGTCCAACATATCACTTGAAACTCTTGAAAAGCACATGCATTTCTATTTTTGGGAGGTGGAGAGTATATTTACTTGCATTAGTGAATTACCGTAATCAATATGCCCCATGTTGGTGTTTGGTGGAATGTTTTATCAAAATTGATTGCTGAAAAATAGCCACGTGGCTCTGTAACTAGCCTTTGTTTTTTGGAATCTTACACCTGATAGAATATGTCCTCTAAAAGAGTAGGGGTGGTCGGGTAGCCTAGTGGTTAAAGCGTTCGCTCGTCACGCCGAAGACGTGCTATTGCTAAAAGGGGCGTAAAACCATACTCACTCACTCACTCTAAAAGAGTAAGTTTCTACACAACAGAAATCCTTATTGCATACAGTTTATACATTGGGTTCAGATTGTGTTACAATGCCCAGATGTAAGCCATGTGGCTTCAAGAATTTCATACATGAGCTGCATGAGCAGAGGGCCAAAACTAAGTACAAGGTTGAAGTAACAAATACACGTGAGCCTCACACAGAAGGAATTGAATGATAGTGATGTCATTGAGGTATATCTTTAAAAACTTAAGCCAGATGTGCAAATTGTTTCATGTGACAAATCGGTAAAATAAGCCAGGGTTTTGTAACCTTTGGAAAATGGACAAGTTTGAGGAAAGTGCACTGGTCAAGTACTTCCAGAAAAAGGGCTCAAAGCCATCCATGAAGATCCGAGTACAACACTATAAAGTACTCATGGAAATGAAAAAAACCTGTTTTGCTGGATTTAATAATCGACACAAAGCATTACGTAGATGTAAATACGAAATAACAAAACAACTGGAAAAGTACCAGTCTGGATTTGCTAGTTTTATCTCAGTGCTCAATACAAAATGTACTTTACAGGAGGTAATTTGTAGGCACTTTCAACATTCAAAAATAAAACTAAGTCCAAATTGACATGGCAGAAACAGGCTATAGGCATTATGCAAATTAGCCTGGAAAAAAGTTATCAAAACAACAATAAAAATAACAGCTGTGTTTATGTACATAATAATAATGACATGTAAGTTGTTGTTTGAGAAGGGAATATGTTACTTTTACGTTCTGATATTTTGACGATGATTCACTATCCCACAATGCCTCTCACAAATCACTAACCACTGACAAAACACATGCACGTGGGTTTCAAGCACCTGTTTTCACCTGTCGTCAAGGTGTCATAGGTCATAGACATTCACCTTGATCTACTTACACCTGGTTATGCTCAGTTTCACAATAGTCCGTTTTGTTCATATTATTACACACTTTTACGTGTAAAAAAGACATAAAACCTTTGATACGCTGTATTTGTGCCAAGGCCCAATTAGTACTAATTGAGTTGTTTGAATATTTCTATATTTTGTATATTAACTGCATTTATTTAAAATCTGAGATCGAAAAAACAGGGTTTTTTTCATTTCCGTGAGTACTTTAGGGATCATGTCCCTTCCTATTCCACTGTAAAGAGAACAAGAGTATAGACACCTCCATTCCTTTAAGGCAACACCAGAAAGGATTTTACGCCACTTTTAGCAATATTCCAGCAACATCATGGCGGGGGACACCAAAAATGGGCTTTACACATTGTAACCATTTTGGGAATCGAACCCAGGTCTCAGGCATGATGAGCGAGCGCTTTAACCACTAGGCCACCCCAGAGGTCACTAGAGGACCTGTACATTGGTGTTCTGCAGGAATAGTGATGTTACATGTGCTGTATGTGGTCAAGCTTTGTTGTGTTGAAAGATTACACTCGCATGGTACATAACAAGAATGTGCAGCTGTAGGATTTCATCACATTTGGGATGCTAAGTTGGCTCACACTTGCACCAGGTTTGTTTTACCAGTGTTGGAGATTTCCACCCATATCATTACACTGCCGTTGCCAAATCTGTCCACCTCCCACATGCAGTTGGCTGCAAGTTCTTAGTGGCGCTGGTACAAACTGGTATAAATCTTGAACCAAATCACTGAACCAAACAGTTCATCACGGGTGAGACAAGCACCTATGTCCCAGTTGATGATACTGTGTCAAAACACCACCTCTGATGTGGCTTTGAGACCTGTGGTCCTGGGCATCTGTTGTAATGTACCATACTGTTGGTGACAGGACCCAAGTCTAGAGATGATACCATGGAGCACATTGCATACCTTAGAACCTGACTGCGATTCTCCTGCTGCCAATTATCCATTGGCAATGCTCTTTTGTGCCTGTTGTGACATGACTTCGCAGTTGCTAGCAGACACTGTTTTAGCATCAGTCCTGTGTGTTTTTATGACATTCTCGCCCTCCACTTTCTTTGGCCAATTCATATTTCACATGCAGAAATAGGCATATGTATGGATCCGGTTGTTTTACTTTTCTGTGCTGTTACTTGTGGGTTGTGCATTTGGTTGTTGCTGTGTTTAGAGGATTCCAACAATGACATATTCAGTATTCACATGTATCGTTTATGTACTCATGTCAAATCATCTGTGTTTCTATTTATGCATATTTTTTACTTCATTATAATACATGTAGAAATGCCTGAATAATGGGGGAAAATGGTACATGTATTTTCAATATGGCTGCCTTGACTGCCATGTTTAAGATCAGATTCGAATTCTACACATACCAGAGATTGGATCATTCTTGCAAATCTACTGTTTCATTGGTCTTGTGGTATCAGGTGACATGTGGTATCAGGTGACATGTGGAACCTGTAAAGGTTTATGGTGTGGGGGGGCCACAGATCAGTCGTCTAAAGCAGTGCGATTCGCTGTGCAGAGTTGCGTCCTTCGGGCACACCAGAAACCTATGATTGTGCGTTCGAATCCCGGTTTGCCCTGATTATGTTTCTTGGTTTGTCAGCACCACGCCCGTGCTCGTGGGTTTCACCGAAGTGGTAAACGTCTGAGACCTGCACCTCCCAGATTATGCTGACACGCTGCGATATAACTGGAATACTGTTGAAAGCGGCGTTAAACCCAACTCACTCACTCACTCACTTATGGTGTGGTGGATTAGGGAGATGAAGGATCAAGAGACTTTATCGAGATACATTTACCTTTAAGTCAAGAAACGTGTCACATTGATCAATTTGTGGATATAGTCTCAGTATTGTGTATTTAGCAAATGTTTGAAATAAAAGACCTTTTCTGGTCCTGTAATCCCCTCAGTGAACAGCAGGCTATGAACTAAGTGTATTGGTTGGGAGATACACACAGACAAATATGGCCATAACTCACAAATCACCACCCCCATGGGTCGAAAGAGGTGATGACATGTAGTGACTGGTCAGGATCTGTGACTTGGTTCATTGCATGTCATTGTATTCTGATAGTGTGGATTGTTGCTTATAATATCAGTCACTGGATTGACTTGTCAAGACTGGATACATTGCAGGACGCCATCATAGGGGTGGAGCGTTGCCAAGTGCAGTGTGACACAACAAACATTATCCTGTTACACAGTATTGGCATTCTTGGACATGTGAATGTGTGAAGTGTCTGTCAAGAAAAGCAATGTTGTTGAAAATGCTCTTATTCAACCAAACTGCACAATTCAGTACATCTTCATTCACCATGTTGGCGTTTCTGCTTGCATGAATAACAAACAACATATTAGATCTTTAGCTTTTATTCTGAGATTCAGATAATTGCAAAAACTCAATATTATTTACAAGGAATAGCAGATCTTGAGAACAGATCCTGCTTGAATACACATCGGGAAGAAAACAGGTTTCAATGAGCATTGTAAGTCCAGGATCATGGTAAATGGCATGTATGATGTTTGTGGTAACACTGATCGCAACGAAGTTGTAGCCGAACACAAAACTATCAATTTTCCCTGTTAGATCCTACAAGGCCTTGTAGGAGTCATGGGTTACAGGAAATGATATTTTATGTACAGCTATATTCATGTGATCACAACTAAATTTGAGATACTGTCCATGATTTAGTCTAATCTAGATTTTGCGAAATGTTTGACAAATATCACGTTATTGCATTCCATTGCGAAGATTTACTTCAAACCTAAAAACAAAAATATGACATTTATAGCAATACATAGTTTAAGCATATTATGCTGTTGTTTCTCGACATTTTAGAAGTTGTGTTACTACATCAATGGCTGCATCCTTCCAGCAGATACATTAGCTGAGAAATGAAATTGTTTTGAAATATGTACCTGTTACATAATATGATGAGAGTACACATAGAGACACATCTAGATCTTTAACCAGTATTCTTCCAATATTAAGTGTTACAGAATCATGCTTGACTGAAGTTTAATGACAGTTAATACATGTATCGTTTAATGTGTCAGGCAGTTCACCCCAATTCCTCAAAGCATGCCAGACTTACATCGTTATACAGTCCTACATTACCAGTCTCTGAAGATGAAATAGTTTATTTGGGTTCTTCACAATTTCGAACAGTATTTCAGTCATCTCACAGCGAGTTGGCTTAACTTTAAGGAAGGTCAACGTGACACAGATCGTAGATGTACCACTTTGGTGAAACCTACAAGCATGTTGTTCATAAACCTAGAAACAAAGGGTGAATCTGCTAAAACACATGATCAGCAGATCCTGGCATGGACAAGGGGGGCAACTCCCCATAGCACCTCAGACTGGGACACCCTTGCCCCCCAAGCTAGTCTAGTGAATAGAAAGAGAAGTCAAGCTGCAAACATGATAAAATTCTTAGACTTGAAAACCAGATGGGTGCATCTTTAATGCACTCCTAGATCACCAGGTTATTAACTAAATATATGTTTTAGTTATTGTCACCCCCATCTACAGTAATGAGATTCTGAAGGTTGAATGATGGGACTGATTCAAGTGATGGATACACATGGAATGGTTAGGAATTGGTCCTCATGCCAAATGAGCACAGGTCATGCGTGAACTCCTGTTCCCTTGAGGTTGTCAATATGAACATTAATTTTCTTATGCAAAATGAGTACAGGCCATGCATCAATTCATGTTCCCTTGAGGTTGTCAATATGAACATTAATTTTCTCATGCCAAATACATATGAAGTCAATGACCCACACGCAGCCTATGACACAAAATTATTGATGCAATAAGTAATAACAGTTCCAAAAATTCTGAAACTTAATGTGGCCCTTGTCAGTGAGATGGAGAAACAAGTACCAGTGACACTTCTAGACAACAGGAGCCCATTGATCTATCTAAACATCTGGGAAAGACCATATCTAAAAGTATAAGCAGTTTTTCTACATGTTTACAAATTCTGGTAATGCGATATTTTTAGAATATTCATGTAAAAACTTACATGAACACCATGGTGGAAATTGCCAATTTTGATATCTATGCAATTAACAAATTCAGTAACAAGCTGAAAGATATTCACAATAAAACAAGAAACCCCAATAATTTCTTATTTGAATGTAAACAATATAATATTATGCATAATTTGCAAAAACAAACAAACTGTCATAAAAAAATCCCTGAATTAAAGAAAAATATATATTTCGTACCCTTAGCCACTAATTGGTGCAAAATGGAATATACATGTGGTATGGAAATGGGGTTTATTAAGTTCCCACGTGTTTATTTTGAATGTAAATGTGACTTATATCATATTCAACACAAGCCATGTCATTAACAAACTATGAAAACCACCCATGAACCCTGGTCTCGACATTGATAATACCAGAGACCTGATTCATACTGATTCTTGATCACTATAAACAACAAATGAAAGATTTTGTGAATACTTGTGAGAATAGATATAGAAATAAGCAGTAAATTATTCGAAATATTTTTCAGTCTATCACGAAGTGGTTGTTCGTTATTTTTTAAGTTTGGAATTTGAATCTTCAGTGCAACTTTGCACTAAGTACTTATTTATGATATTAAAATATGATTAGCATCCTACTGTCGGAAATTAATTGGAATTCAGGTTCAGATTAATTAAACCAACAGAGCTGGTACAGTGTAGAGACATGGAACCTGTTTTGCATCAAGGTATTATCATAATACATTTGTTACTTAGAGGCTTAGATTACTATGACAGATTAACAATAGTAATATGAAAGATTTGTGTGGTCCTTATTTGTTTTCAGTAGTATATGTTGAATATGATATGAGACAGGATTAATAATATCTTATCGCTTCACCAAATTAAATTTTACATTGCATATCACATTTGGAGTTTGCTAAAGCAGTTGCAATTTGGAACATTTCAGCATTCCATGGCTATGTACAATTACACTGTTATGAGACAATGTCAGAAGCAACGTCTATTCATATCTACCTCGTATATACATCACAATTAAAATATATAAGAAAAAAGAAGATTATTGAAAAATTGATATTTACATGGATATGATCTATGAACAAACATGACAGGGCTTGGAGCCCTAACAACACTTTGGATGAATGAAAGAAATATTGCACATCTTCTTGTCCTCTAGAGTCATTGTTTGATAGCTGGGAATGAGACTGGTTACTTGTCTGTGTTCTACAATATAAAACTAGGCTTCTATCTATATAACCATTTCATTCTAGCACACCATGCATCTAAGTCTCAAAATCGGCCATCTTGAAAAATTACTTTTTGTAGAAACCCTACTCATGAATAGGTATAGTAATGACTTGAATTCATGAAATGCATCACATTAATGCAACCATTTACCCACACTGTATCACACTTGGTGCCAAAACTAACTTGTAGGTATTGGCTCTCGGATACAGGGGTTGATAGTTCTGCTATTGCAAATTATTCCCCACGTCATTATCAATCACGTTTTCATCTGCCTCAGAAACCAAATCAAATTTTGAAATGGTGCCTGTGAGGCATCTTCACTCATATTTAGTTCTTCCCTTTTTACATACTACTATAAAGCACGTCAAAATAATAGTAATGGGTATCACTTTTCTGACATGTTAAAATAACATTGAATGTGGCAGTGGAAATGGTCTAAAATTCTGTGATTGAAAGACCCAAAATGTTAGATGTTACTGTATTCGACATAATAAGCGCCCCGCTCTAATAAGTATTTGTGAATATATTGGCTAGTGAACAATCCCAATTAGCACCCCTTCCGTTTGATCAATAGACAAAAGACTTATTTATTGGTGTATAATATGCACTCGTGTGTTATATGCAGCCTTAATTATGGGCAATTAAATTCTGGAAAATATATCTGTCGTGTATAATATGCACAAACTTTTCTTTTGTATCATTTCAGGCTGTCAGCATAAACCACGAAATGTACGATCTTTCAACTCTGTTTTTCTTTCACTAAAATTATATTCTAATAAGAGCCCCCTATTTCTAATTTTGAGAGCTCCCTGGGCGCTTATTACGTCAAATACGGTAAATAAAAGTTATCCCACATGTGTATAGTTTTATTCCTTGGCTAATAATAAACGAAGAATGCACCGAGTTACATTGATAACGGGATGCTGTCAAGGGACATACACAAGACCTGAGTTACAAAGGTACATTTCTAAATGGCTGCCTACCAAATCTCTTAGACACAGGATGATTAAAAATACAGGCACCAACTATCTGACCAGACAGAATACTGAATGGCTCTAGCAGACACAGAATAAAATACTCTCTTTTAAAAATACTTTAGTAACAAAATTAATCATAAAGTACAAACTTATGTGAACATCATCTTAGTAAAATAACTATAACAAAACACTGATTAATACAAAAAGACATCTAAGATGATCAAATCAAGCATTTACAACCTCCTGTAAATTTAATAAATCTCGTCTCTCTAGATGTGTCAAATCATTGAGCTTATAGTAATATACAGCACACTCACTCACTCACGCACTCAGAGATATACTCCGAGTAAACCAACTGGACCAAACATGTACAAGTTTGGCATTGTATAACCACTGATATGGAGAATGAAATAAATAAGACTGACTTCATGCATGATATCTGTGAGATTTTGGAAGACAACTAGAAACATTCTAGTTCCTATTCATGTCGACTTGACATTCAACTTGGCTTATTTTATGGCATCTATTGCTACATCCGACAAGGATAACATACGCCTAAATATCACAATATTTTTACCTTGACCATCAAAGAGAAAGGTAAATAGTAATTTTTTAACAAATGACCTCTAGCACTATGGAGATCTAGTACTGTGAACACCTAAATATACTACCGGCTAATTGTCTCAACGATTACAAACCAATCACTTCCAATCTGACAGCACCATAGGGACTTAGGCTTGCATATGAATCTGTTAAAGATGTGCATGTACGTTTCCTTCATTCAGAGTCCAATCTACATCTAAGGGACCAGTCATTATCTTATATGAGATGGGTCAATGGTTTCTTTCTTATGCACTGATAAAGAACATTTTTCATATTTTTATTTTGGCTGATTTCTAAAATTGCTTGTGAACTCTTTCAATGGTCTAATCCTTTTAATTAAACAGATTCATTATTTGTTGTAAAAATATACAATTTATAATATCGATAGAATTTATGTTCCTTTAATTAACAACCATTCTCAGATAGTGTACAGTGGAACACTCCTGACAAGACAATCAGTTATATTACACATATGGTCGGATCATAGGTTTTCAGATGTCATACGTTTTCGGACGGCCATGTTTATCGCAATTACTCGCACTATATGGGGTGTAGCATCACACAGTTATTGTAAATACTCAGATGATGGCTTGTTTTTAAAAGAAAGTTATCTTTTATAAGTGAATGTGATGTTTTACATTTGTTCATATGACTGTAGAGAAAACTACGAATGTTTCTTAAGCGTTCGAAATCCCATAAGACAGGGATATGCAGATTATGATACTATCATTAACAATGTCTTCAAGTTGGAATAATCAAGGCTTAACTTCATTTTGTTACAAGTGCCATGCAGTAAGTGTATTTGGGTGACCAAACTTGCCACTGACCCATCCCTTATATCAAGACACCGGTCACAAAACAACACGCACTGACTAGTGAGACCCTCTTGGAGGATCCAGGTAGAAATGACATACATCTGCTTCTATATCACATGAAACTGTTTCCATATGACTAACAAATACTTGACAACTGAGACATCATGTAAGTTCTAGTGTTTGCTTGCTATCGCCTCAGACCTGGTTTAAATCCATGATATGGCTACAGTGAGTACCTCATGCTCCACACCATGGTTTGCTGCTGTCCAACTTGATGTCACGTTTATCAAAAGAGAAAAGATTTTTGTTTCCCAAGACAAATAATATAAAAATTACGAAATGCATTTATGGTGGGTTATGTAACAATGGGTTACAGCTTGTACGATGCAATAGTTTTTATCACAGAGATCTCCCTCAATGCAGAGATAGCACTATCAAACTTATAAAGGCATAAATATGTTTATCTTTTTGTACCATAAACAGACAAAATATTCATAAAGACAAATGCATATCACATTGAAAGACAGTTCCTGACTGCATACACCTTCACTATCAACCGACGGCAATAACAGTGGACACAGGGGTTGGCTGGACACTCAACACCAAGGAAAACAAATGGTTATCTAAAACTGGGGATCTTACTACCTAGCAAGTTACTACACACGCTATGTTACTACATGCTCACATAGATTTCTCGAGTTCAAGATGAGGTATTTTCACTGCTAATTAAAAAATATCGAAAATTGTGAAAATAATCCCAACTACAAACTCCAAATCAGCAGTAGATTTACACCATAGATGAAGCAAACACAAAACTAAGCCACTCCACCCTCCCCACCTAATGCCCCCCCCCAAATATTTGTATTTTGGAGGACCAAATCATTGCATAATTTCACTTGTTATCAGATTTGTAACTAGTTCTTAAGAAAACTCACTGAAAGTTCTATTAAGAAAAATATAATAACATCATTTATCTTCCTTCTTCCTTCCAACCCTCTGTTAAGGACATGAAACCTGAAACACAAGTATTTTGTTTGACCTGATGTAAAGCTTAATAACATTACCCTCAGGTACTTGGTACATTAATCATGTTAACACACATTCTGTGTTACAAAACACTAATTCACACTGGAATGTTATAACAATGTAATACTATACCCATAATCAGTGGTACATTGGCTAGTTCTAAAGTCAGTGGTACTCATTGGTTAGCTAAATAGTTGTACTCATTGGCTAGCTATATAGTCAGTGGTACTCATTGGCTAGTTCTAAAGTCAGTGGTAAATAGTCAGTGGTACTCATTGGCTAGCTATATAGTCAGTGGTGCTCATTGGCTAGCTATATAGTCAGTGGTACTCATTGGCTAGTTCTAAAGTCAGTGGTAAATAGTCTGTGGTACTCATTGGCTAGCTATATAGTCAGTGGTGCTCATTGGCTAGCTATATAGTCAGTGGTACTCATTGGCTAGCTATATAGTCAGTGGTACTCATTGGCTAGCTATATAGTCAGTGGTACTCATTGGCTAGCTATATAGTCAGTGGTACTCATTGGCTAGCTATATAGTCAGTGGTACTCATTGGCTAGCTATATAGTCAGTGGTACTCATTGGCTAGCTATATAGTCAGTGGTACTCATTGGCTAGCTATATAGTCAGTGGTACTCATTGGCTACCTACACAGTCACTGGTATACCTTCTTTAATACATTGTAAAACAGACTACACCTTCTTGAGAGAAACTAACAAAGATATTGCATCTAATGGCGGAATGTGTACACAGTTCTCTCTACTTTTGAAGTATTGAAGTTTGAAGATGTTTATGACATATGATATTGCAGACAACCCCATGTTGTACACATGTATTACATGGCACTGCAGCAGACGGGTAGCTCTGTGAAGCCATTAAGATCTAGCTGTTTAACATGTTTAGTCAGGCCATCCAGCAAACAATGCTAAAGAAATATTTCAAACCGGAGGACAATTCTTTTTATAGAATCCTCAGGTCCCAGATTATGAAACAGTTGGGTCCTTAACAGACATCTGTCTCTCAGTTCGTGAAATAGTGATGCAGATATACTGTCAAGGTTATCTATGTAAAGAGATTAATGGAACAGAAGGTTTTGTAGCCTTATTTCACTCATGTGTCAATACTGGCTTGAAGGCTCTGTTAAACCTAGCTGTATGCATGCTGTGATGAAACAAGTCAAAACAAACAGCTCTTCCTTTTGAAGATGAAATATTGTGAGATTCATCATAGAGAAGTTACTATTTCCATAAAGTCTTGATGAACAAGCGCTAAGCATTTGGTACAGTGGTAAAGGGAAATGTAGTCTTTTTACATACTACTCAACTTTTGACAAGGATATACCTATCATTCCAACGATACAACAAACTGATTACCGGTAACAATAATTTAGAATCTACTGGCCCGGTATCTCTATCAAACGTTGAGTCGTATATCAATGTCTGTTACAGAATCAGAGTAGAGACATTACTAATGTAACATATCCTGTCCACTATAGGTAGAAGAAGTGGTTGTCGCCTTCAAGTGGGCCACCATGCTATAAAATGGAGGGTTTCTGTTGACGAGTCCAAGACACCTACATCAGATCTCCATGTCAAGAAATTGTCGAAGTCTTCAACAAAGTGTCACACACAGGTCACACTAACAACAGATATGCTACGTAACAATTCTAGGTTGAAAGACTGGCCAACATGGATTTCGTAAAGTAAGTGAAGCGATCATGCAACGATATGGCAGCATGTATCACATGGTCCAATCACAATCGAGTATGCAAATGAGGAAGGCACATGTCTGATGTCGCAAGGACACCCTGCTGTTATTGGCGTTTTTTCTTGCTTATAGTTGTCCCTCCTAGATCTGGACGATATTCACGGTATTGCAGCTGAAAGGGAGGTAGAGAATTGTTACAATCAAACGTACATGTTGGTTGGTTGGTTTCTTGTTTTACGCCGCACTCAGCAATATTCCAGGTATATGACGGCAGTCTGTAAATAATCAAGTCTGGACCAGACAATCCAGTGATTAATATCATGAGCATCGATCCACACAATTGGATCGATGACATGCATCAACCAAGTCAGCGAGCCTGACCACCCGATCCCGTTAGTCGCCTTTTACGACAAGCACAGTCGCCTTTTACGGCAAGCATGGGTTGCTGAAGACCTATTCTACCCCAGATCTTCACGGGTCTCAAACGTACATGTACATCATCAGTAGCTAGAGTGTGAGTTTTTTAACAGAATAATTGCGTATAATATCAAGGCGTCTTATATCATGGCATGTTATATCATGGCATGTTATATCAAGACATGTGATAATATGGTCTGTCAGCTTAATGTTGGAGGAGAGACCAAAGTGATACAAGATGTAGGCATTTACAACTTTGTTGAACACCATATGCCCAAGTATGGTGCTGACAGACCAAGGGTCATAATTAGGGTTACATACATAATAACCAGATACTGGTAAATCTAAGGGACACAACTCTGCAGAGGCATACTTTGTTCATATATCAGTTAAACAATGCATACCATTTTGTTGTTGTTTTATACAGCACTCAGCAATACTGTTCAACCATGTCTGTAACTGAATTTATCTAATTCAGTTACAGCTATGGTTAAACAAGCATCTTGAGTACTGTAATGCTAAACCAAAAGAGTGTTCCTCACGAAGGCCGATAGACTGTCAGCTTGAGATTACGTATATTTATGGATATTATGTTTGTGTGAATGTGCCGTGAGTGTCACTGCCTACCAGTTCACTGTCAGAGGGTACTCGAGACAGGAAGTCCAGCAACTCATTATTGGGTATTGCATTTGGCTTTCTCAGCTTCTTGGTGAACTTGTTGATGCCTGTAATGAAGGAAACACAATCAAAGATAGCTGGATATTTTCTGTTGTGTGCTTTACTTCAATACAGTGTGATGTAGGGTGAGCAAGGCTGTAGTTTGACAGGGGGGGGGCAAATATTTGTACAAGTATCACTTGTCCCCAACTTGTATTTTCATGATTCAAATAAAACTGTTTTTTATAAAAAAATCAGCAACTGCCCCACCCCAGGCTGGCTACGGCACTGATGAGAATACTGGATCAAGGTCTGTTTGTAAGAGCTTACAAAGTCTTCCCCTTGACGAGTACAAGGTCCCAAAGAGCTACTGCATACTCCCCTACACTAGTACCCACCCCAGTATAGTAAAAGGGGCCAAGGAGGTATTGGGTACTCTTCATAAGACAGTAAGAGGCATCAGAGGCGTTTTAGGTACTCTCCCTAGAAGGGCTGTAATGATTCACTGATACCTATAATATCATCCATACTTAAGTGCACACGAAACTTGAATCGTCAGTTTGTGAGGTCTTGATATGCTATAAATAGAACAGGAACTAATAGAGTTATCTCCCATAATGACAGAAGTAGCATAGCGCCATCTGTAAGCATGGCAGAACACAAGGCCATGGTAGCTGAGGACATGCCGACTAACATTTAATAACCATCCCTACACAAATGTTTGAAGAAATAGATGTTAGAGCAGTTTTTCAGTGATTTCATCATTTCTTACTATTTGATGTGGTGTATTGTGAAACAAATCACATCGGAAGATACAAGGTGATACTCAGCTCTACTCCCAAGGCTAGTTGGCCATGATATACTCACCCCAGGCTAGGAGAAGGAGCCGGAGGGGTATCAGGTATAGCACGATAGTTCCAACAACAAGGACAGTCACAGCTAGTCCTGATAACCAGGGAACTGTCCAGTTGAATGTGCTGGAATGAAGATCAGTCAGAAATAAAGATGACATGCTCACCACATGAATTCATAATACTATTACAGTAAAGTACGGTTATAACGAACTCAAAGGGACTACTAATTTTAGTTCGTTTTAACCGTAGTTCGTTATAAGCATATATACAGCATAACTACAGCAAATAGTCGGGACCAAAAAAGAAGTTCGTTATATCCGTCAGTTCGTCATAAGCGTGTTCGTTATAACCATAGTTTACTGTACTCAAATTACATGCACAAATTTACCATAAAGGTAAAAAAATCATTTATCATACACTAAAACAAACCTGAATATTTGTATTTTTGCAAATTATTATGAGAGAATTGTTAAGAAAGAGATTTAATCCCCTGCATGACACTTCCCCCGGAGAGCGGAAGGTCTGGGGATCGATCCCCGGCCGCGGCATACCAAAAGACGTTAAAAGATGGTATTTGTTGTTACGCTGTCTGGCACTCAGCTTTAAGGGGCTAAAACAAGGACTGGTCGGCTCGGAGTCAGTATACTCTGTCTGAGTTGAGTATTCATGTTAAATTGGGGCATGGTACGTGTATCTCAGTGGGCTAGCACTATAAATCGGCATCGGCATAAGTGTAATAATCTTTGACGCAGCGTTAAACCCCATTACACCTCACCTCACTCTGGATGACACAGGGATATACATGTCACTCCTCATAAACCTTCACTTGGAAGTTGAATAAACTTCAAAATACATCACAGACACAAATAAACAGTTTTCAATTCTGCTGGAAATTCTCTGTTCTGTGATATCATCCACTGTCATTTTAAGCAAAGCAAACTTACTTAAATGAAGTCTGAAAAATTAGGTTCATCATAAATCTCTTACAGTGGCGGTAGACCCAGTGTCGTCCAAAAGCAATTTTCACACGTTCACTTTTCAGATCTTATGAAAACGTTTGTCAGAAAAATAAGTTGGGGTTAAATGAAATACTGACTTTTTAATCCTCTCCCCAAGCGAGGCCACCATGTCCATGCCCTGCTGCACCTGCAGACACACCTCCTGGATTGCCTGTAGCTTCTCCTTGAAACTCTTCTTCTCCTCCTGGTAGAACAGCCATATTACATCACACGTGTCACTGACAGGTCGGCGGAACCGACAGAAGGTGCTTCATACATACGTAACACTCACATCCATGTTAGGTCTCAGGCTGTGTCTGACTTTGTCATTTGTGCAAATTTAGAAGTCAATTGTAATACTACTCAAAAGAAGTTAAAGATCACCTGATTTGTTCATACGACTATAGTTAACTCAGATAAAAAAAATTAGGTGTATTTAACTTCTTTTGGGTAGTATATAACATTGTGTCAATTGCAAACTGCATCAAATGATAACAGTAGATCTCTGCCATGACAATCCTCCAGAGATCAGAGACCTGCCACAGATTAGAGTCCGACAAATATACCCAGGCAAGTGCATCGTCAGTACTTCACAGGTTTGTATGTACCACGTTCCTCCATCACCCATGAATACAGTAGTCTTTTAATGGTCACCTAATGAAATAAGCCGTCGATAACTCACTAAGTCAAATAAACCAACTCTTTCTGTATGAACTAATTGTTTCCTGATATTCAAGCAATGATTGTAACATATATGTACTACTCAAAAGAAGTTAAGGATCACATGATCATTTGAACTACAGTAATATAAAAAAGTAGGATGGTTCTTCGCTTCTTTTGAGTTGTACAAATGTCTGCAAGGCTATGGCACGTTGTTCTATAAATATACCTGATGTAATCTGCGTGCCCATTGGTTGAGCACTAGATGGTTTGTGTGAAGCCCATTTCTTGTGTCCTCCGTTGTGATATTGCTGGAATATTGCTAAAAGCAGCGTAAAACCAAACTCACTCACTCACTAGCTGGTTTGCCTCTCTGGGACCAGGCCGTGTCTTGATTGGTTGGATAAAAATAGTGACAGTGGCATATGTATACACGGTCAATGGAGGACTTTTGTATAGACTACAAACTGGTGGAGTATTGACGATGAAGAGGGAAGTGGGAAGAGGGAAGTGGGAAGTCATAGATAGGTGGGATTTGTGTGACGACAGACCTACATGTCTACACACAGGTCACAGGTCCTATCTTCCTACACACTATACTAAACCTTGATCAGGACCCCAAACCTCAGTGGGATATCGGAATGGGGGCTAGCCACGTAGACTCAAGCAAGATAACCATTGTTGGATAGTTGTCAATCAGGTTACCTCAATACTGACTTATTAAACATTCCCCACCAAGAAAAACACAAACACAAACATAATAAACACATTGCAACAAAGGAGGGCAAACAAGCCTGCTATCACTTAAGCATATAACTCACAATGTATGAACCAGGTTTGCAATGTCTGAATCATGTAAGATATATGCAACTTTTCAATGTAGGTAGTGTTTTGAAACTTAATGGGTACAAAATGAAATGCAAATTATCCATGCAATTAACTAAACAATTACATTTTACAATTTGGAATCTGTCATAAGTCTCTATTATCTTCAAAGCTATTTCCAATGTTTGAAATACTGTACATGCTTGTAACTGTTCAATATAAAGTTAGAGAGGATTGAAGTCGACATATATTAATTAGCAGCAAGCTTCTTCTAGTGTTAATTGTCTCAGGTCATGAAAGATGAATTAGACACTATGTTAAAGAAAGAGTTTGGGCCCTGTAGCTCACCTGCATCAGGATATCAGAGTTTAGATAAAATGAAAACAGAATAAAACTATTAAAAAAATCATGAATATCAGAGGTCAATGCAAAGTTTCTAGAAGATGAGGTGGAGGCTATGCCGTGTTTAGAACCAGAATTTTGAAATTTGTTTGAATGGACACAGATACATGAATCATCCATGCAAATATATCAACCTGATAGTTTCAGAGTAGATACAAACAAATATCTCTTAAAATATATTTCCACTTTTTACAAAAGTATGAATTACATTTTATATAAAACATTTGTTAGTAGTGGAAGCTACAAGCTGGTATAGTTTGCATCAAGCTAGGCACGAGTATCTCTTAGTCTTACAATCATTTTTAATAGTACATGCTTTATGTGTCCATTTCTCTAAATGATTAAAACTTTAGAAACATTAAACTATGCTTCAGTCAATTTCAGTATCATGAAGTCAGGTAGAATGAAGTTCACCTTCAAAATAAGACTATACATCCCTAGCTGTGTATTACAAGACAATGTGAAAGTCACCCTGACCTTCGCCACAACAACAGCTGACTGTAACAGATCCCATGGCCATAATGAATCAGTAAGAACCTTTGCATGCCAACATGACCCACTTCCACCCTCAAATTTAATAAAACATTTAACCATCACTTTCATTAATGACCCCTGACATCTTTCTGGGACCAGCAAGGTGGTTTGTCTTGAAGTGACATGATAAATTGAATAAATATTTACAAAATGATAACAATTCTCTTTCACACAAAAAATGGATGAAAATCTCTTATTTTATTCACTATGGCCTTAATATCATCTTTGCTATTTCATCAATTTATCTCCAAGAAGCAGTTGGGTTTACTGGGGAAAAAGATCTATGAAAATCAAACTTAAAAGCAAAATAAAATATCTGCAAAACATACCAAATACCCTGGATCTCACGGATTCCCACAGATCAGAGAGGGTCAAGGTTCAAGGTCATCCGATCACTTTGAGGATTTGTGCTCAGCTGGTTTTGCAGGCCTTAAGCTTCAGGAATTACTTATATAGGTTCACTGAACAATCATCCTGAATGCCAAGTTGGAATGACCTTTCTGCACATATAACTTCATAACCAGTGCAACCTTTTCAGTGAACGATTCCCACAAAACAAACCTTGATTTATTGAAGTAAGTAAATGAGTGGTTGATGGATACCATTAATACCAGCCATTCACATCACGACTTCCTCCCTCACATTTCTTCCAAACCTTTGACACTAACTATTGTAGCCATCGGTTGAACATGACCTGTATTTTAATAGAGGTGTCTTAAAGGTTAATCTTGTTAACAAAACATCACCATGAAACAGGGGGTATCTAATCGACCACAATTGTAGCGTCGTGGTGCCAGAAACCTCGGAATGATGGTTAGAATCCAAGTTCCATTAATCATGTTCCTACTTTTTCAGCACCATGCCCGGACATGGAAAGGTTCATGACAATGGAGTTTTACCTCACTCACTCACTCACTCACTCACTCACTCACTCACCATGCTGCTCATGCATGGCTCCGTGGTCTAAGGTACCACAATTAGGGGTCCAGGATCTGGTGATTGTGGGTTTAAATCCAGGATTTGCCCAGATTATAATCCCTGGTTTGTCAGCATCGTACCTGTGCCCGAGGGTTTCAGTGAAGTGGTAAATGTTCAAGACCTGCACCATTTCAGGATTTCCTCCCACATCAGGCTAACACGCTGTGATGTAACTGATATGCTGTTCAAAACAGAATAGGGAGCACAGGTGGCCCAGTCATCTAAGGCACTGCAACACGCAGTGCATAGTTGCCTCCCTTGGGCTCGCCAGAAACCCATGACTGTGGGTTCGAATTATGTTTCTAGGTTTGTCAGCACGATACCTGTGCTCGTGGGTTTCACCAAAGTTGTAAATGTCTAAGACCTGCATCACTTTGGTCTTTCCTCCCACATCAATAACTGGAACACTGTGAAAGGCGTCATGAAATCCATCTCACTCACACACTCACTCACTCAAAACAGAATTAAACCCGATTCAATCATCATGAAGCACGGTTCTACATAGGATATGTATTTTTAATTGGATATGTTTTTTTAATTTATTTTGAACAGCTGTGCATGAAGCAAGTCTAGCATCTTTCTTTCCCAGGATGACCCAAATTGCTAGCTCTACACATACTGGCCAAGGTCTCTCAAACTTTACCTCTCCATCATGAAGGGCAGTGAATGCCAGTATACCATATTTGGTTGAATCTATTTACTATATGTTCACATTCAAAAACCAACATGTTAACAGAACAACAGATATGTGCCATTTAGAAAGCTCCACTGGTTTACAACCAACAGAACCAACAAGATGACAGGAAGGTGGAAATAAGTTCATCTTGTTACCATGGTAACGTACCTTTTGTTCACCTTTCATAGTCTGGGGGCAGAATCAGTGAAATCATGAATACTATCTCATGGATGTGAAATATTTAATTAACTATTAACAAAAGTCAAAGCAGAAAATAACTGTACATATTATGCTTTCATGCCATGAAGCTATTCATGAAATATTTAAAAAGATAAAAGACACATCAACATTTCTCTTCATAGTGGTGAGTGCAGATTGCCGCATCAGCAAATATTTATGTTCCGTTCCTGGTTTCTAGTGAATAATCAATACATTTTTACTGTTATCATCTCAAGAAAGAAACGATTAATCTTGAAAACCAACAGCAGGAATAAGCTGGATCCTTGAAGACTAACTTAAAAAGAGGTCAAAGTGGTGGGTTAACCGTGGCTGGCAAACAGAACGCACACACGAGGAAGATGAAGAAACCACACAGACCGGTGTGAAGCTGGTGTGAGTGTGATGAAGCAATCAAGGTGAAAGTGCAAAAACTGAATTGCTAAACCCGTTCTTATATCAAAATTTACCACATGTATAGCATGATAATTTTTCAAGATCATTAAGAAAAATCTTAGGAATCTAAAACAAATCAAACCAGAGCCCATCATAAAATACTAAGCCTCGGTTAAAAGAACATGGGAGTTCTTACCACTACAGCTACAAAACTGCTGAACACCCCTGTCTTTCCTGACATATGATTAGCTTTACGCTTAGAAAAATATTAGCCAGCATAATTCTATAATAAGTCTCCCCAATAGAAAGTCTTTCAACATAACATGACTGCCTCTGTGGTCTAGTGGTAGAGCGTCCGCCCAGAGAGGGAAAGATCGAGGGTTCGATCCCCGGCTGTGTCATACCAAAAGACGTTAAAAGATGGTACTTGTTGTTACCCTGTCTGGCGCTTGGCATTAAGGGGCTAAAACAAGGACTGGTCGGATCGGAGACAGTATACTGTGTCTGAGTGGGGTATTCATGTTAAACTGCCGCATGGTAGGGCTATTATTAGTCCAGACTAGTACAAGCAGCCACACACACACACACACGTGCATGCCCGTCGCTAAATAAGTTCAATAATCTTGGACGCGACGTTTAACCCCATTTCACCTCACCTCAAACATAACATTGCTGCCAAAAAATTCAATTCAGATTTGAATAACCATAGGTAATAATACGATACTGTATGCCAGAGCATAATGTAGATTCTTAATTTTCAAAAAATGATAAAAAAAATTAAAAAATGATAAAAATATAATCCAATAATGACAGGAGGTCTCAAAACGGTGCTTGGAAAGAAACACAGCAAATGTGGATTAATGGACCCAAAAACCGATTAAAACTTTTACCTTTTTCTTGTGTTTAGGGAAAATCAAATATAAAAGTGTTATTGTGCATACTTTTATTCTGTTTCTTGTATAATATAAAAGTGCAGTTTAAAAACATAAACTGACAATACAAAAGCAGTGATAGCGACATCCACATACAATATAACACTATCTCCACACTGAACCACACAGGGAGAGACTGTTACATTGTGGGTCATACTGGGCTTGTGAAGCAGGTGTCAGAACTTGTGTAAAAACTGCAGGGCAAAAGAAAGTATACACCCATATTTGATGGTGGCTAAAATTAAACAAACTAGAAATGGTTATTCTATGGTGATGTGTTTGATACAGGTATCAGAGGTGTGTTTTCGACTTTAAGTTTGCAGGGTTTTGACTACAGCCTAGTGATGTTTTGATAACATTTGTAATTTTTGGGTCAAATCCAACTTTCAAGTGTATACTTTCTTTTGTCCAGCAGTTTATAAACATGAATTCAAAAACAAGTTCCACAAAATCAGCATGATATACACACAGTGTTATGTTCTTTCATATCACATTGAAGGCGTTGCGAAGTGCCGAGTTGTGTCAAGGTCACTCAAAAGGGCCTGTTCATAATGCAACAAGGTTGATCAACATTTGTTCTAAAGCAGCGACTTTCCACTGACACTTAGTTATTGTTTGTTTTTGTAATGTACGATCAAATATAAACAAAAATAAAGGAATACTTTCAAAGCATAAATGGTTAACGTTCAGATAGTGAAGTACCTTTGTTTTGTGGAAGGAGAAGTACCAACATATTGGTAATTTGTACTGACTGTCTCAGAAATCAATTTAAATATTAAGTTGGGAGCTAATCTAAACCAACAAAATCTAATCAAAAGGGGTTTTAAGGTGCTGATAAATATCCTACATTGAGGTTGTTTCTTTTGTCATACAGCGGTCTGCTTTGGTTGAGAATTATAGCCCTGGTCAACGAGAACGACTATCATTGGAATTTGACTTGTCCTCACAATTTAGCCATCTTGGGCTGGTAGATTAGTGTGAATCTCGAAGGGTGCAGAGAGAGAATGCACCACCAAAGATGCTCTCTCTGTTATAATCTTTACATTGTTTCTACACCGACTCACACATAGCATGAGTTTTGCATGACATTACAAACTTGCTACATATAGAGTAATCACCTTGACATCACATGTTAAGGTCATTTCTCATTTTTTTTTCTCAAAATAATTCAGATTTCACCTCATTAATAAAACTTTCTCCTCTTTGCTTAAGGTTAACTTAATTGACAAGTGATTGGAAGCAGTTTTATCAACACTTTGACAATACATCCGAGTTATCTTAGTTGATGAGTTAGTCTCTAACACCTAGTGGCCGGACACACTGATGACCCACCTATAAGTGCACATCAAAATGGTCTGGTGAGCCACAAGTAATGGCTTAGGACAACTTGAAATTCTTAAAAAGGAAATTATAACCCATTAACTCAAGCAATCAAGCTCATTACTCTTATTTAACTCACCTTTTCTTTATCATCTTCGTCATCATCGTCATCTTCATCGACATAATCCTAAACATGAAGAAAAACAAGCACACTGATATACAAATGGATGTCTATCTTATATTGTAATATTTCATGGTGTGTACAAACCTAAGCGCTAAGTGACATCACCATGGGCAACAGTTTAACACGGTTCAAGAAACCAACCTAGTTACTGCCCTTTCTCTAGAAGTTGTTTATATCCTCTTAGAATTGTTGTCTTCCATTTTTCAGAAGTTCACAACCAAAAAGTGAAAACATTCGTACAATATAATTTCTATCAGTATCATTTCTTACTATAGAAGTGGATGATGTTCCATGATGTAAAGTCTTGAGTCAGTCTGGGATGTTGTGATTTGAACTACAAGTGAAGCAGCGCCTCTTTATAATAAAGGTAACCCTTAATGGGTGGATTGATCTTTGTATCCTGACATTTGAGTTAGCCTACAAACAAAGTGGCATTATAACAACTTGCTCGGACGAAAGCAGGTGCCACTATCAGACCCATCAGCAACAAGAACAGGACATGTGATGTGGAAGTTCGCGGTACTCACGTCTTCAACAGGTTCCTTCTTGAAAGCGCCAAGTATTTGAGCAATGACCAGATTCTTAAGGAATAGGATGAGGAGTGTGATGGGCAGCATGTAGAGCTCGAAGTTCCACACTACCACGAGGTACACCTGAATCACAGAGGAGGCAATGAAGGATATAAGTTTTGTTTGTTTATTGTTTTAATTTTCTTATTATTTAATGCCGCTCTCAACAATATTACAGCTATATGCCGGCAGTCTGGAAATAATCACGTCTGGAGCATATTATCCTGTGATTAACATCATGAGCATCGATCCACGCAATTAAGATGTGATGACATGCATCAACCAAATCAGTGAGTCTGATCACCCGATACCAATTGTCGCCCTGTATCTGTGTTATCACAAATATTGAAACCCTTATCATTATCAAACAGATCATGCTGCGGTTTTAGTATTGTAGTATTGATTTAAACGTTGTAAGTCAGACCCCTGTTTATCTAGAAACCTCTATTACATAGCTGTACTGGGTAGTATTGGGTAGTACTGAGTACTGAGTAGTATGGGGTAGTACTGAGTACTGTTGGGGTGTGTAGTCAGTACTGAGTAGTATGGGGTAGTACTGAGTAGTATGGGGTAGTACTGAGTACTGTTGGGGTGTGTAGTCAGTACTGAGTAGTACTGGTTAGTACTGAGTACTGTTGGGTTGTGTAGTCAGTACTGAGTAGTATTGGTTAGTACTGAGTACTGTTGGGGTGTGTAGTCAGTACTGAGTAGTATGGGGTAGTACTGAGTACTGTTGGGTTGTGTAGTCAGTACTGAGTAGTATTGGTTAGTACTGAGTACTGTTGGGGTGTGTAGTCAGTACTGAGTAGTATTGGTTAGTACTGAGTACTGTTGGGGTGTGTAGTCAGTACTGAGGAGTATTGGGTAGTACTGAGTACTGTTGGGGTGTGTAGTCAGTACTGAGTAGTATGGGGTAGTACTGAGTACTGTTGGGTTGTGTAGTCAGTACTGAGTAGTATTGGTTAGTACTGAGTACTGAGTAGTATGTGGTAGTACTGAGTACTGTTGGGGTGTGTAGTCAGTACTGAGTAGTATTGGTTAGTACTGAGTACTGTTGGGTTGTGTAGTCAGTACTGAGTAGTATTGGTTAGTACTGAGTACTGTTGGGGTGTGTAGTCAGTACTGAGTAGTATGGGGTAGTACTGAGTACTGTTGGGTTGTGTAGTCAGTACTGAGTAGTATTGGTTAGTACTGAGTACTGTTGGGGTTTGTAGTCAGTACTGAGTAGTATTGGTTAGTACTGAGTACTGTTGGGGTGTGTAGTCAGTACTGAGTAGTATGGGGTAGTACTGAGTACTGTTGGGTTGTGTAGTCAGTACTGAGTAGTATTGGTTAGTACTGAGTACTGAGTAGTATGTGGTAGTACTGAGTACTGAGTAGTATTGTGTAGTACTGAGTACTGTTGGGGTGTGTAGTCAGTACTGAGGAGTATTGGGTAGTACTGAGTACTGAGTAGTATGTGGTAGTACTGAGTACTGTTGGGGTGTGTAGTCAGTACTGAGTAGTATGGGGTAGTACTGAGTACTGTTGGGGTGTGTAGTCAGTACTGAGGAGTATTGGGTAGTACTGAGTACTGTTGGGGTTTGTAGTCAGTACTGAGTAGTATGGGATAGTACTGAGTACTGTTGGGGTGTGTAGTCAGTACTGAGGAGTATTGGGTAGTACTGAGTACTGTTGGGGTGTGTAGTCAGTACTGAGTAGTATGGGGTAGTACTGAGTACTGTTGGGTTGTGTAGTCAGTACTGAGTAGTATTGGTTAGTACTGAGTACTGAGTAGTATGTGGTAGTACTGAGTACTGTTGGGGTGTGTAGTCAGTACTGAGTAGTATGGGGTAGTACTGAGTACTGTTGGGGTGTGTAGTCAGTACTGAGGAGTATTGGGTAGTACTGAGTACTGTTGGGGTGTGTAGTGAGTACTGAGTAGTATGGGGTAGTACTGAGTACTGTTGGGTTGTGTAGTCAGTACTGAGTAGTATTGGTTAGTACTGAGTACTGAGTAGTATGTGGTAGTACTGAGTACTGTTGGGGTGTGTAGTCAGTACTGAGTAGTATTGGTTATTACTGAGTACTGAGTAGTATGTGGTAGTACTGAGTACTGTTGGGGTTTTAATCAGTACTGAGGAGTATGGGGTAGTACTGAGTACTGTTGGGGTTTGTAGTCAGTACTGAGGAGTATTGGGTAGTACTGAGTACTGTTGGGGTTTGTAGTCAGTACTGAGTAGTATGGGGTAGTACTGAGTACTGTTGGGGTGTGTAGTCAGTACTGAGTAGTATTGGTTAGTACTGAGTACTGTTGGGTTGTGTAGTCAGTACTGAGGAGTATTGGGTAGTACTGAGTACTGAGTAGTATGTGGTAGTACTGAGTACTGAGTAGTATTGTGTAGTACTGAGTACTGTTGGGGTGTGTAGTCAGTACTGAGGAGTATTGGGTAGTACTGAGTACTGAGTAGTATGTGGTAGTACTGAGTACTGAGTAGTATTGGTTAGTACTGAGTACTGTTGGGGTGTGTAGTCAGTACTGAGGAGTATTGGGTAGTACTGAGTACTGTTGGGGTGTGTAGTCAGTACTGAGTAGTATGGGGTAGTACTGAGTACTGAGTAGTATGGGGTAGTACTGAGTACTGTTGGGGTTTGTAGTCAGTACTGAGGAGTATTGGGTAGTACTGAGTACTGTTGGGGTTTGTAGTCAGTACTGAGTAGTATGGGGTAGTACTGAGTACTGTTGGGGTGTGTAGACAGTACTGAGTAGTATGGGGTAGTACTGAGTACTGAGTAGTATGGGGTAGTACTGAGTACTGTTGGGGTTTGTAGTCAGTACTGAGTAGTATGGGGTAGTACTGAGTACTGTTGGGGTGTGTAGTCAGTACTGAGTAGTATGGGGTAGTACTGAGTACTGTTGGGGTGTGTAGTCAGTACTGAGTAGTATGGGGTAGTACTGAGTACTGAGTAGTATGGGGTAGTACTGAGTACTGTTGGGGTTTGTAGTCAGTACTGAGGAGTATTGGGTAGTACTGAGTACTGTTGGGGTTTGTAGTCAGTACTGAGGAGTATTGGGTAGTACTGAGTACTGTTGGGGTGTGTAGTCAGTACTGAGGAGTATTGGGTAGTACTGAGTACTGTTGGGGTTTGTAGTCAGTACTGAGTAGTATTGGGTAGTACTGAGTACTGTTGGGGTGTGTAGTCAGTACTGAGTAGTATGGGGTAGTAATGAGTACTGAGTATTATTGGGTAGTACTGAGTACTGAGTAGTATTGGGTAGAACTGAGTACTGTTGGGGTGTGTAGTCAGTACTGGGTATTATTGGGTAGTACTGAGTACTGAGTAGTATTGGTTAGTACTGAGTACTGAGTACTGAGTAGAAGTATGGGGTAGTACTGAGTACTGTTGGGGTTTGTAGTCAGTACTGAGTAGTATTGGGTAGTACTGAGTACTGTTGGGGTTTGTAGTCAGTACTGAGTAGTATGGGGTAGTACTGAGTACTGTTGGGGTTTGTAGTCAGTACTGAGTAGTATTGGGTAGTACTGAGTACTGTTGGGGTTTGTAGTCAGTACTGAGTAGTATGGGGTAGTACTGAGTACTGTTGGGGTTTGTAGTCAGTACTGAGTAGTATTGGTTAGTACTGAGTACTGTTGGGGTATGTAGTCAGTACTGCGTACTGTTGGGGTGTGTAGTCAGTACTGAGTATTATTGGGTAGTACTGAGTACTGAGTAGTATTGGTTAGGACTGAGTACTGTTGGGGTTGTGTGGTCAGTACTGAGTAGTATTGGTTAGTACTGAGTACTGAGTAGTATGGGGTAGTACTGAGTACTGTTGGGGTGTGTAGTCAGTACTGAGTAGTATGGGGTAGTACTGAGTACTGTTGGGGTGTGTAGTCAGTACTGAGTAGTATCAAGTGGAGGGCTACACTTACAATGAAGGCCGTGATGCTCCTCGGGGTGGACTCCCAGTTGAAGCAGCTCTGTATGAACCGGCCGCCGTCCATCATGGACGAGATGATCTGAGACACTCGGTCAATGTTCCGCTTCATGATCTACACATGGAACATGTCAGTCAAGAACTGCTACTGACTTTAAATGTTTAAATCACAGAACTAAATACTGCAAGATGGATCAGGCTTCTGTGTTGTTTATATGACGTAGACATAGGACTGCCGTTTCTTTCACAGAGTCTTGAGAATAAACTAAGAAAGTAATGTCTGAGAAACTCGAATCTAGAATGATTGGGCAAGTCTAAATTGCCTCAGCCAATATCAAGCATTATTCTGGACTCCATTTGGATTTTATTTCATATTATATAGATATAGATTTTTAAATAAGAAAACTTTATTTCTGGAACAAAATGTTACTCTTAGGGCATCTAAATGTCATAGAAAAGGCTTGGCAAGACTTAAATAACAGCATGTTCTAGAGCATAATACAGTCTAAACAAATTCATGGACAAAATCTCATAATTTTGGTTGCAAGAACATCATTAGATATCGGTGTTACAATTATCAAACTAATGCCATTGTCACACTTACTGATATTTTGAATTTTTGTTCTGGCTGCATGTATTTCTCCTCTCGAGGGTTCACCGTTCTGATCGCTGACTTCGGCTGGTGATGTACAGAACAACATAACGCTTAGGTTTAATATGGGAGTCAGTGAGTAGGGTTTTACATTGCTTATGTGGCAGTATTGCCGCCACAGTATGGTGGGGGACATGGAAATGGACTTCAACAATTGTACCTAAGCCGAGAATTGAACCAGGATCACTATAGCAACCCACAGCTTATACATGGAAAAATATACAAGTCTTTCATAGGAATTAGAAAGAACATGAATAGTAAGTCATGAAGCTGAATTATTCACATGAAGGGGCAAGAAGTAACTAACTTGGAATTGTATCATGTAATATATAGTCAATATATACCTTGTGCTCTACAGATGAAGTGGTCAGTCTGATAACTGTATCATGTAATATATAGTCAATATATACCTTGTGCTCTACAGATGAACTGGTTAGTCCGATTACTGTATCATGTAATATATAGTCAATTTATACCTTGTGCTCTACAGATGAAGTGGTCAGTCCGATTACTGTATCATGTAATATATAGTCAATTTATACCTTGTGCTCTACAGATGAATTGGTCAGTCCGATTACTGTATCATGTAATATATAGTCAATATATACCTTGTGCTCTACAGATGAAGTGGTCAGTCCGATAACTGTATCATGTAATATATAGTCAATTTATACCTTGTGCTCTACAGATGAAGTGGTCAGTCCGATTACTGTATCATGTAATATATAGTCAATATATACCTTGTGCTCTACAGATGAAGTGGTCAGTCCGATAACTGTATCATGTAATATATAGTCAATTTATACCTTGTGCTCTACAGATGAAGTGGTCAGTCCGATTACTGTATCATGTAATATATAGTCAATTTATACCTTGTGCTCTACAGATGAAGTGGTCAGTCCGATTACTGTATCATGTAATATATAGTCAATTTATACCTTGTGCTCTACAGATGAAGTGGTCAGTCCGATTACTGTATCATGTAATATATAGTCAATTTATACCTTGTGCTCTACAGATGAACTGGTTAGTCCGATTACTGTATCATGTAATATATAGTCAATTTATACCTTGTGCTCTACAGATGAATTGGTCAGTCCGATTACTGTATCATGTAATATATAGTCAATTTATACCTTGTGCTCTACAGATGAACTGGTTAGTCTGATTACTGAATCATGTAATATATAGTCAATTTATACCTTGTGCTCTACAGATGAACTGGTTAGTCTGATTACTGAATCATGTAATATATAGTCAATATATACCTTGTGCTCTACAGATGAACTGGTTAGTCCGATTACTGTATCATGTAATATATAGTCAATTTATACCTTGTGCTCTACAGATGAAGTGGTCAGTCCGATTACTGTATCATGTAATATATAGTCAATTTATACCTCGTGCTCTACAGATGAAGTGGTCAGTCCGATTACTGTATCATGTAATATATAGTCAATTTATACCTTGTGCTCTACAGATGAAGTGGTCAGTCTGATAACTGTATCATGTAATATATAGTCAATATAGACCTTGTGCTCTACAGATGAAGTGGTCAGTCGGATTACTGTATCATGTAATATATAGTCAATTTATACCTTGTGCTCTACAGATGAAGTGGTCAGTCTGATAACTGTATCATGTAATATATAGTCAATATATACCTTGTGCTCTACAGATGAACTGGTTATTCCGATTACTGTATCATGTAATATATAGTCAATTTATACCTTGTGCTCCACAGATGAAGTGGTCAGTCCGATAACTGTATCATGTAATATATAGTCAATATATACCTTGTGCTCTACAGATGAAGTGGTCAGTCCGATAACTCACATGATTGAAGATCATATCCATCTCCAAGAGAATAGCACCTTTTCCCCTGTGAAGAAGTTTCTTGTCTTTGAGTGCATACCACCGACGCTCTCCATTCTTTATCTGAGAACAGTGAATGAGTGAGTGAATTCCAGCCATTTCATGGCATCGTGTAAATTTTCAATTATGGAGCAGAAAAAACAGTGACTGAAAGCATGTCCAACAAGTATTTGTCACAGAGTGACGAAATATCCCCCGCCTGTACACCATAGTACCAAATATGAAGACAATCCAGCGATTAGTTCTTGAGATATTGTGGCAACACCGTTTTCTAACTCCAAAAACAGATTTGCCTGCTGTGACCTTGAAAATGGGGTCAAGGTCACCAAATCTGACAGGTGGATGCGGTGTCTGTATATACACTATAGTTTCAAATATGAAGACAATCCAGCGATTAGTTCTTGAGATATCGCGGCAACACCGTTTTCTAACTCCAAAAGCAGATTTACCTGCTGTGACCTTGAAAATGGGGTCAAGGTCACCAAAACCGACTGGTGTCTGCGGTGTCTGTATATACACCATAGTTCCAAATATGAAGACAATCCAGTGTTTAGTTCTTGAGATATCGCGGCAACACCGTTTTCCAACTCCAAAAGCAGATTTGCCTGCTGTGACCTTGAAAATGGGATCAAGGTCACCAAAACCGACTGGTGTCTGCGGAGTCTGTATATACACCATAGTTCCAAATATGAAGACAATCCAGTGTTTAGTTCTTGAGATATCGCGGCAACACCGTTTTCCAACTCCAAAAGCAGATTTGCCTGCTGTGACCTTGAAAATGGGATCAAGGTCACCAAAACCGACTGGTGTCTGCGGAGTCTGTATATACACCATAGTTCCAAATATGAAGACAATCCAGTGTTTAGTTCTTGAGATATCGCGGCAACAAACAGGTGGGACGTACGGACGGACGTACGGACGTCCGTACGGACGGTCGTGAATACTATATCCCCCGCTTCGCGCTTTCGCGCGGCGGGGGATAACAATCCATGGTATAGAGGTACGACGACACACAATCAGTCAGGTAACAATCCATGGTATTGAGGTACGATGACACAAAATCAGTCAGGTAACAATCCATGGTATCGAGGTACGATGACACACAATCAGTCAGGTAACAATCCATGGTATCGAGGTACGACGACACACAATCAGTCAGGTAACAATCCATGGTATCGAGGTACGATGACACACAATCAGTCAGGTAACAATCCATGGTATCGAGGTACGACGACACACAATCAGTCAGGTAACAATCCATGGTATCGAGGTACGACGACACACAATCAGTCAGGTAACAATCCATGGTATCGAGGTACGACGACACACAATCAGTCAGGTAACAATCCCATTGTTACCTCTAAAGACAAGCATGAAAGTCCCACAAAAATGAGAACAAACAGATGTATACATTAGGGGATACATACCCTCAGTATCAGGATGGCTAGTCGGCCCCACACTGACCCTCAGTATCGGGATGACTAGTCGGCCCTACACTGACCCTCAGTATCGGGATGGCTAGTCAATCCTACACTTACCCTCAGTATCGGGATGGCTAGTCGGCCCCACACTGATCCTCAGTATCGGAATGGCTAGTCACCCTACACTTACCCTCAGTATCGGGATGGCTAGTTGGCCCTACACTTACCCTCAGTATCGGGATGGCTAGTCAACCCTACACTTACCCTCAGTATCGGGATGGCTAGTCAACCCTAAACTTACCCTCAGTATCGGGATGGCTAGTCAACCCTACACTTACCCTCAGTATCAGGATGGCTAGTCGGCCCCACACTGACCCTCAGTATTGGGATGACTAGTCAACCCTACACTTACCCTCAGTATCGGGATGGCTAGTCAACCCTACACTTACCCTCAGTATCGGGATGGCTAGTCAACTCTACACTTACCCTCAGTATCGGGATGGCAAGTCAACTCTACACTTACCCTCAGTATCGGGATGGCTAGTCAACTCTACACTTACCCTCAGTATCGGGATGGCTAGTCAACTCTACACTTACCCTCAGTATCGGGATGACTAGTCAACTCTACACTTACCCTCAGTATCGGGATGGCTAGTCAACTCTACACTTACCCTCAGTATCGGGATGGCTAGTCAACTCTACACTTACCCTTAGTATCAGGATGGCTAGTCGGCCCTACACTGACCCTCAGTATTGCCATGGCTAGTCAACCCTACACTTACCCTCAGGAGTGGGATGGACAGTTTACCCAGGAACTCCACTTTCTTATCCCGGTCCTCGTCCCAGACTGACACTTCCAGCACCGAGTGAATGTCCTTCACATTGCTGGCAAATAAAGTTCAAATACAGTTCGTCAACAGGTATGATTATTTGTGATATATACAACATGGAAGCACACATGAGTAAATGCCCTTCGTGTGCAAAGTATTACTTAACATATGAAGACATAATTTTCACTAACTGAAATATCTTTAGCATACTGCATATGAATCCAACACTAGGGTGAACCACCCAATTCAAAAGATATCATCAACTGATTTGCAGCCATGTGTGTTGGCAAAAAAATCACTGACACACATACACACAGACCACACTGACAGGGAAGCCTTTATCGATACTTATTGGGGATGTTAGGCAATAGCTTATTAAGTAAATAGTTCTTTAAATCGATGTATGGAACATTCTAAAAGCAGTTTCGACCAGGGTCCCTCATTTGCATATTTATCTTATTTTGATGCTAAGGTTATCGGACTGGTTTATCACATCTGTAACACCATCCATTATGAAATAAATCTCGTTCTTACTTTCAACGTGGTACACTCGTAAATGGATGAAAGGAAAATATATTCACCTCAAGACTGAACAATGGAAATAATTTAAATGGTTCTCTGGAAAACCAATACACAGAGGCAGTCTCTTTTTCATGACTCCTGTTTTGTTTCTCAATTTCTATGCCATAAATATTTAAAAAATTCTTATTTGGAACTTTTACTCTTAATGTATCAAAGAAATAATTGGATTTAGTGAGTGAGGTTGGCAACACTGCTTTGAACAGTATTCCAGTTATATCATGGCATAGCAGCTTAATGTGGGAGGAAATTCCAAAGTAATGTCGGTATCAGACGTTCACCACTTTGGTGAAACCCATGAGCAAAATAGTAATGTGCTGACAAGCTTGGAAACATAATCTGGGTGAATGTTGGAATTATACCCATGACCATCAGATGCAGTAAATTGAGACACCTTAGATGCCTGCGCCACTAGTGCTCTGAATTATCTTGAAATGTTAATAGGAGATTGGCAACTGATATATTTGCTTGTCTCTGTCCTAAATAATATTTCATATGATACAAAGCTGCAGAAACATAATCGGGGCGAGCCATCCCCAAGGGAGGCAACTCTGAATTGTGGCACCGAACATGGTTGGGCCGTCCGTGCCGCGAAAGAAGTGGAACACCTCCATGACAACACTGCATGGACTCACAATGTGAAGACCTTGTTCCACTGTGGGTTGAGTGTCTTGTACTCGGTGTGAGTCTGGAGTCTTGAGTTGACCAGCTCCAGTACACAGAAGGGGTCACTCTGGCCACCAAAGTCAGCTGCTCGTAATCCCTGAGCCTTGAACACTGAAATTAGTACACAAATATTTAAATCTTAAAATCATTTTCATTAGCCTTTAGCAATATTTATGCCATATCGCATAACAGAGTTAACGTTAAACTTTTTCTTTCAAAGCAACATTTCAGTACTTGCTTGATAAAGGTACTACAGGCAGACAATGCTGTCTTCATTGATACTACTAAAATGCACTAAAAGAAATACCAAAGCATGTCAGTTTAACATGTGACCCTAGGAGGACATACATGTTAATTCTGGTGACACGTCTCACGAGTACAACCAATGATCATCATAATTGAGCACAATACTGGATCTGAACAGACAATCAGAAGAAGATATTGATTGCTTTGTATGTATTGGATACAGTCTCTGTTTCTGCACTGATAATTATTGAATTTTATGACAGGTTTTGAGTTCTCTCTTGAGAGTCAAATTGAAATTCTTGGAAAATGCTCAGATTTCTTACGAATTAATCTGAAATGTTTCCTGAATTTACTTCTAGTGACCTTGGCCTTCTACAGAAGTCACCTAAATGTTGATGCGATCGTCATCCCACCACAAAGATCATGTATACTATGATTCATCAAATGTACACAAGCTTTTTTCATACCTAGTCATCTGAGTGACCTTCACCTTCAATGTCATCCAGTCATATGTCAGAATCTCCCAGCTGTATATACAAGGAGGTATATCATGTATGAAGTCTCTAACATCTGTCATAAGAGCGTAGTTCAGAAAACTAATTGCGACAGCAGTGGATGCTGCAGGAAAAATATTTGTTCGGACATACTCTATGGAAGAACTCACCTTTGACCTGTAGCCAGCCGATGTCTTTCATATTGTTGAATGACTTGAGGAGACCCTGTTAATTAGATACATGATCGATTATTGCATGTAAGGAAAACACTTTCTAAACATTTATACATACTGATATGTAGGACAACAACTTCTCTAATTACTGTGAAGGCAACGTTTCGGTGTAGATCCTTATACTGTTGTCAAGCAAAGCCTGAGTCTACTGTCAAACATGCCTATCAAACAATTCATACTGATACGTACACACCAAGGCAAAGTCTTTTACAATTAGCTTAAGTAGGTCAATATATGAATAGGGGGCACGGGTGGCCCAGTTGTCTAAGGCGCCGCGATTCGCTGTGCAGAGTTGCGTCCCTTGGGCACGCCAGAAACCTATGATTGTGGGTTTAAATCCTGGTTCGCCCCGATTATGTTTCTAGGTTTGTCAGCACCAAACCCGTGCTGATGGTAAATAAATATGTACGATTTACGATCATATTGTCAATGCCTTTATTTTATTCCTGCATGTCTGATTTTGGAACATTGCCATTGAGAAGTCATCTATATAAAGAACTGTGAAAGATCATACATAGTTTCTGATTCTCTCTTCTCTGTCGCGAGGGTTGGGCGTGTAGTTGGCCAGATCGGTGATGGTCTCACTGCCAGCAGTGCCACTGATCGTCAACAACAACCTGACCATTCCCGCGCCATCCTCCAGATTCTGGCAGAAGGTATGAGTTGTCTCCCTGTCCAACTTTGACAGGTCAATCACAGCTCTGAAACAACAGAAACACTAATCTACACCCTTCACAGATCAACCATAGTAATAGGATAGAATTGGGTGTTCCTTAACGTTTTTTTAGTAGCGTTTATTGCAATGTAGGCATTCTTAACAATAATAAGCTATGAATGATAAACCAAAATTCTTAAATCATTTTCATGTAATAAGGTTATGTTGATTGAAAAGAAAAATGCAAAACTTTCCCCAAAAAACTGTTGTAATTAATAATAAAATATGAATTAGCATAAGCTATGTATCACCACTGTAAACATTTGTTTTAAATCATTTTAGAAGCACAGGCAATTTTTATATACTATTGCATAAGCTAACTGTCAGCATCATAAATATTCGTTATTAATCAGTTTAAACACAGACATTTTATCAAATGTGAAATACATCCAAGACTCATCCATAATACTGTCCTTGCCTGTGGGTTATCCTGCATAGGCCAGGTTATGCCAAAATCAATAAAACATTCAATACATTTCATCAAGATTCATCTTCCAGTGTTTGTTAGCATTTAATTAAAATTTCATAGAATTTATACGTCATCACAAATGATTTGTCCCTTGACATTTCAACTAATGTGAAACTCCAGACTGATTTTGTCACTTGAGAGTTCGACATTGCAACGTAGTGTGATATTTATCTGAGAAAGACATTTTCAATCAGGGCCAGGCTCAAGGGACTTGCTAAAAAATACCTGTGGACACTGCATAGTGGTTTCATGAATTATAACTGCAAATGTGCCATGTCAAATTCCCGACAAATTGATATTGAACACCATGAAGAATATCCTATTTAAAAAAATAGATTTATTGTGCTAGAGAATGTTTTCCTTTTTTTAAGTTTGTTCATATTCCCTGCCTAAGTCCTAAAACCTTTTACATGAATCATCTCCAAAACTCACCTTTCTTGTGACATCATGGTCAAACATTGTTATCTTCACAACCCACCTCCTCTGCACAACAGATCTTCCCTGTGATATCATGGTCAAACATCATCATCTCCACAACTCACCTTTCCATGAAGTCATCCTTCCCTGTGACATCATGGTCAAACATCGTCATCTCCACAACTCACCTTCCCATGAAGTCGTCCTTCCTAGTGATATCATGGTCAAACATTGTTATCTTCACAACCCATCTCCTCTGCACAAAACACATCTTCCCTGTGATATCATGGTCAAACATCGTCATCTCCACAACTCACCTTCCCATGAAGTCATCCTTCCTAGTGACATCATGGTCAAACACAGTCATCTCCACAACTCACCTTCCCATGAAGTCATCCTTCCTAGTGACATCATGGTCAAACACCGTCATCTCCACAACTCACCTTCCAATGAAGTCGTCCTTCCCTGTGACATCATGGTCAAACATTGTTATCGTCACAACCCACCTCCTCTGCACAACACATCTTCCCTGTGATATCATGGTCAAACATCGTCATCTCCACAACTCACCTTCCCATGAAGACATCCTTCCCTGTGACATCATGGTCAAACACCGTCGTCTCCACAACTCACCTTCCCATGAAGTCGTCCTTCCTAGTGACATCATGGTCAAACACCGTCATCTCCACAACTCACCTTCCCATGAAGTCGTCCTTCCCTGTGACATCATGGTCAAACACCGTCATCTCCACAACTCACCTTCCCATGAAGTCGTCCTTCCTAGTGACATCATGGTCAAACACCGTCATCTCCACAACTCACCTTCCCATGAAGTCGTCCTTCCCTGTGACATCATGGTCAAACATTGTTATCTTCACAACCCACCTCCTCTGCACAACACATCTTCCCTGTGATATCATGGTCAAACATCGTCATCTCCACAACTCACCTTCCCATGAAGTCATCCTTCCCTGTGACATCATGGTCAAACATCGTCATCTCCACAACTCACCTTCCCATGAAGTCATCCTTCCCTGTGACATCATGGTCAAACATCGTCATCTCCACAACTCACCTTCCCATGAAGTCATCCTTCCTAGTGACATCATGGTCAAACACCGTCATCTCCACAACTCACCTTCCCATGAAGTCATCCTTCCTAGTGACATCATGGTCAAACACCGTCATCTCCACAACTCACCTTCCAATGAAGTCGTCCTTCCCTGTGACATCATGGTCAAACATTGTTATCGTCACAACCCACCTCCTCTGCACAACACATCTTCCCTGTGATATCATGGTCAAACATCGTCATCTCCACAACTCACCTTCCCATGAAGACATCCTTCCCTGTGACATCATGGTCAAACACCGTCGTCTCCACAACTCACCTTCCCATGAAGTCGTCCTTCCTAGTGACATCATGGTCAAACACCGTCATCTCCACAACTCACCTTCCCATGAAGTCGTCCTTCCCTGTGACATCATGGTCAAACACCGTCATCTCCACAACTCACCTTCCCATGAAGTCGTCCTTCCTAGTGACATCATGGTCAAACACCGTCATCTCCACAACTCACCTTCCCATGAAGTCGTCCTTCCCTGTGACATCATGGTCAAACATTGTTATCTTCACAACCCACCTCCTCTGCACAACACATCTTCCCTGTGATATCATGGTCAAACATCGTCATCTCCACAACTCACCTTCCCATGAAGTCATCCTTCCCTGTGACATCATGGTCAAACATCGTCATCTCCACAACTCACCTTCCCATGAAGTCATCCTTCCCTGTGACATCATGGTCAAACATCGTCATCTCCACAACTCACCTTCCCATGAAGTCATCCTTCCTAGTGACATCATGGTCAAACACCGTCATCTCCACAACTCACCTTTCCATGAAGTCACCCTTCCCTGTGACATCATGGTCAAACATCGTCATCCCCACAACTCACCTTCCCATGAAGTCATCCTTCCCTGTGACATCATGGTCAAACACCGTCATCTCAAGTTGACTAGTCTGGTCATCATACATGCGTAGATCAAACTGCTCCAACCATTTGGGGTTCAACGTCTTTGTCTTAAACTGAAAACAAATAGTTCCTTGAGATTGTACACATAATTATTTTCCATGGTTCAACAGATGATTACAGACATGTTTTCTCCAATATTTCTGGAGTTGATACGCGTTCAGCAGTGAAGAGAATGCTGATTGCTTGTTGTATTATGCTGCAGTCAGCAATATTCCATCTAATGTTTCCAGCCACCTTGGCACAAAGTCACCAGTTACCGAGGCTAACCACCCAATCTCCATAAAGCTGGCTCTTGAGTGAGTGAGTATGGTCTTATGTCGCTTTTTCCAATCCTTCAGCAACATCATGTCGGGGGACACCAGAAATGGGTTTCACATATTGTACCCATGTGGGGAATTGAAGCCCCGGTCTTCAGCATGACGAACAAACACTTTAACCACTATCTCTCACCCCTCCCCCCCCCCCCCCCCCCCCCCCCCCCACACACACACACACACACACACCTCCCCCCAGTTCTGACCAGCCTGAGGTACTGGATACTTTTTCTGATCAAGAATCCCAACAGAACAAAAAAAAGTTATTCTGTAAAGTAAGTTTATGCAAAGAGGAGGAATATTTTTCTTGTTCAGCAAAATGATTTAAATTTAAGGTGATATGGTGAGACGAATTTGAATAAAAATATTGAGTAGTTAAAAAAATACACTTCAGGATTGAAGGATTGACTTGTTAGTTTTACATGAAAATCTAACTGCAGGATAAACCCATTTCTGACTCCTGTACAAAGAAATTCTTGAATGTTTTCCTAATATCTTTAAGTGCCCAAATTGCACTAGTAAAGGTCATAATCAATAATTTAAATAAGCAATTCTTATTTCAATTTTCCCATATCCATCAGTGTTGAATTGATCTGAAACAAAACAGTCCCTTCCTTCAAAGTGAAATATCACTTATTTCGGTGTGCTTTTTCTTGTGTAGGTATTAACCAATGACCTTGCGTTTGATGTCAGCTCTGGATGATATCGATTGGAAAGCAACAAGTGAATTTCAATCTGTCAATGTCACATGTGTTTACCATTTAATCAGCCATGTTTGATTAATGATTCTATAATACCATAATAGAGTCAATTAGAATGTAATACACTTTGATGATCAGATGAACCCTTACTATTCACCATACCAACTTTTCACTCAGCTGTTAGTCCTTCACCAAGCAAAATACCATAGATAGTATTCAACTAAATTATTATATTTCTCCCAATTTCAAGTTGTTTGAACAATATGTCTTTTAGCAACTTAATTATTTATGAATCTGAAGGAGTTTACTTATTTGCAACAGGAAGTTTCCTATCTTAAGACTGCTTCCAAAAGGACTACATGAGATTGGAATCTTTGTTAAACGTTTCTTGTTTCTTCAGAAGACAATCCCATTTCCAACAAACTGCCAAAATACATTTGACCACTGAAGTTCATTTTGCTAATTCCATTCATCAAAAGCAGTAAATACATCATTCACCAAAGATGTGATTATCATTTTCATGATAATTTATGAAAACAGTTCAACTAATAATAATTAGTGGAGAGTGAATGAGTTTGGTTTAACACTGCTTTGAGCATATTGGTAATTTCACATCATGTGAACTTCATGTGGGACGAAAGTCTCAAGTGATGAATTTGAAACCCACAAGCTTTGTTCTGGTGTTGACAAACCTAGAAACATAATCAGATCTGGGATTGGAAGTCATGACCATTGGTTTCTGGCACTCCTAAGGGAGGCAACTCTGCACAGCTGATCTGCCGCTAATAATTAGTATAATCAATCTTTCAATATTACACTGTGATCATGAAGTCACACTGATTTAAAAAAGACCAAACTACCTTGCTGCGATATTTCTCTTTTCCCAGTTGAAACTTGACATATGGATCACTGAAGCCGTTGTCATCCATTGGAACAAGATTGGATCCCTCAACCAACACAATAGTCACAACACTGCTCCAGATCTGCATCTTCATCTTCTTGGACCCTGTGTCCGACCCGCGAACACTTCGTTTAAAATACTGCAAAAGAAATATCAGATGAAAGACAAGGACAAGGAGTAAACTACTTTCCAGCTGGTCCAGCATAGTTTTACACAGTTTTTAAAATATTCAAGCAAAACAATGGCCGCAGACACCAGATATGGGCTTCAGATATTGTACCCATGTAGGGAATCGAACACAGGCTTTCAGTGTGATGATCAAACACTTTAACCACTAGGCCACCCCACTACTATCTGGAGTGCAGGTAACAATAAATGGAAAATATTTAAAACAGAAACATTTGATGAATATGAAAACACAACCATGCACAGACTGCATAAAGAAAATGAATATAGTCACCTATATTTTGGAAATTTTCACCTTTAGCTTTCACAACGCAGATCTACATCATAACTATAGCGAAACTATATTTGTCCTGAAAGCCTGCTTTCCAGATGATTAACTATATGTTAAGAACGTCTATACATACACAAAGGGGCATAATCATGATTCATAAATCCATATTTCTTAATCAGGGTAGTTTCACTTAGAACTGAACAACCAGTTCTCAAATGAGATTAAAATGTCTCACATGAGATCATAGTCTTGGTACCTTCTCTAACAACTGTGGCACATGAAATGCTGTTTTTGAAGCTACAGTTCTAGACAGATACTACACTTCTTAGTGGTAGTCACAAAATCATTGTTCATACACCAGATACAGTCTGACCCATATTCCAATTGAGCTTCTTGGCAAATGAGTACCTTTCTGACTTTCATGCACACAACACCAATTCCTCAAAAAGATTTCAACAGAACTCCATCACAACTATTGGATTGACTAAGATCTGTCTATCTGAGACTGATACAGTTAACTAACAAGGTGCCCCCAGATATCCCCATGATATCCCTGGATACCCCCTGGATACCCCTGGTTACTCCAAGGAGTGAGTGAGTGTTTTACGCCGCTTTCAGCAATATTCCAGCAATATCACAGCGGGGACACCAGGAATGGGCTTCACACATTGTACCCATGTAGGAAATCGAACCCTGGCATTGGGCGTGACAAGTGAATGCTTTAACCACTTGGCTACGCCACCCCGCCCCCAGTTTCTCCAAGGAAGCAGGGTGAAACATCCAATCACTGTTGATCTGGACACAGCAGAGCCGTATTCAAAAGGTCATGCAACTCCTGTCATTGAATGTCTCGGGTTGAAGAAGAGTCCTCTCGAGGCCAAAACAAACATTTCCTGCACAATTAACCAATCAGTAGCTGGATTCTGCTGGTCACGTAGGACTGCATGGATGCAATCCTCGCCATGTTCACTACAGACAATAACAATGTCGGACATAGATGCATGTATCTACCAGTAAAATGACATAATACCGGTATATCAATTGGCTTCCATTTGGCATATCCATTGGACATGCTTACCCTCCTCACGAAGACCTGGTGAATATTCTCTGGCATTGACGTTTTAAATCTATATTTACATGTGACATTCATATCATACATTTATTATTAATCACTACAAAATGCAAATGTCTGATTGACCAGTCAATGTCTGGTAAAAATACATTACTGTCATTGGCCTGCACCGGTATCATGACATGACATGTTTGATGTGACACTAACAATAACATGACATCACATGTTTGATGTGGCACTAACAATAACATGACATCACATGTTTGATGTGGCACTAACAATAACATGACATGACATGTTTGATGTGGCACTTACAATAACATGACATGACATGTTTGATGTGGCACTAACAATAACATGACATGACATGTTTGATGTGACACTAACAACATGACATATGTTTGATGTGGCACTAACAATAACATAACATGACATGATATGTTTGATGTGGCACTAACAATAACATGACATGACATGTTTGATGTGGCACTAACAATAACATGACATGACATGTTTGATGTGACACTAACAACATGACATGACATGTTTGATGTGACACTAACAACATGACATATGTTTGATGTGGCACTAACAATAACATAACATGACATGATATGTTTGATGTGGCACTAACAATAACATGACATGATATGCTTGATGTGACACTAACAATAACATGACATGACATGACATGTTTGATGTGACACTAACAATAACATGACATGATATGCTTGATGTGACACTTACAATAACATGACATGACATGACATGTTTGATGTGACACTAACAATAACATGACATGATATGCTTGATGTGACACTAACAACATGACATGACATGTTTGATGTGACACTAACAACATGACATATGTTTGATGTGGCACTAACAATAACATAACATGACATGATATGTTTGATGTGGCACTAACAATAACATGACATGACATGTTTGATGTGACACTAACAATAACATGACATGATATGTTTGATGTGACACTAACAATAACATGACATGACATGATATGTTTGATGTGACACTAACAATAACATGACATGACATGACATGTTTGATGTGACACTAACAATAACATGACATGATATGCTTGATGTGACACTAACAATAACATGACATGATATGTTTGATGTGACACTAACAATAACATGACATGACATGACATGTTTGATGTGGCACTAACATTAACATGACATGACATGTTTGATGTGACACTAACAATAACATGACATGACATGTTTGATGTGGCACTAACAATAACATGACATGTTTGATGTGACACTAACAATAACATGACATGACATGACATGTTTGATGTGGCACTAACATTAACATGACATGACATGTTTGATGTGACACTAACAATAACATGACATGACATGTTTGATGTGACACTAACAATAACATGACATGATATGTTTGATGTGACACTAACAATAACATGACATGACATGACATGTTTGATGTGATACTATCAATAACATGACATGATATGTTTGATGTGACACTAACAATAACATGACATGGCATGATATGTTTGATGTGGCACTAACAATAACATGACATGACATGTTTGATGTGATACTAACAATAACATGACATGATATGTTTGATGTGACACTAACAATAACATGACATGGCATGATATGTTTGATGTGGCACTAACAATGACATGACATGACATGTTTGATGTGTCACTAACAATAACATGACATGACATGACATGTTTGATGTGTCACTAACAATAACATGACATGACATGACATGTTTGATGTGACACTAACAATAACATGACATGACATGACATGTTTGATGTGTCACTTGTTTGTTCATCCAGTCACCTTATGTGTCCTTTATCCCCCTGTGGGGTTCCGGGGTAGAATTGGTCCCTAGCAATCTACGCTTGTTGTACAAGGTGACTTGATGGATTGGTTGGTCAGGCTCGGTGACTTGGGTAATTGTATGTCATCAAAGCCCTATGGTGTGGATAGTTGCTCATAATTCACAAGATCGATCGTAGGATTGTCTGGTCCAGGCTCGATTTTTTACAGTCTTCCATCATATAGATGAAATTTTGCCAAGTGTGGTGTTAAAGAGAAAAAAACATGACTGCATTATATCCTTTGTGCTGATACATATAATGTTGCTAGTCTACTGATACACATACAATGTTGCCACTCTACTGATACACATACAATGTTGCCACTCTACTGATACACATACAATGTTGCCACTCTACTGATACACATACAATGTTGCCACTCTACTGATACACATACAATGTTGCCACTCTACTGATACACATACAATGTTGCCACTCAAGTGATACACATACAATGTTGCCACTCAAGTGATACACATACAATGTTGCCGCTCTACTGATACACATACAATGTTGCCACTCTACTGATACACATACAATGTTGCCACTCTACTGATACACATACAATGTTGCCACTCTACTGATACACATACAATGTTGCCACTCAAGTGATACACATACAATGTTGCCACTCAAGTGATACACATACAATGTTGCCGCTCTACTGATACACATACAATGTTGCCACTCTACTGATACACATACAATGTTGCCACTCTACTGATACACATACAATGTTGCCACTCTACTGATACACATACAATGTTGCCACTCTACTGATACACATACAATGTTGCCACTCAAGTGATACACATACAATGTTGCCACTCTACTGATACACATACAATGTTGCCACTCAAGTGATACACATACAATGTTGCCACTCTACTGATACACATACAATGTTGCCACTCTACTGTTACACATACAATGTTGCCACTCTACTGATACACATACAATGTTGCCACTCTACTGATACACATACAATGTTGCCACTCAAGTGATACACATACAATGTTGCCACTCTACTGATACACACACAATGTTGCCACTCAAGTGATACACATACAATGTTGCCACTCTACTGATACACATACAATGTTGCCACTCAAGTGATACACATACAATGTTGCCACTCAAGTGATACACATACAATGTTGCCACTCTACTGATACATATACAATGTTGCCACTCTACTGATACACATACAATGTTGCCACTCTACTGATACACACACAATGTTGCCACTCTACTGATACACACACAATGTTGCCACTCTACTGATACACATATAATGTTGCCACTCTACTGATACACATACAATGTTGCCACTCTACTGATACACATACAATGTTGCCACTCTACTGATACACATACAATGTTGCCACTCAAGTGATACACATACAATGTTGCCACTCTACTGATACACATACAATGTTGCCACTCTACTGATACACATACAATGTTGCCACTCTACTGATACACATACAATGTTGCCACTCTACTGTTAAATCGCACTGTGGAAACAATAATGCCACACTTACATTGTATGAAGCCTCAAATTATTTACATATCCAAAAAAGCACAGTCAACATGTTATTACACAGACGTAAATATCCATAAGAATGTCCATCTGTACCATGATCTTGGAGAAAGAGCTCTGCCCCATAATGCCCTCTCAGGAGGCCGCTGCAGGTTGTCTACAGAGAAGGTGCC